ATTTCTCCTATTTTAATTACATCACGTTACGATTGTCATTTAAATAGAGTTCACAACATCTCATAATATTGCAAAAACGACGAAACTATTTAAACATCCTTCTCTAACTCAATTGACACAGAGATCAAAAATCGATTTTTATTTAGTTTTTTGTGTCAATACACAAATTTTTTGATCAAAATTTTCAGAATGTTTTAGCCTAACAGTTAATTGGTTTGTGATAAAAAAATTCAATTTTCATAATCGAATTTGATTCAACATTATAAATGTACATGAATATATGCGAATATAACTTCACGCGTAACATTTTGTTATTAAATTATCATTTCTGAAGTAAATTTGTGGGCAAATTCAATTAAAAAACGTTTCAGTTCACTTCATCATTCACTCTCAGTTAAATGTACATGGAAAATGATTTCTCAATTGAGTTTGTGAGTTGGGAAGGAGAAAGAGAATGTGCGGAAAATCATTTAGACTCATCATTCATGGTGAACTCGTTCTGATTGACAAAGGGTTAATTTTTCTCCTTTTCATACGTCTTGGGTTAAACTCATCAAAGTCGAGTAGGTAATCTTTGGCTTCAAATGTACTTAATAATAAACATCTGGAAACTCACATGAAAAATTTCCTTTTGAAAAAGTTTACGTTCGTAAATTGAGTTTCCTTTTTTTTCTGTTGTGGTATCGAGAAAAATTTTCATTGTTCTATTCTTGTGTGATTGCAATGTTTACACTTCTTGCACGACGATGATGTTGTTTGAGATAGATGAAGAAAAGATGACAAACAGAAAGTAAATTTTCCAACAATTTTCATTTGAATGAGAATTCAATTTTGCATCTAAACTGTGGGTGGATGGAAAGTGAGAAGGAGGGAAAAAAGACAATGAAGGAAACAGATGAAGAAGAATAACCACAACAGTTTGATTAACAAAACTTTTTACACGGTAAAAATTGTTCAACTAATTGCTTTTGTTATTTCGATGTTCAACAAACCCAAAGCTTAACTTTTTAAAATGTTTTTGGAATTATTGATCGCTGTCGAAATCTCTTCCATCATTGAAAGCTCAAATAAAAACACGAAACGATAAGTCGAGACGCAAAAATTTAACATAAAAATTAAAGAAGCTGTCAGAAACATTTATCTGCTTTTCAACGAGAAAATTACGTTCATAATGGAGTGGCATGGGAATGAGAGACGCAAATAGAAGAAATTGAAAAATTGATTTAGTCGTTTACACTCTCTGAGGCTTCCCCAAACGCCAACGCAATTTCTCTCAAATTTCTTCTTCTCGTCTTGAAACATAAACGAAGCATTTTATTCTTGTACCGTGACTAATTTTTCCTTGGAAAATTCAAAACTCCTCTTGCAGATGATATAATTTTCTTCCAAACGTATATAAATAACTGATGAAATTGTGTCGTAAATTTTCAATTTTCCGCATTTTTGATTCCATTCTCATTGCAACATCGTAGATAGATAGATGAACCAAGCCATTGACAATCTTCCTTTGCGCATGTTGTAACAAACCGAAATTAATGAAATAAAATTTCTCAACGAGCTTCTCTCTGTGCTCAGTTTATCCACTTACAAACACAGAACGTAAAAAGGCAAAGATTTTCTTTTTTTTTCAATTAAGGACAAATAGAAAATTAAGAGAATAATTAAATTATTAAGGGAAGTTTTCTCTTCTTTTTCACCCAACTTCGTAAGCAACGTAAAACATTAAATAATAAACTGAACTGAGCTTTTATAAGTACATATTTCACAACTTGTGAAAAAGTAAATGAGAAAGTTTTCGCTTTCTAGTAATACTTCAATTTTCCCCAATTATCTCCAAACAAGAGATGAAGAAAGAAGTGACGTTAATAGATGAACAAAACTTTTTTTTATTCACTTCATTCAGAAGAAATTCAATTACGACATTAATTATGTTGCAAGCAAGCAACCAACCAAGCAATGATGAAAAAAATAACAATTTATATCAAAAAGAAGAGAAAGAAATTTAATTACTTTGGTAGGGAAAAGTGCTTTAATTAAAAATTTAAATTAACCTGATTTTTCATACCCTCCGTGTCGTTGTTCATTCTTTGGATGTTGAGACGACAACGTTTAGCGAGCGATGACGTTGAAATACTTTTATGCAAATTTCAATTTTAATATTCTTTCAGATATAATCACAAAAATTCAATGAAATATTTCTTTCATTTCTTGTTCATTAATTATACAATAAAAACGACAAAGCATAAACCAGAGAGTTAATTAATTATATACAACTTAAGTAGATAATTAATTTGCCATTTTCCATTGCTTGCTTTCTTGTTTATTATTACAACAAATTTATTTAATTAGCCTGAAAACACTTCATCATCATCTTGCATTCGTTCACTCATCATAATTAGCGATAAATTGAATGAACATATTAAGTTAGCATCTACGGTGATGAAAAATGAAGACATTCATGATTAGCGCCATTTTGGAAGGAAAATGGGAGAGAGTGAGAGGGAAAAAATAAGACAGCAATTTTCTCCTCCGCAGCTTCCTTTTATCCCCCACAATACATAAACATCCAATTCAATTTTTCTCTTCCCAACCCTCACTTAAATAAGCACAAAATGATTCTTCTTCCCTTATCTTGATATAATCTCTAATTTCCTGAATGGAGAATCAGTTGGGCGCCTTTTCCCTCACACTTTCCACCACCCAACTTATACTTTCATATCGAGTTTATGACTCAAGTGGTGCGCATAAAAATGTAATTATGTTATAAATTAATCAGAGAAATGTTTTTATATCTACGTAGGTGAAGAAAAAAAGAAAATTCGTCCCATGAATTGTCGCGAGGAAGATATTACGAGCGCATGCCTTCGGGACATCGTTTAAACGTTAAATACACAAACAAGGGATGGGAACAATTGCATTTTCGTCTAGCTATACTCGTTTTCCTTCTCTTTACTCCTAACACATTATCATCATCGAACTGAAACTGTTTCATTTTTATTCCCGATGCGAAACATGAAATGAGACTCGTTTTGGTTCATTGTGATGGTATTGTTGTTGTTGTGTGGAGTGAATGATGAGAATGGAAACGCATGCGTCATTTCTTCATTCATCTCGGGTCCCCCCGAAAACGAAATTAACTCGGAATGAGCAGAAATTTTCCGGGTGGTTTAAGTTTAGGGGTAAAAGATGAAACATCATCTCATCCATCTCTTAGTCGTTTCACCTACACATTGATGTGGTGAAACCACTGTTTGTTTAAGCATTTAATTTGTATTCTTGGATGGTTTCCTTTCCACTGACTCTTGCCACCCTTCAATAAACTGTTTTCGATTATATCAGATTTTAATTATGATTTTTTCAGCTTTTTTCTCCTTCCGCGCCATTTATTAAATATTCGAATAAAGGTTCGAATAAACGAATGATAGAAATTGAATTATAAAGTGGATGCTGATGCTAAATTGTTGGTAAAGAAAGAAGACATCGTTGGATGGAATGAAATTGAAAATTCAGGAAATTTAATTTTGTCAGCCTAAAATAAAATTTTCTTGAAAACTTTTGATGTTGTTCTTGAAGTCTGGTTTCAGTCATAATAAATTTGTTCAAATATCCCATGGCTAAGAGAAGAAAAAGGAAAATTTTTCGCCAAATTAAACTTGATTAAACACTTAATCGTTCAGAGATAATTAAAAGAAAATTGTTTCATGTTGATACCGATCAGTAAACATAACAACAGTCAGTCGTTGTCGTTAAAATCGACAATCTACAAAAGATCTAACAATGAAAGCATCTCTCTCGTAGTCTCTAATTTTATACATCAAGTACACAAAGTCACATGTCGATTTCCTTCTTCTTTGTTTAACGTCAAACATCATGCCTCTGATCTCATTCATCGATGTCGCTTTTTTGCCGGCTAATAGCAGCAAACAAACGTATTTATTTCTATTTGATTTCTGTTTATTAAGAGAAACGTCTGGCTTTGAATTGTAGAAGTCAGAGACGTCGAAGGGTTACAATTCTTCATGTAGAGTTGGAGATTAAATTGAAACTTCAACTTCCCTGTAACTAAATTTGTCAACATACAACAACAACAACGTCATCGTCATCGTCGTCATGTTACAATTTTTCTCATCCACTGGTTGTTGTCGCTTCTAAACAATGTTATTAAATTTAATAAATTCGCTTTATGACTGTGATTTAACTAGTGATTATTAGGGAGTTAATTAAACACTCGGCACGTGTTTGTTTATTGTTGGAAGTCGACGATGTCACACAGTCAATCGAGTGACTGTCGGTTTTTGTAACAAGCTACCAGTTCACTTGAGATTGTTTGTGCGAACGACACAAAGACTCACGAAACTATGTTCGACGAGTACATTCCACAGCTTTCACCTCGAGGCGATTTGTTACATCGAGTCGCACCCTTTTTAAGTTAAACAAAAATTTCTCTCACAGCTTCATGTCGACGAGATATTTGACACCTTTTGCGTGTCTCTGACACAAGATTTTTGTACAAATTTAAATTCCCTAATTAGTTATCGGTAAAATTTCATCGAAAATCTGATTTTCTTCACATTGTGACTCTTTTTATTAACACAAAAAGAAGAATCAGATATCATTTAAGTGAAATCTAAATGGATCATATTAAGAGCAAACATATTTTGGCTTTCGAAATGTTATTTTTTCATTATCATCCCTTTTTTTATTATTTGAGATAGAAAGGACTTTGAGAGATCAAAACGACATGATTATCGGTCTTTACAAAAATAATGAAAGTAGGCACAAGGATTACGCTCATTTGATCACGATGATGTTGCTATTTTTTATAAAATAAAAAAGAAAACCACTTAAACCATTTCTTCTTTGTTGCTTACACACAAGGACAACCTTTTTTATAAATAAATGTTATTTTTGGGGTTCCCTTCCACCATTCGTCTCTTGTTATTCATTTCAAAACGATAATTGCTTGTTATTCACTCTTTGAGCAGACAATAGAAGAAAAAATCGTCTTCAATTAGAAGACTTAATCGTTGATGCCAGATGGATGCCAAGCAGCCAACGAATTTTAATAATTGGACTAATTTTCACATCGTCATAATTGTCTCCATGCGCCGGTTATGACATAATTAGATCTTTGAATTGTGCCGAAAATATTTATCTTAGCATCGGCCGCTTCTTTTATCTTTCATCTCTTTACAGTTTACTGGATGAAATTCAACACTGTTTCTATTCAATCATTCAATGTTTTCTTACTTCTTTAAGATTTTTCATCTCTAAGTGTAAGACGATATCCCCGCCAAACATAATGAGCGGCAATCGCTTTTCAACCATCAAATAAAACACAAATAAATATTCAAATATTTTCGGGGGAATTTGTTTTGTTGTGTAAAATCATTTCATGATAAATTTTCATGCGTAATTTGAAATGTCTTGACTGACGTTTAAATTGAAACTCAAAAGGATTTGAATTGGAAGACAAAGAAGAAAGATTTCTTTTATGCTTGAGTCATCATTATACAGTCTCATGTCAAATGATAAATTTATCAAGAGGTAAACTGAGTTTACGGAAAACTCCCTCGAAATATTTGCTGGAAAATTCAAATACTTTCCCTTGATCCGATGAACTTTATTGCTGCTCTTTTCCAGCCTCTTTTATCGACCAACAAATAAAAAATTTCAATTTTATATCAAGAATGTATTGAAGCGTTGATAATCCTAAACACACGCTTTCATTTATTTATTTCAGTTTATTTCATCTCTGAGTTGTTATTAAACAAATAAAGTGGACGAAATAAAATGAAAAAGTACTACAACAAATAAGCGGTGAATATTTTTTTTTTGTTATTCCCAAATGGTTTAATTAAAATGTGATTTAAATTAAATATGATACGTTAGTAGGTTAAACTTATGTTTGGAAATGTCACAGTAATCACTTCATATTGCATCAAAATTGTATTTTTTCTGAGAATGTTAAATGTGTGTTTGAAAGGCATTTAAGAAGAGAAGACAGAAGAGATGCGGAAGAAATAAAAAATTAGATTAAGGGTGAACATGATGTGAAAATCCCGAGAAAATTATCCTTGATCTCCAAGAATAATTGATTTTCATGATGTTGGATTGTTTGTTATGCTGTTGTAAGTGGTGATACTTTCATCATAAAAGAACCATTAAATATAAAAAAACTATTAACATCACTTTTGATCCCTAATTTCTCATCATCGCATTCATGCCCTCGAAGCTATTTGTCATTTTATTGTTCGCAAGGGGATTTGTGAATGTTCATCAAATGATGCATAATTTCTGCAATAAATTATTGCGTGTACTTTCTGCTCCGACAGATCATCGAGTGCAATTCTAATTTATTTACTTTTAATCTGATTCGTTACTGTAATCACATCAATGATCTTATTTTTCTTACGCTTTTTTAAATTCGATTGTCAGCTTTTGAAATGAAGCTTAGCATGTGTTCTTAGATTTTCTTTTATTCATTCAATTTATGAATCATTAAAGTGACTCAATTCAACCCATTGAAAAACTTTGCATCTGCTTCTTTCTTTATATCTCAACATTAACAAAACAAATAAAAAATTGTGTTTCTGAGTTATTATCCAGGCAATTTACTTTTATTATAATTACCTACAATTATCCTTACAATTATCAACACATTAAAAATATTTTTTGATTAAACATTTCATTATTCACTCATTCGGCTCAATTTCAATTAAAAACGAATAAAAGATGAAAAAACGGAAATTGCGGAGGAACTTTGAATTCTTTTGTTTAATGAACAGTCAATTAATTAGCATAAAGTAAGTTGGAAAGGGTTAGTTATGTTGCTGTCAAGAAACAATATTTTAATAGCTTGTTAAGTATGAAGGGTGACCAGATAAAATTTAAATTTCAAGCTATCTGGTCACCATAATTAATCACCTTGGTCCTAGCCTTTTCACTCGCTCAGACTATTTACTTACACAAACATTCACATCAAAAAAGCCACGAACAGTAATTATGAGCAATTCGAAGGCTAAAAATAAATCATAAATTTCGCCTGACTTGTTTACATTCAGCGCTTTTATTCGGTTTTAATTGAATTAACCCTTTTCCTGCTCTAGTTTTGATTTCATTTTTTATAGACGCTCTTTATACACGACTCGGTGTTGTTAAAGGCAAGCAAGAATTTCTTTGCGAGCGAATTCCCGGAAATTGCGTGTTAAGTAATCTTTTTCTCTTTCTTTCAACTTCCTTTACGTTTATCGACATTAACTTCACGATAAATAATTGATGTTTTTACCATAATTGGATTACATTGAAAGAAGAATGTCACGCTAAATTATTTCTTTATATGTTTAGTCACATCCACCCACTAATGTTCTTCAACTTGAACTGTTATTATTATTATTATGATGCAATTACAACTCAATTTACTTCATCACATTAAGAATCATCATTTCGCATTAAATAAAGAATAAAGTGAATTGTTGTTGTTCACATATAACGAAAACATAATGAAATTCAAGTTAAAAAGTGTTGTTTCATAAATTGCGAGCGTTAAACGCGTGGTGAAACCTCTTCACATCAACTCGAAATGCACTGCTTGCCATTTTTTTCCAACCCCTCCGATCTTTTCAATCATGAATCAAATTGCTGGAATAAAGACTTTTTCAAGAGATGAAGTAACGAAAATAAATAATAAAAATCACTTTTCAATCAAAATTATGACAATTATTAAATTTATTGAATTTGACTTTGTTTGTTATTTAGATTGAATGAACAACAAACAAGTCGACAATTGATTTATGAAATTTAGAAAAAAGAAGGCAAGGTACTTGATTTTACTTTAATAGACTTCACATCTGTTATACTTTAAACTGACAACATAATTTACATTAACTGGTAGATTTAACAAAACTAACGATGACATTCAAATGCTTTTAGATTGAGTGATAAGAAAGAAGTTTTATGTAAACAATTTAATCGTCTACAATCTTTATAAAGAAAAGATTTAAATAATTGCATTCTCTAAAAACTTCTTTATTGATCCAACAGCTAATTTACTGACTAAAGCAGTGTGACGGATAAAAACAGCCGTCCGGAAAAACCTCCAAAAGTAATCACGTTGTTCTCACAAAACGAACCCTAACTAAATTTCACAATTCCACTTTTTTCGGCAATTCAAATATTCAAATTAATTTTTACAAGTTTTTCTTTCTTTTTTTATTTTCACTTCACGTGATAAGTTGAAATAAGCAAAGAAAATAGTTGAAGAAAATTTATAGACATTCGCTTTTGGGAAAGCTGAAATCAAAATAAGTAGGGAGAATAGTGGCGTAAAAATTCTGGCAATTCAGTTCCACGGGTGATAGATAATAAATTAAATCATAAATTTATTGTGCGGCAATCAAACCTAAATATTAACGTGAATTTTTACAGGCACCGCGTGAACCTTAATGTGTTTGTAATTTGTTTTAATTTTCATAGTTTCGCGCAAAAAAAAGCAGCAAGCGACTCGTGTTGAAACTCAGTTAACATCAGTCAAACGCATGGGAATGCTGAAATATTTTTATGATCGGTGCGTGAACCTTGAGGCTCTAATGAAACTGACTAAAGTTTTCCTTTAGTTGTAATTAATTGTCGTTAAAGATGGAAAACAGTTTCACATAATTCTTTAACACGCGATAATTAGCACGACTTAAGTATCAATTAAGGGAACGATCGAATATGTTAAGAAAAATTTGCGTGATTTTCTTTTTGTCCTCCATTTTAAATCAACATTCGAATGACAATTTATCAAATTTTATTGTCGATTTTCGATCACAATGAGAACAAAACTTTTATTGTCAACAATTAAAGTGAATCGAAAATTGATTGTCGAATGTTTAGGAAAAACTAAACTGAAAATAGCGGGCAAAATAAATTCTGTAATGCGCAATAATTTCGACAAATTTATTCATGATGACATATCGACTATTAATGTTTGCGGTGGAAAAAATATTTTATGACTTTTTTCGATTTGATTCAGGAGAGAAGAAGTTAAATGAAAGAATGTTAGGGGAAAATTATATGACATGACGAGCATGTATGTTGAAATTTACATATGATTGGTTTCCCGTGCGATATCGCTGAATATTGATTTTCTTCTCCTCGTCGTCGCTACTAAGCCACCGAAAAATTTCGAATCGTAAACCATCAAAGAAAGTCTAATAATAAATATCGTGAAATTTCCATTTAATACGAAATATTCTTTAATTTAATCCGCAGTTATGTTGCTTCTACTAACCACAATAACACAACGAAAAACGAAATCCAAATCTGTCGTTGCTGTTGTTTCCTAAACGTAATTTTATTTAATAAATCATGAGTTTGTTATTTATAAAAATGGAACATTAAATTTTTATGCTTCAAAGCATAAAAGTTTCGTTCGACATCAAACCAGAAAAAGAGAAAATTGAAAACTTTCAACAAATTTTCAAAGGTAAAACTTTTAATTAAAAGAAATCACTGAAAGTCAATAAACATATATTTATAACTTCTAAAAAATAATCTACCAGCAATTATTTTGTCAAATTAAAAATAAATTAAACAAATTACGGAATTATGCTGATTGTGGCTGACGACTTGGAATGTAATGAATTCGAGAAGTGGACGACTTAAGTCGCTCATGATAAAGTGCCGTTTACACTGGCTTTTAATCGATACTTTAGATAAGAATCTCGCGCAACTGGACTTTGTGTACGTCGAGCATTAGTCCTAAAATAATTAAATTAATTAGTGTCGCCGTATCGCGTGCATAATCCAACGTTAGGATTTTTTATTTATTCACGTTTTCATTTCTTGCTTTTTTTTTGTTGTTTTTGTTTTCTGTTTTAATGTGGGTTAAAATCACATAAACAGAATTTCCTTGCATATGGCATATTAATTAAATACACAAAACCAGAAACAATAGAAACAACGACGATAGTTTCTGTTCTCTTGTTTATAATTAAACAAATAAGTTCTTGGAAAATTCTAAACTAACTAACAACTAAGTAGAGCTTAATTGAAAATCTGAGTAAAGAAATGAAAGAAAAAACTTTTACGTTGATGATGTAGCAGTTGTTGACGATGAGTTCATTAATATCATCAATCAATCAAAGCTTTTTTTCCACTTTCATTTCGCACTCACGTAAAGTGACATTTATTGAAAGCCATGAAAAAAAGGATAATTATACGTTAATAAAGGAAACCACTAATCGGACGAAAGAATAAAGGAAAGAAACAAAAAAAAAATTTACAATGTTTAATTTTCCTTTCAACCCTTTTTCTCGCCATTAAATTGCTTTAATGCCATATATCTCTTAGAGAAAGAGAAAAGCTCGTACTGTGAGAAAAACATATGCTTTGCTGTTGCTTATTAGCCGTGGCATTATAATTTTTCATGCCATTAAATTGCTCAGTGAAGTGAATTTATTGTGTTTCAACATAACAAAAAATAAGCTGAACGAAATGAAAGAAAACACAACAAAGGTATGAAGGAATTACAAGCTTAAAACAACAGCCAACAAAACATAATTCAAAAAAGGGTTCGAAAGAAGGGCAAGAAAATTGAGTTTTTCAATTTTCCGCATTCCTTCATTACCGCTTGACATTTGAGTCTCAGTTGAATGAATGAATTGCATTTAAAGAAAGGAAAATAAATGTGAAATATTTCAAGACTGATTGACTGATGATAAATTAATTTAACTACAATTACTTTTATCTTAATGAAGCGTGAGATTATTGTCGGTTGAATGTTGCTTCTTGATAGATTTCCTACATGCAAGAAACAAGAACAAGAAATAAGATCAGAGAGAAAGAAGAGACCGCAAATTTAATTTAAGTTATATGAGCAATTTCCGGATTTTGTCAAATTGATAGAAATTGAAAATGTAAGGAAATCGTCCATTTTCCTTTATCTGATTTTCTTTTTATTTCAAAACATGAAACGAGTTGAAATAAATTCAATGAAATGAAGACAAATCAAATATTACAAATCCCAACAAGTTTTTCACAAAACTAAGCATGGAAAATTGAAAATCGTTTACCTGAGCTTGAAAATAGAATTTCCTCAAAGTGAATTGCATTTTCTTTATTTTTTCCATTAAAAGAAAAGAAGGAAAACATGAAGGAATTTTCTGTCTTCATGACGATAAAATTTTCAGTGAGCAGTGTCGTAGAATGATAAAAATTTCCCTCAATTTAACCACAAGAATTTGCTGTCGTAATTGAGATAGAAAAAATTCCACTTCGCTGCAATTTGCAAGCAAAGAAAAATCTTATGGTGATAAAATCAAACCAACTAAAGCTTTTATAATGATTTTACTGAAACTTTTTCCTTGAATTTTCAAGAAAACAGAAGAAGACGAAGAAGAAGAAAATTGGAAAATTGGATTGAATGTTGAGAAAAGTTTTCCCCCGTTATACTTCATAAGCTCAATTGGTTTATTTTGTCTCATTGAGCACACAAATAAATTAAATGCTCTGACATTTTCTAATTTTCTTTGCACAATTTGAGGTTCAAATTGAAATTTATCTTTCTTGAAGAAGTTTTGTCAATTAGAAAGATGGAAATGATTGTCGTAAGAAAGTTTTACTATACAAGAGACGAGTTGAGTATTGACGGGATTTTCACTCTTCCCATCCACTCATGTGACTTTGGAAAATAAACAAAGAAAGTTTTCCCAGGTTTTCTGATTTATTTCGAAACTTATCCAAAATTTGATTTCTTCAAATTATTTTTATTCGAAGTTGTTACTGAGTAAACACAATATTGAATTTGTGCATGCAAAGAGATAGTTTCACATATGAAGCAACTTCGATAAATCATTGCATTACTAGTTCAACATTATCAGATATATTTTCTTATAATAAACATTTATGTGAGATGGCAAAACTAAATTTCCTTTTATGTCAATAAACATTTCAGATTTATTGAATAAAGTTGAGAATAAGAAGTTTTAACGGCATATCAGAGTATAACTTTAGATTTATATTTTTCCGTGAATCATGGAAGGTTGTTAAGGAAATCTTTATGACTTTTCGTTTAGCTTATGGCTGCGGTTTGTTCGTGAAATGTTACACAACTTTGTTATCTCCCCCTCTTCATCCTTCGAATACTTTTTAACAAGATCGACATAATCTGAGATTATATTTAGTCAAGGAAAGATAAAAATAAAATTCGAGAACGAACAAGCGGATTATCAATTATATTATGTGTGTCAAACTTATGATGAGCTTAAAATTCTAAGATGTCAGAATAAATTGATTTCGTTTTGTAAGTTGTCGAGACTAAATTAAAGATTTTGTGATGGAAATTTGTGACAAATTTCTAATGAAAATTTTCCTTCGATTTAATTAGAAACTCACCTGAACACGAACTTCGGGTAAATTAACCTTCATCGCCAGCTCTTCTCTTGAATAAACATCCGGGTAATGACTTTTCTCGAACGCTCGTTCTAATTCATGCAGTTGATATGTGGTGAATGTAGTTCGATTTCTTCTGTGTTTCTTCTTTGAACATGCATCGTCTGTCAAAATAAATAAATTAATAAAATTTAAAAGCTTTCTTTATAATGTGCAAAAACCTTCATCTTCACTCCCTGAGCCGATTTTCTCTCCATGATCGCTCAACGTTGCATTTTGATTCATTTCATCACTTGATGCATAATTCATAGAAGAATTTCCATCTTCATTCATTTTCCTTTCATCGATATTTGTCATTCTATAATCGTCATTTACATTTGCACTACCGCCATTGAAAGTCGTCTGATGATCATCGTAATGAACACGAGTTGAGAAATTTTTCATATATTTCAAGTTGTCTGCGTCTTTCTTCATCATTTGTGAGTCTTTCAGTTCGCGATTTTGAATCGACTCATCGTAGTCAATTGTGTCATCGTATGATGAAGACGAAGAATTATTTTTTCTGTTGTTATTATTCGGTTCATCCATTTGATGTTTCTCATGTTGATTGCTGTTACTTTGATGTTCGATCGACTTGTATTGATTTAACCCGAAATGATGACCATGCGATGGTTGATCTGATATTATTGGTGGATAATTTTGTAAGTGATATTTGTCGTCTGTAAATATTAGAAACAGAAGAAAAATTTGCGTGATCAACTACAAAGTTGTAAAAGACAAAAACGAAAATAATTTCAACAACTCTTTCATAAATGTAATTTATCGAAGTGTAAAATGTTGAATTCCGCTACCACATTCCAATTACACTTCAATGTAAAAAACTTTTCTCAAACTTAAACTCAGAAGGGTGAAAAAGAATTTCAAAACTAAGATATGAGAAAGCACCAAAACCGCATGTTTTCCAACAATTCATTCTACGATTTAAATCGTTAATGTTTATGCTTTAATTATTTGTATTCGCTTTGCTTGTTGTCGAAATGCTTTTCACTGTGCTACGACATTAATTTTTAACCACCAACTTTTTTTTAATGGACGATTCTCATGCAAACTTGTTAGCTTGCTTTCCTATCAACGCTACATAGAACTGCTCAATCTAATATGCATCAGAACGCCATAAGCTTTAAAATGAGTTTAATTGAATGTGATTTAATGGAGTGATTTTGTCGTCTCCGTGAACTGCTTTCAATAGAGAAACGACAAATGCATGTTTCACCGCGATTGAATTTCATTTGCAATTAATATCAATTTATGAGAATCGCGTTTGTTCGGTGTCAAAGGAAGAATTCATTGCATTGCTATGCTTAACTTTGTATTGAAGTTATCCTAGACAAAATGAAATGAAACGAAATATTCGTTGTTGTGCAATTAAAACACAATCATAATGAACATTTGCAATGACATTTGCGTTTTCCGAAAGCATTTGATGTGTCGTTCGTTGGTGTGAGAAGGTAAAATGAAATGAAACACGAATGGAAAATTGTAATTACATTTTAATTCATCACATGATTGATTAATTCTCCCAAATAAATGTTCACTTGATAAAATTTGAACTTGCACACATGAAAATTTGGTTTTGAGGTTTTCAATTGAAGTTCTAAATGCGTCTGACGCTTGCGCTGATTTCAACACTAATCAGTCAAACTTTCCGTGAAACAATTTAATTTTTTAATTAAATTTAACATGGAAATAGTTATTTGATTATGTTCCGTTATTATTTGGTTTTGAAGAAAGTTTTTCCTGAGAATTTTTTTCTGTTTAATATTTTTCCACCCCCGCAAATTTCGACGTGTTTATAAACGCGTTTTAGTTATTTTCGAGTTAATTAATACCGAAATTAGTCATGATTTGCTTTCCGAATTGTTTGAAGAATATTTTTGCCCGCATTTTGTTCAAAAACGTCAAAAACTTGCTGCTCAAAGTTGTTCTGATTATGGAAAACTAACAAACAACTTTGTAATTAAATAAGAAAATTGGTATACGAAAAATTATTGCATAATTTGTTGTGATTAGTGGAATTTTTGTTTTTATTCCCTGAGATTGATGGTCGAGCGTGTTGCGAATGAAAATAAATGAAATTCAAGGATTTCTAACACGAATTTATTGCGGGAACGAATTCCTCGTTTCCTTAGCATTTAATTAATTTTTATTCGGTGGAAGAAATTAGAAACTAGAATTGATAAGCCGGTTTGACTGTAATTCGAGAGTTTTATTTCCTTTACTTTTATTTGTGCTGTAAAAGATGTTTTAGATTGACAGTTTAGACAATAAAGATTAAAGATAATTCCCGTTTATATGCTCTAAAAATTACTCAACTAATTATCCACCCTCGCAAATCTATTTTTGTTTTGTTTTTCAAGCCTTCGATCTTAACATAATTGACAACCGGATCTTTAATTATTTCTTAGATAGCGTAGTTGTTGTCTCGTTTAATCGTGATGGTGTCAGTCATGAGAGAGAAACTTAATCAGTTCTAATTGGGAGCGAAAACAACTGCTGTGATAGGTTGGCTTGTGACTTTATGTTCAGACTGAGACGTTGGACTATTTGGTCGGAGAAATTAAATTATTTATTCAATCTATTCAATGCTTAATCTGACAAATGACATATTCAAGTGATAATCAACATCATTTAGAGCGAGAGCTTGTGTTGTAAATATCTGACAAACAATTTGATTTACAAATGGATTTAGTTCGACTTCGTTCATACATTTTCAATTCCTAATGAACCTGATTGTGGTTCTTGATTTTATATTTAAAGATGTCTCAGTAAAATATTTCTTTTTCACAACTTTCTAAGGTTTGTTTAAGTAGCGGTGAGTTTGAAATTTATTTTGGTAATTGAAGTTAATTTCCTGGTTTTCAAGATGAAAACATTTCATTGACTATTTGCTTTATTCTTTATTCACTTCCACTTCGTTGATCATAAAACAAGAATTTATTGAGTAATGCGATGCTTTAAGAGGCACCTGCCAATCACGTTGAAAGATGTAATATAATTAATGTTAATCAGTAGAATTATCAATTTTATCCAAAAAAAGAGTTTTTGTTCGGCTTATTGATTTCCATTCTTTTAAAAAAATTCTTTTTTTATTTTATTTTATTATTTTGCTAAGTCATCGACAGTTTTCTCGGATGATTTGGATCGTTGACTGCGCACATCAATGGATTCTAAGTAAGCGAAATGATATGCGGTTATAGTTCTTATTGAACGGTTCTTTAATCCATTAAAAATTAAGAACTCAAACAAATGACTCGAATCCAGATGCTACATAGATAGAAAATCGCTAAAAACTTTAATTTTTGTTGTCATTGCATTAAGAATCATAAAACAAAACACAATATAACGACAACACTAATGGAACGATCAAGAATTGAACTAATTCATTTCAAATGAATGCTTTCGAACAGTAGATTGCCGCCCATAATTGATTAATTTATTAAATGGATTTTGATTAGGATCGGAAATGCCGAAAATCAACCAACAACGGACGGACAATAACAAAAAAAACATAAAGAGAAGCTGTTGCTGTTGTTTCAAATGCTTTTAAGAGCTCACGAAAGGAAAATGAGTAGTTGAAAGTCAAACTCGATGTCTAATGGTGCCGGCTTTAAAGTAGTTGAATTATTCATAATCAATTAATTACAAACTTTTCTTTCAATAACTTTCTGACTTCTTCAACTTTTCTTGAAATCGTTTCTTTAATGAAATTATCGATTTTTCATCGCACCTTAATGATTGACTTCCCGCGACTTTAATTTATTCAAAATCATAAATGGGATGCCTGCCTTCCTTTTGCTTCTTCTATTTCTCTTGCTTTTTTCTTTAAAGAGAAGCAATTACGATTTTTGATAATTGACTTTTGCGGTGAATGAAAGTTTTCGAGAAGAAGAATCGTTGAATGAAAAATATATGAAATTTTTGAATTAAGCACTTTTGGCCATCTCATCATCAACATCAATCAGGAGTCATTAAAGTTATAATAGTTTCGGGCGTAATTAAAATGTTGTTTCATTCCATTATGTGATTGTCAATCTCCGTCATGTGTGGAAGCTTTAATTGAACGTATCTTATAATTTTCTAGCCACTGTTTTTAACTTTTCTCTCGTTCAACAATTTAAAGAAATTAATTGATTTTCATCACTTACCTCCAATGTTATCACAGCGATCGTTTAATCCTAAAATAGCATCGATTGTGTGTCGTGGCGTGAGTGTTTGCCCCGAATATTTTTTAGAATCTTTTATGCAATATCCGTTTTCTATAATAAATAAAAACGGAAATAGAAATGTTCGTGAAATGATATCTAAATTTGCAAACATTAAATGATAAGAAATATTTATGGAAATTCCCGTCGGATATTAAATTCCTACAAATAAAAATTAAATTCGCACCTTCTTTAAAATTCTCTTCGAAACAATCCAGTTCAATTTGTCCGCAATCTTTTAATTTTTCCATGATCATTTGGAAGTTTTTTGTATCACGAACATTTTCTAAAAGCTTTTGCATATTTTCAATCTCGCTCGGTGTACATTGATTTCGAGCGATTAGCTTTTCAACAACACGCTGAAATAATTGTTTTTGCACATCATTCAATGCTTTTATGTCCATTTTATGATTAATATGATTAAGATTAACTTAAATTTATTCATAAAGCTTTCATTGTTGACTCTTGAAAGCATAAAAGTTATGCAAACATAAATTCATGCGTTATTTAGATTTAAAATTGAGTCATAAATTGCATGCAACATGAGTCCGTAAATTAAATTCTTAAAATGTTGATTTTTCACTTCACAGCACTGTTGTATATCGTAGTTTGCTGTATTAATATATGCAAATCAAAACCAGGAATTTTTAATTATATTTATGAGCACTTAAGCTAGTTAATTAAACGTTAAACTAACGGTAATTTCTAGGATTTATGCTAATTTTCTAGGTGATTGCATGAAACGCGATATAATTTTTGTTTCTGGTTTTCACACAACAACACAAAACAAGACTTGAATTCAACACCGAACCGAACTCGTATACGGTAAAGTATGCTCTGGTTTAGTCAGCAATCGAAATATATTTTTCCGCTTCCTCGCAATGATATTTCTTCGGTGGGCGTTCACATGCAGTATGTGGAAGTGTTAGTGAGAATGTATGTCGCAATACAAAAGCCTTTTGTCCCCCTTTTGTGTTATTCTTTCTCTTTTTATTCATGGCATGAAATATAAACATGCACTCACACATTGACACACAGCGGAAAATGCTTCTGAATCCATGAAAGAAAAATAATAATATTTCCGTATATCCTGACAACAAGAACTTTAATGAAATAATTAAATGTTTGTCGGAGAAAATTGGAGACTGCTAAAGATTCTTGAGGTCGATGAAATTTGTGCTTCCTTGTGTAAGTTTATTTCTTTAAATGTGTTGGATAATATGATTGACGGCAACATTCAGGGTGAGAAAAACTTTTTCTTCTTTGTCAGAGTTTGTTATTCAATTTTCTATCAACACTTAAATCTTTGATTAAATCTTTTGAGAGTTCTTTAAGCTTTGATTCAATTTTGTTATTTCAAAATTAAAGCTTTTCTTCGATGCCTATTGGGAATATTTAATTGAACATTATTATCTGGTTGGATAATTTTCTATTAGCCATCTTCGAACTGTGTTATTCACTAAATAAACAACGACAATTTTCCCTGAAGCTAAAATCAAATTGATTTTGTTAATTAAAAATTAATCAAAGCTTAATTGAAATTTATCAAAAGCATTTTTCATAAACGCTTTACTTGTCTTGTTTATTTGCGCTGAAATTTCCTATGAAAAGGTAAAGCACGACTCGGGCGATATTTAAATAAAATCATAATTTAATTTATTAAGTTTTAATTGAAAAGCAAATTACTTACACAAACGCTTCATCATTCCATTTCCCTTTTATTCGTTCCCATGTTGATCATCCCAATGAAAAGTAATTGGTTCCACACAGCATCAACTCTCATTCTTCTTTTGTGTTTATCGGCATTTTGCTCTCGTTGTTGGAAGAGCGAATGTATCTATCCGACAGAGGCGAAAGGAGTGGTTAATTATGCTGTGTGAGTAGCCGAGGAGGAGTTAAATATCTTTAAATACATTTTGATGTTGCTACTGCTGCTGTAATCACACTCAAACATTTATTCATTCACCTCAACTCTCCGAAGTTGCAATCTGAAAGATAAAAATGTCAATTTACACAATCGTGATATCAAGTCAAAGAACCAAGCAGACGAAATAAAATTATCTGATGAAAAAGAGAATTAACTTTTTGTTTGTTTTAAGTGTTTAACAATTTAGAAACAACGAATTTGCCACAGTTAAAAGTAAATTTTACGACTACTCTTAATCAACTTTTGTCGGTCTTTCTCTCAAAGTCTTCTCTGTACAACCTGAACAAAACTGTGAAAATTTTAAATGAAAAATCGTCAAGTTGTTTCTTCCAATCGTGTCAATTATGTTATGTCGTTGTCACGTTTCTTATTTAACTCTTTGCAATTAAAACTTCCTTAATAGACAAGAAATACACGAACTTATATTACACGATATATAAAGCCGTGTCGTATTGTAAAACAATTGCATTGAACTTTTAATAACTGAAAAATGCATTTCGGAATTTCTCTGCTTGTTGCAATTTGTGAGTTACTTCTAGAAGGAAACTTTAAAATATTTTTCTCTTAAATATTGAATCATCTTAAAGGTTTGATTAGCTATGTTCAAGGAGGTGGTGATTCTGGTCCTGGAGCGAATCCAATGTGGGCTCCATTACCTATGATGGGAGCCTCTCCACCTATGTGCAAAGGAGAATCTTTAGGACCTCACAGACTTGGGAGTTGTTCAGGAGTATGTCCCGAAAACAGTGAACTGAAAAAGTTCTACTACGAAGAAATTGAAGCGTGGTTATGCTGTTGCGGACCTTGTGAATAAATTAACACCATCGAGACATAAACTTACACCACATTCCGACTAAATTATTGAATATTCAATTAATTTTTAGAAAGTACTTGCCATGTTTAATTTTATCAACTTGATTAAAAATAAAGAAAACATTTGATTGGAAATGAAATGTTGACTTTCCACAGGAAATTCAATTAAATATTTGATTTAATTTCCAACATTTTCTTATTTGTCATTTAAGGAAATTGAAAAACAAAGAGAAAACTTCACAAGTAAATATTTTTTACTTGAATAAAACAATCGTGAGTCTTTTTCAAACCGTTAAACATGAAGTTAATTATATAAATTTATTTTTCAAAGATTTCTCACCTTATCCATCTGATAATATTTCATTTTCATATATTTTGATAATTCATTACAGAATCAAGGAATAAAACTTGAAATTGAATACTTTAAAATCGTGTTTTTCGTCACGATCTTTGTTATAGGAAAATAAAAAAAAAGAGTTTAGGGAAAGTAGGTCGTACAACAAGTGTCGGGTAGAAGTCTCAGTTCAAGAAATTCCTGAATTCGCCAATCAAGTAATAAGGTGAAGAGTTCTAGTTATTTCATTATCCATTGTCTTTCACATTTCTTATCGAAATCGTGCTCAAATAATTAGCACGACTTTAATTGTTATTTATAACTACGAGAATGAAGAAGAATGCATTGACAAGTATTTGTTTGAGACGAAACCAGGAAGCATTTCAGTCATTTGTGGAAATTCATTTTAACTTGTAGCGAATACAAAAATTTATCAATTTATTGAAGAAAACGATTAAAGCAATTTATCGTGACGCTTCTGCTTAAAAGTTCCTTTTTTCACTTAAAAATTTCCCCAGTTACAAGTTAATTGATATTTTAAATAGATTTTTAAGGTGTAGGCATTCAGTCGTTAAATATTGAAATTAGTTAACAATAATTGAATATTAAAAGCCGTGTGACTCTTCACTTAAGCTTTTGTCTATGTGAAATTATAAAATGACGAGAATTTAGCTTGAAACTTTTCTATTTCTCAGTGGAATTTGTGATAAGTCAAATAAAATTTCCAACCACAATCATAAATTTTCCTTTTCTATAAACTTTCAACTCAAATCTGAATTCTCTTAACATGTTCAATTCAGGCAATTTGCAAATTTAGAATTTTCCATTAGTGAATGATTTGCTATCGTTTGTAGTCAACAATCTAATAATCTAACAAGCATCGTCTCGTGTGTGATGAAAAGGTGTGTACGAAGTTTCTGCTGACGACTCGAGGGCATTGCAAATTAACAAGAACGAGAAAATTTCATTCTCTCTTCGACTTTTTCACCCGCTTGCTCCATGCTGCATTGACGACAAGAAAAAAGGGACGACAAAGCGTGTTATTAAATGTTATCATTGAAAAACGAACTCAATTTATTGTCCTGCGGCGAAAATATGTCAAATAAAAAATTTCTTTTTTCGACAAATTGAAACAATTTTTTGCCTTTTGATTTAATCGACAAAACGAATGCAATTGAATTATTTTATCAATCTCATCGCTGCTTGTAACAACTCGAGACTCATTGAGTTTGCTTGTTTATCAAATTATTCAATCTTTCTTATTCATAGCAGGAAAAATGTTTCCGACAAGGCGAATAATGAAAATTTAACCTCCAATTATGCGATGCTGGGCCGAGATTGTTGTCTAGATGTTTGCCATTGATGATTGAACAGATGGTGATCGTGCTGTGTTATCACTTTGAACATTTTCAATTATTTCATTTCATTTGAAAACTGTTGCATTTTGTAAAGCGTGGGCGTGTTTAAGTAGTTTTAACAAGAATTTTCATTCTTTTCGTGATCTTCTTTTGCAGAAATTTGAATGAAGCTCATCATTAACAACACAACATAAAAGCTGCTCTTTTTGTAGCATTAAGTGTCATTTTTTGAGGATCAACATCATTGTTCACTTCACAAGTTTGTTTTTGTTAGTTTAAGATAGTTTTCAAAGTACTCGAGAAAAAGTATTTTTGCAATTGTTTGTTTCGAGTGTTTTCTTAAGGTGTTAAGAATCAGCTTAAGCTTTAGTTTAACACATAAACATAATGAAATTATCAGAAATATTTCGGTGAAAACATAAAAAAGAATGAGAGGAAAGCTGGGGCGTTAAAGTTTTTAAGAAAAGTTTTGATCATCTTCAGTTTCTGAAGAACATTCTGATCTTTATCATGTGAATTTTTGTAGAGTTAATTCACAACGTACACATGGGCATGAGTTCTTGATATGACAAGCAATTAAGAATCATTTTACAACCAAATGTTTCAATCTAAATGCAAACAAATTTCCAATCAGTCAGATTAACATCAATTACAATGTGTAAAGAAAAAAAAGTTGGTCCCTTTCAATGCAAACGATTTAATGAAAGGAAAATCATCTTTGTATATATCCTCGAACCATGTTATTTTCACAGTTGGAAACTTTGTTTTGCCTTCTCAAATCTCATTTCTGTAGCTTCGTCAAACGATGCTATTTCATCAACAGGAAAAAAAATTGTTCAGCTTGAAGAAGGGCAGGAAATATTAAATTATGGGTTTAATGGATCAAATTGGCTACAGTTCCCACTTTCAATCTTTATTTATCGTTGTCGTTGAACGAAATCTTTATGCAAAAAAAAATCCCAAGGACAATGGACGACGATCATTAATTCTAATCGTGAAACTTAATTTGCAGCGAAACGAATTCGTGTTGTAACTCAATATCTACTTTTCTCATAAAATAAAGACGACCACTTCAACTTAATTGTCATACGTTAAATAACAGAAGCGATAATCGGCTTCTAGCACATGTTTCTCATTCATTACATCCATTTATTAATATTCTCTTTCATAGAACTCAAGCAGTCTGAGAGGTGTGAACATTTTTGCATTATTACCTCGTCGTTATTCGTTTGTTGTTGTGGTTGTTGTTTGTGAAACCTAATGCTTTGAGGTATTATTATTTAGAGATTATATGGTTCGTTGCATTTTGAGTCTTTTATTCAATAAAGACGTGTTTATGGTATTGTTGTGCGGTTTGTGTTTGACGGAAAATATAAATAAAGTACTTAAGTACTTCATCCATTTCAATGCATGTTTCTTCTCTCATCTCACCTTCTTCTGCTTCTAAAGCGAAGGATGTGAGAGAAAGGAATGACACATCAATTTTGAGGCCAACTTGTTTACTCGATTATTTTGAAATAAATAAAATATGATTTTCACACATTACCCATCAATTGAGAGCCAACAGCGCGTAATCATTCTGATGGTGTTAGATCACCTATTGTGAGTTGGTTGTAAATAAATGAGTCCATGTTTTAACGATTGGATAATAAATCCATTAAATAATTTTAAATAACTTATAATCTGATAGGATAATAAATTTATTACAAGTTTAATGAAGCATCAACACAGAATTAGAGTTCCACGTGCTGTTTTTAATGAAGAATTTATAATTATGCTTACGTTTACTTTCAAGTTATAGAATTATGCGAAATTTTCAAATGTTTGTTTTTAAATTTTTAAATTTAAAAAGTTTGTCGAAATGATTTTTTGAACATGTCTGCACGTGAACATTCAAAAGCTTAATCCAAGGGAAAAATCTAGAGATTCCGCTAGATGGCGTCAAAGGTTCGATTTGCGTGGATCTAAGACCTTCCATACAAAGTGGTATCAGAAAATAAGTCCCCGGGTCAGACAAATTTCCGGGCATTCGCAGAGAATTTATTTACAGTTTGCAGCGCCATCTTCCGTAAACTTTTGGAGGTACAATTGAGAGAAATTTGTTTTCTAGCAGTTGCTTTATTTTAAATTCAATAAATCCGTTTTTTTAGGAAAAGGTTTTCAGAAATGAAATTCAAAAACAACCATCAATAACTGATCTTAAACGATAATAATCGAAAAGTGAGAATGAATATCTATTTGTATCAATAAAATTATATTACCATGCTTTGATTATAATTTGTATGTTTGATGACGATAAGTTCCTACCCTCTCCCACAACTGTCTAATTGTTATTTGGATATCTGCTCCCAAAAGGGATCATTTCAACCCTCATGAGCCAATAACTTATAAGAAAACATGACATATCAATGCGGTTCAAATTTCAAAGTTCGGAAGATACAAAATCATTTTGTAGAGAAACAATATATTTCATGTCCTACATTCAGTTTAGTATTAAAACCCATTCGAAGTAACTTAATTATTCACAAAAATGTATTTTAATATTTTCTCGTCAATTGATGAGTTCAAAAGACTTGAATTGAATCTTTTAATGAAAATTTCAAATACCTGGTTGAGAGAATTGTTTTGGCACGTGCGTAACTGTAATCAAATAATTTTAATAATAAAACCTGTATAAACTGAAGATGAAGATACATTTCATTGATATTCAGATTATGCACAAAAACAAGGAGTAGAATTAATTTCAAATTGCTGAGTCTGCAAAGAGAAATGTTAATATTTCTCAAGCATAGCTGAATGCAGAGAAGAAATTGTGGCGAAAAGTTTTTGCTCATTCAGAGGTTTAGTCTCATGCTTTTAAATGAATCTGACTCAGTGTTTCTTTAATAGACGTCACCCCTGCTCAACTTACTGATTGAAAAAGCTTTTGTTTGTTTTTTTAATATAAAATATTTTGTCAAGTTTCGAAGCGCTCCATGATTCTTCACTACAATATAATGCATGGGAAATCTCGGAATTGTTAGAATATTTTTGAGAAACTTTGAAAATTAATGTTACTATACTCACTGTTAATTCAATGGAGCTTTAGAGTGAAATTTCTTTGAAAAGAATTTTCGTGTTGTTTGGAATTTACAAGAATTTTTTTTAATAAACTCTCATTTTTTTCTTCATTATGTTTAAAATATCTCTGAATGATTCTTCACAACTTTCGATTTATCTCACTGGTTCTCGCAATAACAATTTTACATTTTCATCATATTATCATATCGTGCTTAAATTTCCAAACGACATAAAAATTGGCCATAAGTAACTTAAGAATTAGTTTTGATCTCAGAAACGAATCAATTCTGATGCTTTATGTCTTTGACTATAACTTTCATTTCCACCCGCTTTTGTTGTTAACACTGTTGGGAATTTTCCTGAGAACTTTCTTTTCTTTTCTCCCCAGCAGAACGAGCAGAAATATCAAACAGTGTACGATATGAAAGAAATAATGCAGCTCTATATATTCAAAGCATTCACCACGGCACATTATGCTCCATATATCTACTGAACGGAAGCTAGAAAGGGGGAAAATCGTCACCAATCCTTCTTCCACCCACGCAAGTAAAGAACAGTCACCAGAAAAAAAATCATCCTCTAACTTATGACTCGTAATAACATATGGCGGGTGGAAGTGCGGAATCGTGGGAGTTGAATCATACGAAGAGAAAAAGGTTCCGTTTCCATTGTTACACCATACCAGTAGGCGAGAAGCGTTTAAAGCTAGCGTAGAAAGCGAAAAAATAAGCTCATAACGATGCCATATAATGTTTTTTATTGCTCAACTTTAATGCTATTTTAAGTGTATTTATTAGACATTTTCCAATTTCCTGGCTTTTCCGTTATCCCCTGAATGGGTATGTGATGTGTTATTTTATGCTTCTCATGCTCTTGCCTTTACAACTGAATAGTATGAGACTCTCTCAAACAGTTTTGTTTTTAACGTTGTGAAAACTTTTATGTGCAATTGAGAAAAGAAAAAATGAAATCCTTTTGCCAAAAATTAATGACACTTCTTGGCTCAGCGAAATAGCACAATTCATTGATTTGAAATTGAGTATAACAATTGAGCTTTCATTCTGAGTGGATGAAATGTTTTAATAATGAAAAATGGGAAACTCATTTAAAAGGAATTTCGTAATGAAAAATAAAAGTCATAACATGAAGATACTTCAGAGAACATATGATAACAACTTCTTTGAAATATAAAAACTCATAGCACATCAAAAGAAAATTGTTTCAGGAGATTCAATATGAGTTATGTAAGTATGACAAATTTTCAATATCATGAAAGCTTTTGACATTTCATTTATAATTTACAAATATTTAAGAAATTGAAATGGATACACAAACAAAGGTAAAAAATAAACATGAAGCAAGAGACATGATTTGATAAACATTCTTTTGAAGTATTGCTCGAGATCTTCAGACAAGAATGAAATGGGAAAATAACTCGAATCTTAAAACAATCTTACAAAAATAAAATCTAAACCCATTTCAATCAAAAGGAAGTTGTCCTAAGATTTATGAAATGTTAGAATATTTTTACTTCTTGAGAAAAAGAAAATGAAACAAAACAAAACATTATTTTTCCAAGAATAATTGTTTTCCGCTTTCATACCGTTGAGATGCTTTCTGTGTTCAACTTTTTATTTTTATTTCCATCGCAACTGCTTTTAGCAATCGTCGTTAGTTATTCCCTCCATACCTCGTGTTTTCTTTTTTTCCTATTTTTTATCCCGACGCTGTAGCGACTAAAGCAAAGCTATGTACATATTTCCAGCGAGCAAGACATATTTATGGCATGAAGTTATTTATGTTTGTTTATTTGTTTTCCTTTTTTATGCGGAATACAATTTTTCCGCTTTCTCTGTTATCACATTATTTTCTATGAAACTTTTTTTTCTCTTCCCTTTTTATTCCTATGCTCAACTTCCCTAACATTTCCAGTCGCTACAGCAGCCTCTTGGCCACGCCTACTATTTTATGCTTCGTAGCAACCACCTATAAAAAATAAATGTTAAATGGAGTCACACTGGAAAACTCCAATGGTTGAAAAGAGATGGAAAATGTTTCAAAAGTTTTCAATCTTTAAATGAATTTGATGTTAATTTTAATTTTAAAAAATTTATAAGAAATCTTAAAATAAATTTCAGGATAAAAAATTGAGAATAGAAAAACTAAAATTAATTCAGTTATTAAATAAACTTTATAAAATTCAATGAAATGATATTTATGCAACTATGTCCATCTCTTTCTTATCCGATATATGACAATGGTTAAGCACACTTTGCTTCTATCGTTTCATCAACCTTTTCTTGTCACAGTATAGCATCAGACGTTGAAAGAAAAGCCCGCGTTATTCAATCTCGCAAGCGGAGAGCTCAAAATTCAGTTTTAATTTAAGGAATGTTGTGCTAAGGAAAAGCTAGTCGGCTTGTGGAAAGAAGAAATTGTTATATACTCTTATTGGATATTTGAGTTTTTGCCAGACGATCGAGTCAAAGGGCGAAGAAAACATGTGCTAAGCGCTCATTTATTATGTATACAACATGCTAACATGCAACATATAAACAAGTTGTGAGAAGAAAAAAATTTTATGTGCGACGAAAAGGCTCTAATAAATTTAATTTGTTATCTTCAATTTATTAAATTAATAACGAGCTTAATTAATAAGTGTGGGAAAAGAAAAGTAGAAGCAAGTGAAAACGAAAGCTTCTACATCAAGTGAACTTTCCTTAATAGAGAACAAAAAGTTTCTTTTCTTTTATAATAATATCTAATCAAAGAAAATTTTATTTAATCAAAGAAAAAAAATATTCAAAATCAACTTTGAAAACTGTGATAAAAAGATTATTTTTGCTTGGATTCGTGAAGCAAAATCATTCTACGAAATCATGTATACGAGATAAAATTGTTAATCAATCTACATTAACGGATATACGTAAATTCTGTCCTTAAAGTTTTCGTAACAAGGTTATTGAAAAATATTATCTAATTAATAATTTGTAAAAATTCATCAACCTGTCGACATTGTCACTCAGAAGCTTTTCAGCAAATATGCTGAACAATCTCGGCTCATCAGTGATCGGAGGTAATTAAAATTAATTCAAATTGATGTTTAAGTAGCCTTAATTTACTTAAAGTCATTTCATAATCATCCACACAACCAACATCATGTATAAATTCGTAATTAATTGCATGTTATGATAAATTATGATTTTAAAACTGCAACAATTGCCTTCACTTGTTTGTCGCGATAAATTATCCAGCGAAACTTTGTCGACTAATTAATTGTAATATCGTTTACTGCAATACTTTGTCATTAGTGATAAACTGCAAATCGAAACGAAAACTTAATTTATTTTCAATTAAAGCTAAAATGCAATTTTTCTTCTTGTTCTTCATTCAATTCATGGAACGCCATTGTAAATTTTTAATTTTTCATGCTTCATTCACGCGCAGTTTATAAAACTTTGAAAACATAAAACAGAAGTTCATGAAAGAAGACGAAGAAAAATCGATGAGAAGATAAAACGTAATTAATTTTTAATGAAATCTGCGCACTTATAATCTTGATATCAAAATAAGTTCTCTTCATGTTGTTATGGAGAGTCGAAGTAGCAGAAATATTTTGCATCATCTCGTCAATATGCCAAGAAGCAATCTCGCACGAAGAACAAATCTTTCGTCATCTGTTTGGTTATCGATATTTTTTTATTTCCATTCCGACATGAAAAATAACATTAAAGCTTAAAAAAATATCTCACACATTCAATCGCGAGTTTATGTCGACGAAGTTTTGGTACACAGAAAACGTAATTTGCTTATAGCTTCGTGATGAACGAACGAAACAAATTTCTGTTGATTTACTTTCAACGTAAAACCCCCAACGATTTCAAAGATCCGAGATAGCCAAGAGAATGTGAACGGTAGCAAGATGTGAAAATTAGCACCTACCCAAAAAAAAAACTAAATCTACATTTGAGATTCCTTTTTTGTGTTCATTGCTTTACTATTATTCATTCAATATAGTTCAAACAAATTTATTCGTTTTAATTGTATTAAGATGGTCGAAAATATTTTTGTTTAAGAAAAAATGAAGACTTGGCTCGACATCGTTTCCAAGCCGAATTTCTACGAAGCCACATTTTTGTTATGCCTCTAAAATGTCTTCACGCTTTCAAATCGTGCACAAATGATAAATTCCATGAAATCTCTTGGCGCTCAAAAGCTTCATTTCTCTTATCCCGAAGCCTTGCGTTCAACTCTATCCAATGAATATCAAACAGTTTTTTAATCCCATTTTCGAATAAAAATGTTATAACAGCGCTTAGTGGCAATGCAAGCAGTTTAAATCGCATAATTTTTTATTTCCGAATATGCACAGCGGGAGAGAGAGAAACATAAACCCAGCATTTAAATTTAATATAAAAATATTTACACACATTTCTGGAGTTTTACAAAAGAATTTTTATGTGGGTGGAATTGTAAAGTTTGTCAAGATGAATAAATTTTGAGGCAGATATGAAATTGGAATGGAATTTTATGGGCATTTTCTAGCTTTTTGTTTTCGCAATGGTAGTTTAGAATTTTTAACTGATTAATAAATCGATGGAATGTGTCGTCATTGGGGACGAAAGTTTCTAGTTAAAACCAACATCGAATCTCGCTAAATTTAGTCCAATAATTTCCTTAATTTCCAAGTGTTTGTGACAATGAATGACTAAACTTTAATCTCTTCCTACTTTAATTAACAATGAAAAGCTTTCATAGACCACCACAATTTTGTTTTTTATTTTTGAAATTCTTTTTTGGGCACACAATGCAACCATTCAAAAGATTTCAATGCAATTCTGCATGGCTTAACAAGTCACATAAACTTAATTTCCATGTCGATATATGAGAGAGCTTTTAAATTGAGCATTAATATGTGTTCATTGTTACAGCATCATGTAGTATAATTTAGAAATTCACCAAATTGGATTAAATGGACTCATTGTTGCATTTTAGAAATGCGCTTAAACATAAATTTGCTAATCTATGAACATAGTCTTTATAATTATGTTACTAACCACAGTGTCCTTTCTTTCTCTCTCTTTCCTTTTTTTTTTCTTTCTCGTTATGTACATGTCTTCATCATCATCTTGACTGTCTAATTTCAGACTTGTTTTTTAATGGCATTTCAGGAAGCCAAAAAGATTGTGATTTACCTAAAACAACTGTCTTGCATGGGTCAAATACTTTCGGGCAATTGCAAAGTCAAACAACGAACGTCACTGATAACACAACAGCCAATAATAACAATAATAACAACAATACGAGATTACATGTGTCTAGTGGTATATGCGATTCGCACAACATGCACCAAGATCAAGTAAATATTCCAATGGTTCCAATAAGCTTAAGTTTTCTCTTTAAAAAAGTACATATGTCGTCAACTTTTCAGAACAATGATAAAAATAATAAACAGAAACGACACAGAACGCGCTTTACGCCAGCACAGTTGAATGAACTTGAAAGATGTTTCAGCAAAACGCATTATCCTGGTAAGAATGAGATTGGAATTGGCTTTCAACATTTGAATATTTTTATTTATGATTTTATGTGTTCGCAGATATCTTTATGCGTGAAGAGATAGCGATGAGAATTGGATTAACAGAATCACGAGTTCAGGTGAGTGATGGCATTTAAAGAAAATCTTTTAAGGCATCTTTGCTTGTCTGTCGACACTTCATAACACAAAAGGGCAAAATCTTTTAAAACTATTCGAATCAAATGACACATAAAATATTTAACTAAATTCTCATTCATATAATGAGGGTTGAGGGGTTGAGTAACGTCATTCAAGTCGATGATAATTTCAGACAAAGTCAATTTATGTTACAAATTTACGAAACAAGAAAACAAAACGCAGGGAAAAATAAATTGAAATCAGCTGATTTTATACAAGAAAAGAAAAATTAATGTTTTATGTGTCTACAAGCTATAAACAACATAAAAACTACATAAAGCGTCCAAGTCTTTGTGTTTATGTACCGAGTGACGTTGCGTATAAATTTTTATTGATTATGATTCTTTAAAGGTGTGTCTTGTAGATATTTATGTAGTTTAAAAGGTGAAAATGTAAAATGGAAGAGAAAAGCCGGGAGGCGGAAGCAACTTCGCTTTCTTGCGTAATCGTTCAGTCGTGATTCAAGCACACGTGAAGGTGGCGATAGAAAAATATTGCAAGTTGTTATTTTAATTAGGGAAAAAGGTGTTGCGGGTGAAAATTTTTCATGTTGAAAGTAAACGTTCAACCAACAGTAAACATAAATCATTCATCTATTGATTTTCCAATTAACTTTAATTCTCTTCTGTCTGCAGATGTTGATGTTGTGCGTGTTGACTGTCGAGCCGACGGTGATGTGAATAAAAGAGATTGTGAACTTGTTATTGACATTAAAGTCAAGCGAAGTGAAGAAGACATAAAATATTCTTAAAGTTGAAACTTTCTGGATTTTCATGACACACACACACATGATTTGGATATTGAAAATTATGCAAGAACTTACTTTTTATTCTAAAAAAATCCTCCGAAAATTCATGTCAATCACATGCTCAAACGTGCTTTACATCTCTAATCAGACATTCTTTCCATGTTAAGCAGTAACTTCATTCCATCTTCTTCAATTTATGTAGATATTTCATAGTAAAACAAAAACAATTTTCTCTTTTGGTAAATCTCTTCTCGGTTTAATTAAAAATTAATTAAAAAATACTTTGCTTAATTTTCATGATTCAAGAATTTGCAATTCAAAAGCAAAGCCATTTGTGTCGTATCTGCTGCATGAGACTGAGCCTTCTAAAGCTTGTCTTTGAATTACGGAATTTAATTATACATTCAAATAAAACTTTGGTTATACAAACAATATTCTTTGCCTCCCACTCACTCATTTTTCTTCTTCTTGTTCTTCTCTTACTTCGGTGCCATTTTCCTTTTCTTTTCATCATGCAGTGGAAAGGAAGTTTTGTGTACATAGAGAATTAATAGTCTCGGAAGTAAAGTGAGAAATGGAAAGCATTTAATCTGATGAAATCCTATAGGAGATTAAATGCATATTTGGAAGATGTTTGACTTGACTTTTACTTCTACCTTCCTTAACAATTGTGCTTTTAATCTCTAATAGAAAAATGTGACAATGAAAGCTGAAGGAAAATTTCTTTTAATTGATTTTAAGATTAACCAGGAAAAATATTTCCTGATTTTGTTTCTCTTTTTTAAAAAAAAGTTATCACCAAATGGAAAACTCTTGTAAATGAATGAAAACTCGATATCGCTTTTTCGCTAACGACATGATCAAATATCTAATGAATCATTCCACTGACGCCACTCTCTTAAAATCAAAAAGGAAAAAAGAAGAAAACTTTTGTAAAAACATCAAATTTGAATATCTAATAAAATTTTCTTTGAACTGAAAATACATTGGGAGAGATAAATAAATGTGAAAGAAAATAGAAAATGGAAAATTCTTCAACATTCATTAATCAGTGTAACATTTTGGTGGTGGAAATTATTGACGGAATTTTTGATTGATTGTTTTCGGGTTCACAATAAAAACATGAAACATTAATTAAGGTCTCTGGTAGACAGTTTGAGATATTGATAAGCCCAAGAATGAGTGGGCGGGGGAGCGTTCGAATGCGGTATTTTAAAAGGATAACGAGGAAATATTGTAAAACGTAAATTTGATTTTATTTCATCATCATCCAACACTTACAAGATTTTCTTTATGAATATTACGCAATATCGCGTTACAAAAGTAATTTTCTTTCGATGATAATTTCAAGGAAATGTTTTTCATCGTTGATCCCAATCCTAAGCTAAAACTTTTCTAATTTTTTTTTTGAGGGGATTAAAGTAAAGCAAGGGACCAGGTAAAGCGTCTTCCTCAGATATAAAATTCAAAACATTACATGTAAGGTTGATAAAATTATTTTTTATGATTATTATGCTGTTAATAATTCAAATAATATTTTGTTTTCATTTTGTGGTTGTGGTTATTCATACGTAGGAGGTAATTCTAAGGCTTTCTCAGAATCAACTTGCGTCTTGCTTCTCACTTACGACGACTAAGAACAAACAAAGCTTCGCTGCTTCTTTAAATATATGAACGAGATTAACAAAAACACTGCTTGTCTAAAATAACTTGAAATTACTCATCAAATGAAATAAATCGTCATGATTATTCAAAGAATGAGTGGAAAAAAGCAATAAAAACCCACCTGAAAGGAGGCACGTGCCAACTTTTTGATATTTTCATTTAATAAAATATTTTATTCTACCTTGAATAATGAAATAATTTCACAAGAAATTAATGTTCAATGTTTCCTTATTAAATTTCCTTTCAATACAAGCAACATGTGCCATTTGCTAGTTAAAGACACAAAGCGTGTTCTTATGACACGTGTCGAAATTGGTTGCCATGTCTATTAGATTCAATTTTAAACATCAATGTTTCTATCTTAATAAACATGAGACAATCAAGGAATGTTGTACTTCATGTTGAGTTAAGATTAAATCTCCAAAACATTAAATTAAATTCCTGTCTTTTTTATATCAATTTTACAAAACAATTGATAAATAAATAAATTTACAAAAGGCGAAAACAGTTTGAATAATTGGTAATGTGTGGAACTGTGAGAAATATTTTTGGATGATTTAATCACAGCAGGTGAAAAATAACGATAAGCGTTTGTGACAGTCAACAGTGCACTGTGTGACAATGATTTGAATTTAAAAATTTTAATGTCACTGTAAAGTCCATCAGAGAAATCAATTTTCTCCTTCACAATGACGTTTCAGTTTCACTTTAAAATCACAGAGTTTGATTATCATATCCATAAATCTTCGACAACAAATCCTTATGATAATTTCATTTTAATATCAAACATATTATTGGTATTAGCATCATTTTTATTAGTTTTCCGTCCCTTCCAACATTTTCGATTTCACACTTTTCATTCTGAGGGATTTTCATGAACGTTTTCCTTTCCCTTCCTTTTTATTCGCTCAATGTTTAACAAATAAATTTTCTCAACATGATATCGTTGTTTTATAGACCAGAAATGAAAAGTAAATTATAATCAGATTGTGTGAGGGTGAATGATTCGATTCAGGGCTTTAAGGCATCGCTAATATTTGTTTTTGCAAGTTAAGTCAATGCTGCTGTTGCTGCTACGTTCATTCACTGACTTCTGAAAGGAAAACTAATGGAAAGGAAAAAGTCAGGCTTGCGGAGTTGGAGAAAATTAATAGATACATCTTACCGACACTATTTATCATGTTGTGCAAATCCTTTCTAAATTAGTTTTTAGAGGCTAATAAAGTGCAATTTTCACTTCGTGATCTCTCTTTCTTTCCCATTTTCATTTCAACACAACACAGAATGATTTATACACGTTTCAGAATCGATTACATTGATAAGATTCTTATCTATCGATAAACGAGATTAATAGTCTGATTAATAGATTTTAATTAAGAATCTTTCATGGATGTGCTGCAGCGATTTTCTACTCTCATGAGCATTAGACATCTAAGTAACTTTCTTATTAATTGAAATAGAAAACAAAAACTTACACAAACGTGAAGTCGCACAACTGAATAAGATGAAAATAAGAAAAGTTTATGCAATTTTATTGATCGTCAAAGATAAAAGAAAAGTTTTTCATTACATTAATGAAATGTTGGGAACTTTAATTCAAGCTGTGAATACGATGAAAGTTTCCTTTTCTTCATGATTCGGATTTCATTCCCAGGGCTTAAAGAAAGAAGAACAAAAAAGAAATAGATTTTTACGACGAACGAAATAAAAGTAATGGCATTTCCCATAAAGCACAATAACCGTAACAATTTCGGGGTTGGATAATGGCGCGCATGATTTTTATCCATCGTCTCTCGTCCCCCCAATTGTGAATGAGAAAAAAAGGAACCGAAAGAGAATAAATAATGTGAGATTAAAACTTGAAATGTGACGGTGATGGGTTTGCTGAGCTGGAAAAAAATGCTCGATGAAAATGAAGAAAAAATGAATGTTTGGAGGGAAAATGTTGCCATGGTGGAGCTGCAAGAAATTTTCAACTGAAAAAGGTTGTCATAGCGATGACGCTTCTGAATTCTTTTTCCTTTCATCTCATTGAATAAACGCTCGAGTAAAGCTTTTGAACTTTTGATATTTACTCTTTACTTGAAGTTCTTTTGAAGCCTTTTGGTGTTTTATTGCTTTTTGTATTTCTCTTAGAGCCGCAAAGTATTTTGTTATTAAATTTAATTAATTGTTATAAAATTTGTTTCACTTTTTCCCGCTGATTATTTTGGTAGTTTGTTGTTGTCAAATAATTTTGAATACCAATCGATTTCTCTCTTCGATTCCCAGGAGAATTTTTCTTTCCCTTCATTCAACATTTGACAACAAAATCGCATAAAATTTTCTATCTATTGAAAAATCAATTTGATTTTCTACTTTTGAGAAAGAAATGAAGAAAAAAAGTTTCTCGATAGACGTCGTGATGTAAACTTTCTCAATTTAAAAAGCAAATGCTGCATTTTATCTTCGTCAGAAGTTTTCTTTTTCACTTCCATATTGAAGTTGAAACAAAAAAAGTCGATAACATTGTGCGATGTGCTACATAGGATTTGAAGTAACTTTACGACGAACTGCATTTATACTTACGTTTAGTTTTTTGTTCGTTTTTTGTTTTGTATTACTTATTTTGACAGGTCAGTGTGAAATTTCTTGTGCTGATGGAAACTTTCTGTAAACGTTTAGTTCTCCTTACCGTTTTTAAGACGTTTCGTTGTTCTTCCACAACAATTATTTGCTTTTAGAATAAATAACGAAAAAAGAACAAATATACCGAATAGTTTTGAGATCATCTCTTAAGAAAAGTTCATGTCGACGACGACACGTTGTTCAGTTCTCTGTCTATGAATCATAAGCAGCAATAAAAGTTTTATAATATTAAATAATTACACAATTCTCTGTCTGTCTAGCCGAAAGAGGTTGTAAAATTCCCCTGGAAAAATAAAGAACAATGTTCAACCGAATTTGACTTTAAAATCAGACCATGTTGATGTTATTCAGCTACCTGGTGGTCTTACACTGACTGCCATAAAAATATTTCGTGTCGGCTTTTAACATTCAACAATGAAATGTGCGTTAAGTCGCAACTTTTTGTTTCGTTGAAAGGTTAAAATATTTTTAAACAAGTAAAAAATGTTGCGTCATGTCTTTTCATTTCCATCCCTCTTCGAATGAGGAATTTCATATTATTTTGATTGAACCGAAATTTCCATATGTTACGAGTTAAATACAAGAAAATATTTAAAAATCATTCAATATTAGGTGCGGCGCTTAAATCCATCTGCTAAAAATTGCTTTTCCACTCACTTGATTATGTAGTGAAAATATCATAAATAAATAATGATGTTAAAGACATAAATCACATTCTCTGATTTGTTGTTATGATCTCTGATGAACTCACAAAATCTAAAACGATGATGACGACTTTAAAATTTCATTAATTTTTTAACACTTTAACTTATTTTTTTTTGCTGGTTGAACGTTGACTGTGAATAAAAAAATGCTTTTTAATAAATGAATAAATCATAAAGCGCTCAGAAGATTGATTGGCGTGAACATATTTTCCAGGATTCATGTCCTTTTAACGTTCCTAAATGTTTAGTGTCAGTGGGTAGAAGATAGGCAGGGTTGAAGGGGGGACTTTGCGATTAATAAAATTCTCTCGCTAGCCATTTCTTTATTATGCAAATCGAGCTGTCATAGCTCGATAATGATACTTTTAAATATTTCATAACAATAAGCAAAATGCCATGTGGCTTCCTTTTGCCATTTGCCTTCGATTCGCTTACGAAATGTTTGGAATAAACAAGAAAATTGCATTTTCCGATGCTGCTGTTGTGAATTTTTTGAAAGCAGAGCAAAAAAGCATAAATCAGAAAATTCATTTAATGGAATTTGCTGGTTAAATGTTTGTTTGTTCATTTTTCTCCTTGTCGGTTAATGTCGACTGAAATTCTCTCTTTCTCGTTCCCCTTTCGACTTTTTCGGAATTGTTTATTCGTTGTGCGGTTTTTGCCGTTCCACATTCAGCAAACAACAACGACAAGGCAAGGGGCGAATAAATTTAATGCGATATTATTGGGTCATAAGATAGAGAAAGGAAAGGAAAAAAAATGTTTTCGGTTTTATAACTCTCACGAGATTCCCGCAAATGATAAACATTAATTGTGCATTACTGAGAGATGGCACATTATTAAACACCTGTTTCATTTTGAATGAATGATAAGTGAAAGGAAGGGTAAACAGAAACTAGAGCATAGAGAAAACTCATATCAAGGATGCTTAATTTAATATGCAAATGTGTAAAAAGTGTCGGCAGTCAAAAAGCGCAGATGAGGGAAAAAATTGCATTTTAAATTATGCATAAAGTAAACCATAAAATCAGAAAATCTCATTTAAAAAAAGAAATATTTACTTTCAATGTCAAATGAAGTTTTCTTGTTTAATAAAATCTCTTTTTTTGTTTCTACTTTAAACAGGTCTGGTTCCAGGTTAGTTTACAAATAATTTTCTATTTTTGTTTCACATGAAAATTAAAGATTAGACTTCACAATCTACCAAAATATCGATTTCTTCATTAACCTTACAACACTTTGAATAATTAAATATAATGTCCCAAAACTGAATGTGCTTTCTTTCCTTCTTCTCTCGTTTCCTATTTTTAGAACAGACGAGCCAAATGGAAGAAACGAAAGAAGACCACAAATGTATTTAGAACGCCAGGTATGATTAAGAAGAAAAGGAAAACTTTTTCTCCCAAAAGGAAATTAAATGAGAAAACTAAGTTCATTTGTTTCCTTAGGTTCTTTATTGCCATCACATGGTTTACCACCGTTCGGTGCGAATATCACAAACATAGCTATGAGTGAAAGTTTATGTGGATCTTCAATGTTTGGCACTGACAGATGGAGTGTTGGTGTGAATCCAATGACAGCAGGTAATTAAATAATTAATTTTTAAAATAATAAACGAAAATTCTTGAAAATTTATTACTAAAACAACTATTAAGGCTTTGGTCAACTCAATCAATCATCCTCCCTCTCACAATCCTTGAATGGAGCTTTAAATTCTGGCATTAACATGTCCTCGGCCATGACCACGGGAACATATCAACATTATGGACTTAATGCTTTAGGTAGAAGAAGAATAAGATGAAGATTCCGTTGATATTTTTGCTTGATTGACTTGAAAACTTTTTTTAATTGAATGCAATGCTCGTGACTTCTTCAGTTTTAATTAACATACCATTCTTAAATGTTTTTTTTAATGGACAAAACTCACACTTTTTGACATTTAACTATAAAAATATTTTGGTTGAAACATCAGTAGATACGAGAGTAAAAGAGGAACTCAATTGAATACGCAAACTAACAGTCAGCATGTGTTTCATTCCTTGGATTGTTTAATCACGATGTCAAACCATACGATGAACACGACATTGCTTAAGTTTATTTTTCTTTTTTCTTATCCTAATTAGAGTTTTCTTCTTATTTCTTTGATTGTGTTTATAACTTTTATCGATGTTTACCAGTTTTACAATCTGAATAATGAAAATCACAAACTAAGATTTTTTTCTTCTGTTTATTGTCGTAGCTTTAAACAAAATATTGATAAATAAGTTATTTGCTATGGACACAAGTAATTAAAGCTTTTTTGGTTGCACGCTTGACTTAAGGTTGATAATTAATTTGCTGCTACTGTAGGCGCTATTAAAGTCAGTCATTCATTGTCTAACTTTTGTTATTCTTTTCCCTTAACAGGCGATTCGATGATGTATCATAATTCCACGAACACAAATGGAAATTGTTCTGGTCCCGGTACAGGATCGTCACCAACTGGCTCAACCCCTCCAAATATTAATGCTTGTTCGTCAACAACACCACCATTGTCCAGTGGTCAAACGAGTCAAAGTGATGGAAATGGAAAGTTTGGAGAAGAAATGGTGAGAAGTTTTTCCAATGTTTTTATGAATTATAGTAAATAATTTTAATTAATTTATAGAATACGAACCAGCAGCAATTCGTAAATAGTCAAAATGTGGAGGCTGGAAATGAGGTAATATAATATAGTTCCATAAAAAGTAGAAGTCAACCGCGACGTTAATATTTTTAGGGTGACGACGTTTGGCGAAATCATCATAGCATAGCAGCGCTACGACGGCGCGCCTCTGAACTAAATGGAATTCATTTGGGTTCTTACTCACACAACTACGAACATCATGTCTACTAATGCTTCAATGTTTCAATGTTTTCTTGAGACAATTCCTCAGCATTGAGAAAACAGTTCATTTCTTTTAACATCTCAAAGATGGCGCTGACAAAATTATATTTTCCGTTAAGAAAATCAACAGAAGTGAAAGTTTTATGTTCAGCAAGATTTTATGAAGCTATTTGATGATGATGAACTTCAAGGCTATTTGCTATTTGTTGTCAAACGTTGGTTTCATCAATATCGTTAATTAATTCCTACTTTTGTTAGCAGAATATTCTTTTAATATCAATTAAATATTAATTTCCATGGCAATTTCATCTTAATCACTCGCCAAGTTATGAATTTTGTTTTATTTTTTAAAGAAAACAAAGAGGGAAGAAAAAATTAAATATTAAATGCTTCTTCAAGGCACATTTTAAGAGAAATTATCTCAAAATGATTTCTCAAGACATTCTCAAGAAGTATATTTGATTTAAGTAAATTTCAACAGATAATAGGAAACACTTATAATTATTATTATTCAGAAGAGTCTCAATAGTTAGGATACGTAAAATGTAAATAAACATTTTAATCTCTTTTGTGGAAATCATTAAAAACATTTATCTATCTACTTTTCTTTCCTCTCATCTCGTTATATTTCAATATTTGTTTCGTCCTTACTACGCATTAAACACAATTTCATTTCAAAGAAAAACGATGTATAAAAAATGAAATGAAATGAAAACATTTTTAAGAAGCTTAAAATAATTATATTTCGATGGCCTGTAATAATTGTATACGATTTTTACCGTAGAATATAAATTAAGGTTGATCTAAGACATGAAAAATTTATGAGAAGATGATTTATTGTATCACAACTTCATAGAAAAGAAAATCTTGTATTTTTCCAAATAATTTAACGATGATGCGAAAGAAAAAGCTCGAAACATTTTGGATTTCTGGGAAGCTTTTTATTTATTAAGTACATATATAAGTTTGCTGGGAATTGAAGCATCCTTTAAAGTTCTTTTTTTCTTGTTAAACTGAATGGAAAGCAATGATGAGTAATCATTTATTTGCACAATTAGAATCAATGCAATGACGAACCGAAGTAAGGATAAATGAACAATGTTAGGAGTTAAAGGAAAACCGAGTTGAGCCATCAGCAATGATAATTTTATTTGCAGTTCAAATTGAATTTTGACTTTGCTGCACATGATACTTGTTATTAAGTCATCATTGTCGGTTCTAATGGATTGTAAACTTGTGAATGACATCGACACAAGTTTATTCTTTGCATTAAAGCTTCTTTTTCCTTTGAGTCAATAGATGGAATTGAGTTTTCATCCTTGTTCTCTCAATTGAAGGAAATTCAATGAAAATTTCTGATACAAATTGTCTACACGATTTATTTATTCATCATACAAACAAGTATCTATATAGTTGAGACAAAGTAAACAATTTCAAGATTTGCCAAACATGAGGTGCAAAAATTCGTCCGAATAAAGTTTACACATTCAAAGACCTTTAGCATTAAGAAGAGAAAAAATGATTTTCATAAAATTTTGTTTTATGTAAATTTCTCAACACTGCTGGTTGAGCAACTAGCCAAGCATTAAACATGAAACTATAAATACGTATACGATAAAATGATAATAAATTAGGCGAAATGCATGTCAAATGCAAAAGGAAGAAAACACAATTAAGATAAAATCTGTAAATTAAATAAATAATTCTCAAACCTATTAGCATAAATACATCTCAGTATTTGAAATAAATGTACTTTTGAAAAGATATTTGTCTTGTCAAGTTGATGAGCGTGACAGAACAATCTTAAGCGTGCTCAAAATGATCCGATGAAAGGGTGAAAATAATAAATTAGATGAGTAAATGGTACTAATTATGTATGAATAAAAGAAAAAGGAAAGAAAAATAAAGTTGATATAACAATGTCATTAATCTTGATTTTATAGTGATGCTGAGGAAATTTGCAGCATAATCCGATACACAAACATATCTTATAATTTATATGTTCGGTAAGCAAGAAGAAAAACACCTTTTTCTTGAAGAGATTTACAAGCTTACATATTCCTTAACTGCTCAGAGTGTGAAAATCCCTTGTTGAGAATTTCCACCGTAAATAGAAGCTTTTACACTTACATGTAAATATGTTAGCTTGACAAATACAAGACGAAATCTTTGGAAATAAAGTAAGAATAAGAAAATCATCTCCCACAAGCATTCTTGAAGAAAACTTTCCATACTTCTGCTGAGAGAATTGTTTTAAATTTTATTTTTCATTCTGCAAGAGAGAAAGTTTGAAAAAAGTTAGGAAATTAAAATTATGCTGCAAGCAAGCGAATTTCGCATTTAAAACACTTTCTTTGCCCTTCTTTCTACATGAATTGCTTTGAACTTAGTTAGTTCCCTCTCTCCAACCCATCGGTACCACTTCGAGATTTAAAGTTAAGAAATTTATTCTGCTTAGAAAATTTTTTCGCATTCAAATCCAAACAAAAATATATAAAAAATACCAGAAATGGCATTCCAAGTTTTTGTGCGATAAAAAAAATTAAGTGCAAGCTTCTACATGGATAATTTTGGAACATAAAGAAAAGAAAATTCTCGATTTGTTTCCTACATAGATATGAGAAAACTTTTTCTTCCATTCGTGTTAAGAAAAATATTTCTCAGGTAAACTGTTATGCTCATACGTATGATAAATATTATGATAAAGAAATGGCATTTTCAAACTTCATCTAACTCCCGCATAACTGCTCTTTATCTTTTTAACAATTTATGAATGAGGTGTTGGTCTGGGCTTTTGTTACAGTAAAATAATAACATTTGACAATTTTTGCTTCGACAAATTGACGCATTGACGACTTTGTAGTTTTTGTAAGATTTCTTTTATTAATTTAGTTCATCATCTGTTATTTAAAGAATAGCGAAAATGTCTTTTTATTTATCTCATTTATTCGGCAACTATGGAATGAATTTAAATCATTTTGAAACAGGGAAAACTTAAAGATTTCTGTATTCATTCACCATAGATTCGTAGTTTCTTTTAGCTTCAAAAAGTTTTTTGACAACTTCCGGTTGGTTCAATAATTCATCTTTCAATGGTGGTACATCAAACAGTGATTGAATGACTCTGAATGCTGAAATCTTCATTTCATCACAATTGAAGAGACAAGCAAGTTCGAATACATCCATTGAATTGTCATCATTTAGATTATCAATGATCATCTCCTCAACAATTGTCATCAAATTCTCCACTTTGAACTTTGCTGCGAGAGCGAAAAGTTGCAGCAGATTTGAAAATTCAATTCCTTTATTTTCTTTTCCCTTTTCTTCTTCCTCTTGTTCTTTTATTTCACCAGTGTAGAGAAATTCCAAGAAAATATTTACAACGTCTGAATTTATGTTTTTCATTTGAATTTCATCAGATGGTCGATCCTTCATCTTATCTTCGAAAATTGAAGTGAAAACTGAACTCTGATTAGCTAAAACAACTTTGTGTGCTTTGAAGTTTTCGGTGTCAGTAACAATCGTAATGTCCGACAAACGTCCAGTCGTCCAAAGTTCCTTGAAACCTTCTAGAGCTGCGATTACAAACATTTCCTTATCGTTCTTTACTGGTTTATTACATTCCTCATCAATCATGGCCATCAATTGGGCTACAGGATCAACTTTGTTTCGACAAATATATGTCGTATAAGTTGAGTCAGAATAATAAGCATCAATGGAACGATTTCCAGAAAAGTCTACGAATTTTAAACCATTGTTCAATATTGGCTTGAAAACTTTTGAAGACAAGCAACCCAAATCATTGTTGCGGAATGAAATGTCAATAAGTTTCTTCATATTTCTAAACAGATCGTCTGGAAGTGTAGTGATTTTGTTGCTATCACACCGTAGTATCTGAATATTTTCTAGTCCATCCAAATTTTTTCGCGTTATTGATTTCAATTCACAATAATGAATTAAAACAGCTTTCAAATTAGGAAATATTTTGTTCAGTCCTTGAGGGAAGTAGTTGACTGTTGTATCCCGAAAACGAATCACTTCGACATCTTTGTCACTTTTTCCTTCTAAATGATTTCCATTAATTGTTCGAATGCTTGTATTTGGCTCTTTTATTGAAGATGAAGAAATACTACTCGTGTAGCATATTTTTTCAAATTTATACCATCTCAAGTTTTCAAATTCACAAACTAATTCCATAATGACAAGATCTAGGCAAATAAAAATGATTTTCGAATTATTCGATGTCTGAAAATGAACGTAACAAGAAATAACAAACTGTACATCATGAAGGTCAATCATCAACTGATATATTATCAGCATCATAAAAAGGATATTTCCTTAAATCTCTCTTAATAATTCTTGGAACAAATCTCCTAAAAAATTAATAAGAATTTGACAATTGACTCGTGAATACTTACTTATCTTATCGAAAAAGTATTAAACTCAATTGATTAGCAGGCGTTCAGATCCGTAAGCCTTTTTATTTACAATGTTTTTGTGAATAATATTAAAATAATTATTCAATAGAAAATTAAAGTGAATTGTTTAGCGTTTCAAATGAGACTAATAAAATGGCTAATTTTAGGATGCGAAATTGTCATCAGTCGATTGGGGGTTACTTAAGGGATGCAAAACTGAGATTTCAGCTACATGACCGTTAAATTTGGGTCAAATCACACCAACCCAAATTTGTTAACGTTTATCATCCTCGATTTGTAAAGTTGTGTTGAGTTTTTAAAATAAAAATAAATATTTCTCTACTTGCTTCTCTTTGCAATAAATGATGAAACTTAATATACCTATGTAAAATTAATTAAGAACACTGATGATGACAAAAGCATCTTCGAACTTTAAATTTAATTTCTTTTCACTTTTTTGACATTAATTTACATGTAGATGAAGTTCCAATGGAATTCTTAATTTTGTGGTTGTATGAAGAACATTTTCATATTCTGAGTGGTGAATTATTGCAGAATAATCTCTATTTTAGGAATGTAAGCAATTTTTAAATGAAAACGAATACATATCAACTGTAATTAACAAACTTTTAGATGTCAATAGTTGAATTGATGAGATGAATTGATCGATGATACGATGACCTTGACGATGACGATGACCTTGACGATGACGATTACTGAAATTTTGTAAATCTTTCCTCACATTAAGCAAAGTTCAGAAAATTTAATTATGATTTTTCGCTTTAAGACGAAGAAAAGATTATAATCATCATAATCACCTAAAAAGAGACACAAGTGCCAAAACATCAACCACAAATGATGATGACGAAGACATAAGTGTGCCAAGTCTCACAGATACTATCGGATTGATCGTTCAACTTCATTCTTCTTCAATTTAAGTTTTCAAAGTGTTCTAGTGACAAATCAATTAATGACATTTCCGAATCATTTCAGTCAGCAAGTTAAATCATTTAGAAAAAGTTGTAATTAATTTATTTCAAATATTGGTTTATTTGATTTATTTATTTACAACAATGGAAGCTTCCCGAGTGCCTCTAGTGTTTCTAGGTGTAGAAGGAAACGTCTCGGAAAATTGTTCAACATTTTTGAATCAAATGAAATGATTAAGAAATTGTCTTTGGTCGTTTTTCAACCCATTTTTTGATTTTTTCAAGTGCGAGCACATTATCAACGACTTTTTGGAGATTGGGGCAATTAGTCAACAAATCTTTCTTTGCCATAAAGTTGAGATAATCAATAACACCAGCAAAGTAGACATCAACCCAAGTTAAACGTTTCAATGCAAAATGTCCATTTCCATCTTTGGCAATCTTTTCAAGTTTTTCAAGATAAAATGGAATTGTCTTGTCATGTAATTCTTTCCTTTTAATTTCTTGAATGCTTGGATCAGTTTCGTAATGCATTATTGCAAAATCTGAAAAAGATTTAATTATCATTTTATGATAGATATTTAATTAAATTTTATATTCCTTACTCCATCGGAAATCGTTGATGTTATCGATCATACTATCGATTAAATAATCTTCAATGTCATTTGATCCAACAAGTCCAACTCTTTTCGCAAGAAATCGACAAATTGACAACGATTGATTCATTTGCAGCCCATCAACTTCCAAAATAGGAATTTGGTGGAAAGGGAATGCTAAAATATTTAAAATGAAATCAAGAAATTATCTCCTGTTGATCATTGAACACAGTTTCATATCTATTCACATTCTTTATTCCATGTTGGCCATTGTTTCAAGAAATCAATTCTAAAATCTTCATATTCAATGTCACCATAAGCCAGAAGAAATCGAATTGGCTCACCAAGAGCTTTGCTATTAAAATAAATCAGTTTGTATGACATTTTCTTCTTGACAACTTATGAATCTGCTTCTTTCGACTTTTTCTTACATAATAAACAAAATTCACAAACAAACTCTTGTTTTATGAATTGCGATGAAATTGTCAAGTCATGTTGTGATAAGATAAGTGGCTAATTTGATAAAAAGAGGTGGGAATTAAGTAAATATATTTACTGTCATTTCATTTCTTCAATCATTGATATGTAGCTCAATACTCGAAGTATTCCCGAATATTATATCCTCGATTGATATTTATAACAAACTCATACATAGTACGCATTTTTATAAACAACTCAAATTAATGTTTGTTGATAAGATTTCGGGAATTTTTTGTTTATAAATTTAATTTATGCGCCTTCATTTGATGAGTAAACTGATAGCCTTCGTTTCATTTATCAAGAATAATTCATCAGTCAACAAAACCCTTTATATGACCATTTATTTTTAATTCATTCATTCATCAAGTCAAAATTTCAAGGTCAAAAAAGATTCTAAATGAAGCCTAACGTGATTAAACTTCTCTCAAATTGCTTGTTTAAAGCACTTGATTCGCGAGAAATTAAATAAATATTTTGATATTCTCAGTGTTTGTTCGACGACGAAAGCTGAAAGATTAAACAAAATGTGGTGAGAAATATTTTATGCTAAATATGTAAATTTTCAATGACTTGAATATTTAATTCCTTCTAGGAACAACGAATTCATCTTCCTAACATTGTTGGTGCTTGTTGGGAATGTTCAATGTGATGAAGAGATAATTTGTAGCATTAACAACAAAACTGCTGTAATTAAGAGATTCAATCACAGTTTACCTCTCGGGTTTTATGAAGAAGAAGTTGAGCATTGTCTCATAGCAAATTTAACAAGTACATTGGAACAAGTGACAACATTACCTGAAAACCATTCAATCAAATCATTTGAGGTTTACTTGGTTAAAAATTTCGAGCGATGGAGTCTTCGCAATAAATATTTTCATCTGCCTGAGAATATTTCGTCAATATTTCCTGAATTAATACAATACAAAGTTAAATATTCTAAAGTTAGAGACATCATTAAGAATAATTTTCAAGGGCTTACAAAGTTGGAAGTGTTAGAATTGGAAAATAATAAAATAGTCGGAATTCGGAGAGGTGTCTTCGGTGGCTTGACATCGCTGATAGTTCTAAACTTAGGTGAGACTTCTGAAATCTTTCTTTGAATATAATTGAAGATATAAAACTTCTGTGACAGCTGGTAACGAGATGGAATACATTCAAAAAGAAGCTTTCGTTGGCTTGGATAAATTGGAAGTTTTAGATTTGAACACCAACTCGTTCTTGAAAATTTCACGTACGGTCTTTAAAGGATTGACATCGTTGGAGACTCTCGACCTTTGTAAGAAAATGAAAAGAAGAGAAAGTCAAGTGGAGTGAATTATTTTTGTGTTCCAAATTTTAGCAACGAACTCCATTGAAACTATCGATGAGAAAGCTTTTGAAGATCTGAAGAAATTGAAAACTTTGAAATTGGGATTTAACAGTTTAAATGATTTAAAACGAGGTGTTTTTGACAATTTAATTTCGCTAGTTCAACTCAATCTTGGTAAAGCTTAAAAAGATTTAATTTATGAATATTTTTAATAAATTTTTCTTTCGTCTTTAAAGAACAAAACTACATCAAGTACATTGAAGAAGATACATTTGCGAGTTTACTGAATCTAAGAACAGCAACATTTGTTCACGTCAGAAGATCTGAAAATTGCATCTCTAAAAATTTTGAAGGAGTTGAAGCGATGCAAGAATTGAATTCACTTGTTAAGACCAACTGCAGTGGATGGTGGCCATAGGAAATAATTCAGAAATAATTCAATAAAGTTTCTTTAATTTCCTACAATTGACTTCTGAATAAATTTTTGTCATCACAAAATTCGATGGAAAAGTTTCAATACTTCTTCCATCTTATGAAATTTCGCGAATTGAAATAAAGAAGAAAAGCTTTTAACAGAATAAACACATGAGGTGATATGATTCGATTCAAATCCCTTGTCACAAAAGAACATCAACATCAACAACAAGTCAAGAAAGAAAAATTAAGTAAACAATAAAATCCAAATACTGTAACAACTTTTTTCTTGAGAAACACGAGAAGTGTGTCAAAATGTGGAGCGACAGAAAAAAATTTACGATCAGGAAGTGAAACCATAGCAAAAAAAACGAGAAACTTTTTATTGATCTGAAATCGAAACCATAAAACAACAATTGTAACCCGAATTTTCCATTTTCCCACCCCTAACAATCTCTTCTCTTTTTTTTCCCACCACAGACAAATCGTTGAATTATTGAGAAGGAAATGAGTTCGTTAGCATCGACAATCGTCGTATGAACTATGCCATCAAAATAGAATCTGAAAACCCAAATCGACTATTTTAAAATTCATATTTTTCTAATGCTTCACACGTCTTCCCTTGGAAATGACTTTGATGATTCATAATGTGTTGAAAATGCTTAAATTACTGTCTTATCTTATACACATGTACATGAAACAGATGTACGTACTGACAAACAAAACAAGATTTTCATAATGAAAGAAAAAAATCCCAAGCTGATCACTGAAGCTTCTTCCACTTGAGAATGTCTTCAAAGCACATATTTGCTACTTCTTCACGACTGACTAAGATTTTTTCATCCACCAGCAAAGTAAATCTACTGTCTTGGTGATGCAAGGAGTGAAGTGGATCTTTCAAGAGATTCACTTAAAAGGATTGCGGATTCTTTTACATTCATATCACATCAGTAGCTAAAGGGACTCAATCGGTTTGCATATGGTGGTTAAGAAGAAAAAGTAAAGAAAGGAAAATGATGAAGACGAGAAGAAAGAAAATCCCTTAAAAGAGACATTCTCATATTTTATGGTTCCTTCTGTCGCTTATATCATTTCAATATGATATTATGAGAATGTTCATGTGATATCTACAAAGCACTCTTTCTTCTTCTCCTTTTTCATCTCGGGGATGCCATAAAATAAAGAAGAGTAAAATATAAGGCTTAGAACCTGTGGCAGCAAGACAAAAATTGCGAACCGTGAAATATATGCACGAGATATGCGAAATAAATAAAACCGGGTAGGAGTAAAGAAAGATTTCCACAAATGTGATATGGTGCGAGATATTTTCATGACAAAGAAATGCGGTGAGGAAGAAAAGCCATTCTTGTGGTGATTTACATACTTAAACTTTAAACTAAACTACTTGTTTGATATTCAGATATATGAATTTTCTTTATTTATCATTTAATTAAGTTTTCCGGGATTGTGAACTTGTGATGAACATACAAACATTAATTAATGTTGTTGATTCAGAGGATAATAATAATTTGAGTTCTTTCAACAATAAAATGTTGAAAAGAGAATTAATTTTCTTTAACAAGCTTTCTTTTAATGAAAAGCGACGTTAATTTTCAATGGTCGTTGTTTCACGGTGGAAATCAACACGAATTAAAACTTCTCTCAATATAAATATTAGCGTGTTTATCTGATAAATAAATTGCAAATTTCAAAGAGAATATTTAATAAAAAAAATATGAAAATTATTTTTCCGTTCTCGGACGAGTTTTTGTAGAAGATTTTATTCAATTTCCGGTTTATATTTGAATAAAATATGTGGAGCAACTAGCAGTCGTCTTTTTTATCGTTGTGGCATTTTGTGAACTTTAATGCTGTTTATCTACAAAAAGAAACATTTTTATGACCCGCCTACGATTCTCATAGTTTTTATGATGTTATTGATCGATCGGAATAACTGAATATGACATGTACATAAAATGATAGCAACGTCACCGGGAAATCAATAAATACACTTTTTTGCCTGCCTACAGCGTCTTCGATGATATCGACGTTGATAAGCGCTTTTCATGTTTTACGTGATGAATTTCGTAGGAATTTTCTTGTCCCTTTGCTTTCATCATTTTTAATACGTGTTTTATTACACAATACGAATGATATCATTTGAAGTTATTATTCAGTTCGCGTAGATGCTATAAAAAGGGAGTTGAACCCTAAGTTTCAAGAATGCAACTTAACACTGTCGGGTCGGGTCGTTGAATGATTTTGATTCTCACCCAATGTGAAGAAATTGAGGTCTTTAAGTCGTCTTATCAATCTTCAAGTCTGAATATCTCTTTTTACAGACAATTATACAATTTCGTTATTGAAGGGAAAAAAAAGGCGAAAAGCATTCAACTCTCTAATACTCTTCGAATTAAATTTCCGTGGAAAATTATTTTCTTATGTTTAGTTTGGTTTTGTTTGGCAATTACACTCAGGTTTCGGTCATTCATTATATGAAAACAAACATAAGCTTTTTGGTGTGCATGTTTTCCATTCAAACATTAAACAAGATTATAGTCTGCTGATATTGAGCTACATTTGGCAATTTCTATCACTTGAGCAGTGCAGTTAACAGTTTATTGAGCTTGATATTACTTTCTTCATCTCATTCATGATCGTAATCTACTCTTATTCAGTTTAAAACTTAACAACAAAACTTTTAAACTGTCTACTGCTTCTGTTTATGTTTCAACTTTAATCCTTTCTTTTATTCATTTATTTTCTCAACATAGAGAAACAGAACTTTTTTCCTGTCGTTAAAATTCATTGAGTTATCTTATCTTTAATATTCAATAATTACTTTCGGAACATTCTTGTTATTATCTTCATCAGCATTGTCTTGTTAAACTCTTCTGTTTGTTGTTTTATTTCCATTTTCAATGAAAACTTTTCCGTACAGAATTTGTTAATAAAGAAAGTTTAGCAGGAAAATCAATAAAGTAAATAAATGTTGAAGCATAAATTTTTTTATGTTGCTAAGGAAATTGAATAGATGAAACGGTTGAACGTTATTGTGAATCTATTTATTACGAAAACAGATAATTACTCGTGTCAGCATAATTTTTATTCAATACATTTAATAGACTGGAAACCTAAACAGAATTAAGTCAATTAAAAGTTTTTCTTTGACTTATTAAAAGTTCTAAAATAAACTTCCAGAACTTTATCGTTCAGCTTTGTTAGCACTAATAACTTGCTACGTCAGTCATCCTTGTTTATAAGGAGCTTGTAGTTTCCTAAGAAATAAAAATTTAAATGTCAAGAAGCCAAAAAGCTGATGAGGAACTTTCAAATAATTTGGCCTTGTTAATAAATAATCAATAACAAATCGAGTTTGAGTTTGTCAAATAGAGTTGATTTTAAATAAATATCCACAGGTATTCATTCTCGTTTACTCTCTTTTACCTTGAAGCGTCGTTTTCTAGAAAATCCTTTCAGAAATACATTCATCGATCAAACAATATTCAATTGAAAAGTTTGTTTCAGCTTCGACAAGGCCTTTCTCGTTAGTGCTAAAGAAATATCTGCCAAAATATGTCACACCAGTTAACAAAGCGCGGACTTCACCATGATTCGCTTGGTCAAAATCAAAAGTTTTCTCTTAAAGATTGGTCTAACAACAATCAACTTAAATCTCGAATTTCATGCGATCAACAGAAGTTGGCAGACCGCGTGATTTGTGAAGCGTCTCGAGTCATCGATGAGACGAAGGAAATAACGAACAAGTTTAAGAAGGAAACTGATTACCGTCTCGAAGAGCGAATCGCACATATTGCATTTACTGTTGAAGAATTGCGAGAACAGAAAAGGTTTGGTGAAAAGGAGCAAGAGATTTTGAAGGTTTGTCTAACTTTATCTGCTCCAATCGATTTTTATGTGATTTTTATTCAGGATATGAAAAATCGAATTGAACATGCGATTGATTCGATTAGAAGTGACGCTCTAGTCGTCTGTGAAAAGTGCATCATTATGCGAGAAAACCGAACCGGAATTGGTGAGGGAACGAGTGCAAAATTTTCCAATTTCATTTTTCAATTTCCATCTCAACTCAATAAATAAATTTTTCCAGATAATGTCGATGACGATGTGGAGAAGAGCTTGCGAAAAGAACGTGAAACGATTCTTGGTACGCTTTCTATTCTCGACAACCTTCTTACAGAGACCATCGAGCAGATAAGAAAAGTCAGAGCAGCGATATATCTACTCGATCGTGACCTAGCAAACAAAGAGTCGTCACTTCATATCGACCAACAGAATCTTGTACTGCGTGAAAATCAGATCGACATGAAGATTTATGAAGGCAAAATGGATTTAGATCCTTTGTATGTTCAACTCAAAGATAACTTCGACATTTTTGATTTTTTCCCACGCTTTTTGTTCGAGTTTTGGTCCAACAAAATTTCATAACTCATTTCATTTTCTCATTTTCAATAGCAACTCAACAGTGCTTGAATGGACAAGAGAAACGACGAAAAATATTGAGCTTTGCAAGCAGGAAATCAAATGTGCTATGTCGTTGCGTTCATATGTTGAAATCTTCCTGAAGCAAGCAGTCGAGGATATTTCGAATCATTTTAATCGCACAAACGAACAATTTCGCTTACGTATGGAAGAAATGCGCTATGCAAAAATTAAACTCGAAGGCTTACATTGTGGAACAGCGAACCAGGTTGGATATTCATTTATTATTAACGATCATAAGCACTGCTTGACTTATTTTTTATTTCATTTCTGTCAAGGTTAACGATTTGACCAGAAATATTACGACGTTAGAGAAAGAGTTGGCTGAAAAGGAACGTTATGTGGCGTTATCTCAAATGAGATTGGGAAATCGTGCTCAACGAATTGGGATTGAATTATGTAAAGATAAAGCTCACGACACTTTGATTAGGGAATTGATAGCACTCAAAGATACTTATCAGAAGTTGTCTCACATGATAGATCAGGTTCATTCAGTTATTTTAATAAGAAAACTTTAACATTCACAATTAATTAAACTTTCTTTCTTTTATTATTATGAATTTTATTGCAGTCTAAAACAACTCTTCGTTATTTACTCAACACTCAGGTTGCTTGTTGAAAACTTTCTTTTCATTATTATGCTACTCAAAGTATTCATTCATTTTATTTTCAGATGCTGCAGGAAGAAGAGATTAATTTGAAAATAAACTCCCTGAAAATTGATATGGATTGCATGACAACACGTGAAAGCTTAAAATTTAAAGAGTTTTGAATTTAAGTATTTACTGTTAGTGTTGGGAATTGACAATTTCAAATACAAAGATGATTATTAAGAGAGACCATTTGATGAACTTTTCTTAATTAATACAAGAATAGCTTACTTATAAGGTAATCAAATCACGTCATGCCATGACGTTATAAGAAGAACCCTAAAATTTGGAAAATTTTACCCAATGAAATTCAACTGTCAAGGAAAACCGACCAATTATTTCCTAACACTTACTTTCCTATCGCTTACTTTAGTCAGCTTTCAATACAATTTAAATTCATATTCAAAGCTTTCCTTAATAAAAACAAGAATAAATAAAAATGATGAATATTTTCACTCACCAAAGAAAAAAGACAAAACATAAACAATTTTCTTAAAGCATACGATTTGCTTTGTTTTCTCTAAGGCAAAAAGTGACGTTATGATTGTTGTTTGTTGTCTCATAAATCAAAAATCAGCTTCGCTCCTACACGAAGCACAACTTCATACTCGTCTCATGCAAAAATAAAAATGAAAATTTTCTGTTATTTTCTGAAAGAGGAAGGGAAAGAAAAATTGAAATCGACTCTGAAGTGGAAGCTCGACGCTTGATAACATGCACAAGAATGCAAAATTGTGCTTCGCTTTCAATATAAACATAGTAGCAAGCCATGATAGAAGAATGGTGAAGCATTCATCTGAAGAATAATAATAAAAGTGAATAAAAAATAGATGTTCCGTTTGAAGTTCAATTGAAATGCTTCAATTTCTCAATTTCTTTTTATTATTCTCTTTTTTTCCAAACTTTGTAAAGAATCTTAGATCTTAAGATACTTAAATTTGACATTCATTCTTCCCATTAAATAAGCTTGTAAACTGAATTTTTATAAGAAAAAAATCCTTTAAAACGCGAGATATTTCATGGCAACGAGTAACGACAATTTTATGATGCCAAGTGTTAGAAAAGTCTCAGCATTGCTTAAGGCAACTGCTCCAAAAACAACATCATGAGTTCGTACTGTTGCAGCTTCGGGAAGTGTGCCGAATGATGTGCTATTCTCTTTAATATTATAACCAACTAAGTAAACATCTTGTTCTAGATTGCCTGCTTCCTGAAACTGTTCAATAGAATACCAAAATGGATTTTCTGGATCGTCATTAGGATTTCCTGTCTTAGCAAAGTTCGTGAAAAGTGAAACCATCAAATTGAGTGTGTTAAGTGAAAGTTGATTCATGTTCACTCTCGGCATATGAAGAACTGTTTTGAACAAATGTGCCAAATCATCACCATGCGTTGGTTGACGATACAGATCAACTCCAACCAAAATTTCCCTGAAGACGTTGTTTTGTGAATCAGCATCGAAACGATAAACAAAAGTGTGAGCGTCTTGTTGTGATTGCATTCGATATCGGACAGTTCGATGGGCAGGAAACCAGAGATATGAATCAGCCAATGCGAATAACATTCCATCAGCATTTGTTACTGTTGGTATCAATTGACCGTAATAATTTTCTTGCAGTCTTTGTGCATGACCTAAAGCTTCCTCTCCTGTCCTATTCAATTCTAATTCACGTGGGATGTAAAAACCAAAATTTGCGAAGAAATCCAGGAAAGCTCCGCCAAGTCTGATAAATTGAAGTGTGTCTAAAGTTTCCATTGAAGTTCCTCCAATTAGCATGTTAATATTATTTCCCCATGCATTACGAACTAAAGTTGGGATGTCATCGTTCAAAAAGACTCCTTCGGTGTCATAAGGTTCGATAGTCGGTCCAAAGGCTAAAATAAGTCCATCATTTATTTCCGATTGAGTTAAAAGAAGAGATGAAGCTAGAACAATATCGGCTGGTGGTGCATTCTCCAAAAATGTTAAAATTTCTCGTTCATTTGTAGACTGAAAGTTTAAACTGGAAGCTAATCGTTGTGCCCAATTATTTCTTGGAACTACAGAATATCCATTATGCAAAGCACTTCCAGCCATAAGAATTGCACGATGAAAAAGTCCACGGGAACTTTCAGAGATCATATGGTAATGAACACTTCCTCCACCTGATGACTGCCCGAATAATGTGACTTGATTGGGATCGCCACCAAAATAAGCAATATTGCGCTGAAAGAAAAATCAACATTAATGACGTCAACATTTGCTAGACTTATGATAAGATATAAAAAACTTCATGTACAACTTTATCAACATTAATCTGCTGGTTATCACCATTAATATCAAAGACATTTTTATAAAAAGTTGCTTCTTACTTGAACCCATCTCAAAGCCATCCGTTGATCTTTGAATGCTTGATTTCCCGGAACATAAAGATCAGGATCATCTAAACTGAGAAAACCAAAAGCCAGAAGTCGATAATTCATTGTAACGATTGTCACATTTTGCTCAACAAGATAATCAGGTCCGTAAAATTGTGTGCCGCCAGATCCGCTTTGCCACCCACCACCATGAATCCACACCATGACTGGATAGGGTGTCGGTGGATTTAAATCGTTTGTGTAAACATTGACATGAAGGGAATCGAAGGAAGGTTGAGCTGCTCCAATACCCCAAAATGGTGGGCCTTCTACGGTACAATTTAATGGCGCCTGTAATCGCCAATGTGCTGGTGGTATTGCATCCTAGTTTAAAAGATTTTCTTTAACATTTAATGATTGTAATGACAATTAGTTGAGAACTTACACGGAAGCGCAAACCACCGATTGGAGGTCTTGCATAAGGAATGCCTTGAAAACTATGATATTGGACACCAGCTTCGGTTGTTCTAACACTTCCTTCCACAAATCCCCTTTCTGTGAACACGATAGCAGCTTCTGATATAACGAAAATTGATAAAAAACTAAGCAGAGCGAAATACAAATCCATGTTCGTCGTTGACTTGTACTGGAAGACTGTTGAACAATTCCAAACTTTGCTTTCTTTAAGCTTTCTTATTCGGAAATGTTGATAAGATTAGATTTTAATTTGATGAAATAAGATGGAATTTCGATAAGAAATATTTATGAAATCTTTTTTTATTTCTTTGAGATAATGAAAATAATTTTAAAGTCGCGCATTGGTGACGTGGGATTTATTTCGTGGAAATTGTTAAAAGTTTCTACAGGGGCATTAAAAACGTTTATCATATTTAGAATGAAGACATATTTTATGTAATCATAATTTACAACAGAGGATTAAATTCTCCATTGATTCATGAGTCTTTGATCACTGATAAAAAAATTGTTTAAATTATTTTAAACATTGAATCATTTGAGGAAATTATTAAAAGCTTCTTTGTTTTTCCTCTCATCAATGCACGCTGATTTATTTCGTGGAAATTGTGTAAAGTTTCGACAGGTACATTTAAACCTTATGAAAACACATTTTATGTAATCAAAATTTACAACAGAGGATCAAATTCTCCATTTAGTCTTTGATCACTGATAAAGGAATTGAAACATTGAATAATTTATAGAAATTGTTTAAAGCTTCTTTGTTTTCCATCCCATCAAGACATTAATCATAATTCACTTAACAAGAAAGAAAATAAAATTCTTGTTAACACTTTTCCACGGTTCTTTAATTATAAATGCTTATCTATATAATCGTAGTTTAATGTTTGGTAATTTAATGACAGCGATGAATACACCAACAAAACACTTCAAATTAAATATTTAATCAAAAAGTTTTTCAACTAGAACAGAAGGTGAGAATTGTTTTGAATGTTAATATAGAAAGGAAATTTCATTATTTGATTGATAGCTGTTAAGATGTCACAAATAATATCTCCCTTACTTAGAATAAAGAATAAATTGTTAAATGTAAAAAGCAAGTCTTCTCTTAGAGCAATTTAATGTCTTCGTGATCTCTGGAGAAAGTTTTTCTTGGAAAACTTTTCCAAGACAATTTTGTTTTACCGACAAAGTAAATATTTTCAGCAATGAAAACAAATTCTGAAAAGGTCAAAAAGCTTTTCCGTGTTTCGTCGGATAAAAGTTTCAACATCAATTTAACAGAAAAGTTTTTGTCCTATTTTTCTTTATTTCTTCTGAAATTATCTTAAGGAGATGGAAATACATTTAGGCTGTGAAGGAAAGTGAAGAAAGCGGAAAAGTTTCTGAGATGGGCTTTTGAAATCATAATTGTCGGGAAATATTATTAATTTTCTTTATTAACCCTTTTTGACTTGTTCATGTTCATGTCGTAGAATTCTTTGAGTTGTTTGTCAGTCTCGTAGAAAATGTAAAGAAAAGAGATGGAAAAAGTTTCTTATGTAATTATTCAAACGTCAGTACATCTACATATGTTCAGTTAGAGCTTCTTATGTTGCTCACGAAATTCTCCAAATTGTTATTTATGATTAATTTGCTGATCAATTCTTGGCTACGTTAATAATAAAAGAAGTGAACAATTGAGTAATATTTCCATGTTCGTGCTATAAATAATCGATTCGAACTTTATCAAAACAAAAGATTTCAAATTATTTAATTTATTGAGATCATGTGAAGCTGATTCTGATTCTCAATCTAAATTCTGATTGAAAACACTCGAGAGTACAAATTAAATTTCCTCGAGTCAGCTCTCTTGAGATATTAGTTTAATTATTTCTTATTGAAATTTGAAGCAAGCACAATCGAAGCAAATTTATTTCACAAGTATTCTGTGGATAATGAAATTGGCTTGTCTTTGAACCAAAAATAATTTTACTGAATAATTTCAGAATTCAACATTTGCTCTCAACGTAATGTGGTCAATTAAGATTCATTACACAAAATAATTCGATCATTATTTAGGTCAGAGCACGTTTCATTTTGTTGTTACAATTCTTCCTAATGTGGTCGTCATTGTTCAGATAAGTCATAATATAAATAAGAATATTAATTTACGAAAACAATAATTAATTAGAAGCGAATTAAAGTTTGTTGTTGGATGAGGTTCAGAAATTCTTACAAGTGTTCAAAGTTAAGCTTAACATTTCGCAATTTTGCATTTTTGTAAGGAAAGAAAATCAATTACGCATTGTATCATTATCATTAAAAACGCATTAGAGATGGTGAACGGAATTCCCTTCAGTTCTGGGTTTGAGAAAGGAAAATGTTGGAACATGAAAAGTATTAAAAAACAAAAATTTCAGTAGCGCAACTCATCATGGATTTTTTTTCTCAACCGATTGCGGAAGGGTTGAGAAGTCCAAAATTTAAAACACAACACACACGTCACTGTATTGAAGCTTGTCGATGCTACGTCAGCAAGAAAAAATTTGTGTTCGTTTCCAATCAAGGCTTCAAAACAAGCTCCTTCTGTTACCGCATTCATAAAATGAAAAATTCTCAAATATCTCAGCGAATATTAAGAAAACCGGAAGATATCGAAGACTATTTATTCGCCAAGCTCTGCTATAAAATAATGTAAGGGTTGCTGATTTGCTTTTTATTTCATCTCCCGAATGTGTTATCTACCAGAAAACAATATTAAAGAATGTAAGCAGATTGTTTTTGAAGAGAAACAAGACTTTGAAAATATTTCAAAATTTAACGAAACTTTTTAATATTTCTGATGCATACTAACAACATAACAATCTTCCAACATAACTAAGGAAAACAACATTCTCTTTTTTATCAAAAACTTCGTTCATTTCAAAAGATTCAGAATTCTATTTATCGTACTTCTATGCATTGTTTATGTGTTTAAGTTTGAATGGAAGTGTTTCCTTTTCTAATGCTAAAATAATTTAACATGAAGTGAAATTTCCAAGTAAACTTCAACATCAAAAGTCCGATACAATGAGAACATGTTTGAACAATGTTGGTATGCTGGTTAAATATTAGAAACATAAAGCGTGGCAGATGGACGGGAAAATGGATGAATCGCATCGTATTGTATCGTCAGTTGCCGTCGATTCGAATTGAAAACATAATAAAAATTTATTGCATAAAATAGCATGTAAGAATATGTACATAAAAGTGTTCAAAGTTTGCGTAACAACTACTGTGTAGACAATATAATGCTTTATTCATAAAACGTAAAAGAAAAACTCACTCGAATGAGTGAGCTTACTTTACTCGTTCGATTTTGTTCCTTTTTTTTACTTTCCTGTAAACAGAAAATGGCACATTTAAGAGCAATCGAAGAGACGACCATCAGTTGAATGAAGCGAGCGACAAAAACGAAAGAAAAGCAATTGAAAGCTGAATAATATGAAACATTTATTTTTGTTCAAATACCAATTTATGTTTCTGTGTTTCGTTTACTAATGCGGTTATACAGTGAAAATGGGATTTCACTTGTGTGTCGTTATACGAAATGTAACCGGAAAAGAACAAGAAGATTTCATTGATAAATTTATGGTTTTGTTGTGGACAATTCTTAGCTTCTGATGTCGCTTTTATGGAAGAATATGCAATTAAAGCGCCTGGTGATAAATGATAACATCGTTGGATGAGCTTCAGGAATGATAGAAACAAACTTGAAAATGCTTTTGTGGCTTTAGCAATGACTTTTTGAACTTCTTCGCTTCATCATCTATTTCGAATTTGTCTTTTACGAACTTTTATTTTGTTATCAATTTTGGGTTTAATTTTGCGGAGCAATGAAAGAAAATAATAAGAATAAAATTTGGGAAAGCAGCTTTATCTTCATCAAATTGGAAAATAATTGACCGCTACAGCCAGTGAATAACCGGCAATAACTGAACCATGATTATCTTTTACTGGCTTGCCTTGCATGAAAGCGTTGGAAATCATTAAAACATTCTTTACGCCATTAAAAACTTTACGACTGCAAGCGTCTCCCTTATCGACACTTTCTCATTACTTTTTACCAGCTGTTGATCATATTTATTCTCCAACAGATGCTGATTTGCTAAACATTTTTCTTTACTTCGATAATTTAATTTCTTGACATCATTATTTCCTATTGTTGTTGGTATTTAAGGTTTAAACATCCAGAAAGTTTTGTAATTTTAGATTCATTGTGATAACATGTCATAAACTCGAATGAAAATGTAATTGAAAAGCTTCCTGGAAGCTTGTCGAGATTAGAGGGTTGAAAACACTTTTCATGGTCATACAACGTTGAACTCAAACCCAGTTAAACTTTCACAAAAAAAAAAGGGAAGAAAATTAATTTAAAGTCGTAAATTACATTTTTTTAAGGTTCGACATAAATTCATTCATTCAATTGGATATAACTAAATTAATCATTTTCGAATTGTTTTTAACTACCTCCTGGTGCTTGTTTTTTTTGCCCATGCTGCGCACTTGTAAGCTTCCCTTCTCTAAATATATTTAAGTATATAAAGTTATTTCTGCCAAATGGTTTTCTGGTGAGAAAATTTATTTTATTTAATCGTTTCCACCATGTTCCATTTTAATTCTTGTTAAAGTTCTTTTGCCCCTTTCGGCCTTGGAACAATGGATTTTCATCTCGATAGGGAATTAAATTCCTTCCTTCTCTTGTATATAAATTGATTTACTTTCGAGATTTTATTTCACATTTTTTTTCCTCTTCTTGCTCGGTAAAACGAACATGATTTATTTTTTTGTTCATGATAGAAAATTTATGGGAAATTATTTTTCCGTCTGTCTTGGTTCATGTAAAAACCAAAGGAAAAAAGGAACAAAAATCTCATTTAAGTATAAGCTTAATTAACGAACGACTTAATGAAGATGATTTAAGTATATTCAGATTATGGTTTTGACGTTGGGGTTAAAATTGTGAATGAGAGACAAGGGAACATCCATTGAGTAATTAGGTCTCTCATGACTGTAAATAAATAAAAACATTAACCACTCTCTGTTTAATCAAACTTAACTTCATAAGATGCCCGATACAGAAAATTAAACAAATAAAGAAGAAAATATGCTTGGATAAGATGAGCAAAAAAGAGAAAAGAGCCGCAATATCCCAATGTTTACATAAAGCCTGCATCTTTCACTATAAAGATTTGTGCTGATGAAAAAAAACCGCAGGATAAGAACATCGCTTCTTTTTGCCTTGCACAACACGAATCATCTGTCTAGGCTTCTGTTTTGTCGATGGGTTGGGAAAAGCTTAACACCCGGAATGTTTGTTATTTAACAATCGTCATAATTTTCCGTCTTTGTTTTTTTTCTTTCCCTTCCTTTTATTCTTTGGCGCTCATCATCAATGGTAACCAAGTCAACGGGGATGGTAAGAAGGGAAAAAAGAAATTTCTATGCTTTTGTGTGTTCATAAAAACAAGACAAAATTGAATTATGGTCTCGATGCTGGCAAGAATAGAACGACAGGCATGGCAAATGTTCAAAGAGGCTTCCAAAAGAAATTATTATTACTTTTATTATTATTTTCATATATTCGCATTATGCTCGGCATGAGATTTAGTTAGTTTATTTTTCATTTTACCATATAATGGAAAGTGAGAGCTTTCATAACATACGCCGCCAACCGAAGCGCCTTCAACACATGCAACATTCAACATACGATATGTTCCTTTCGTTACGAGCGCAAATTGAAATCTGGGAAGTCGTAATTTTCCCTTCCACTAACTGAATGAGAAAGAAATAGCAATGAAATCTTTTACGAAAAGCCAAGAAATGCTGGGAATCGTGAATTGAGTATGTTAAGGTAATTCATGGGAAAATAAATTTTCATTCTTTTTATTTATGTCAACGTTTGGGTGAAGTAGGAGGTGGAGGAAAAGAAGCAAAATAACGGAAGTTATGATTGTATTGTTTTCATTTTATTACTGTTATGCTCCTTATTACGGCCATATGTGTATGGTTTTGTCGTGAAAAAAGACGCAATCTGTAAGTATTCATGAATTGAAGATGTTTTGTATTTATAACTTTATTTAGTCGAAGTGATGGTGTGTTGAATACCACAAGGTTGATTTTCGAATGTTAAGCACGTGCTGGGATAGAAAAAAACTCGAATTTTTGTAATAATTCTTCAGACCAACCCACCATCTGGAAAATACTCATATTTATCCTTGAACTTCAATAAAGTCATGTAAACACGCACTGATAAGATGAATTTCTAGAAAACTATTTTGCATTTAATGTAAAAAGTTTTTGGAAGCTTCACCAGCATACCCTGAAACCATTTCTGAAAATGTTTGATGAAATATTTTATAACAAAATTAAATTTATGTAAATTTTTTAGGTTTTCATCTTACTTAGACATAATCTTCATGCAAACTATTTCATGCTTGCAGGTTTTCTTTGCCTTTTTAATTTACATATGATTCACTCATGTGAGTTGGGATTTGAAGCTTCACCTTTGCTGTTATTTGTTTTTTATTTCGCCATTTTACAACAGACAATTGTCGTAAAATTAGTAGAGAAAAGCTTTTATGTTCTGCTGATTTTTCAAATTGGCATTTTCCTTTCCCTCCTTCGATGAGTTGAAAAAACGTTTTGTGCCCTGGACCTGAAAAAAAAAATGAGGAAACACTCCATCAACATTAAATTCTGTTCCACGTCCACACGAAACCAAACACAGAAATAAAAATTTTACTGCCACTCTGTCCATAAATTCGAGGCAAGTGAGATCATGAGAAGAGATTCTCAATTTTAATGTTTTCTTTTTTTTAGGTCGAAACGTAGGATCATAAAACATTTTTCCAGCATTTTCCACCTTTACGAGAGATTTTCTGCTTTCGTTTGTTCATAAAACTTAATATGAACGAAAGGCTTTTGAATTATCCTCCACGTTCTGTCTGAAATACATAATTTTTGAGCCACTTAAATTGCAATTTTCTAGTGGCTGTTGAGACTTTTCAATATGAAAAATTAAACAAATCATGAAGAAGAACATGAGAACTTGAACATTGCCTAGCAATTAATTATATTAATTCTTTGAGCTCAAAAAGAATTTTACTTTCCTTTCATCGTATTTTCGTTTTATAATTAGAACTCGAAATTCTTTGAGGGATATTCAATTTATTATTATGATCGAACAACTTTTAATTAACATAAAAATTTTGTATGGCTTTAAACAAAGCAGACATTCAAAAGATGTTTTAGGCTTCGTCAAAACATCAAAAAATAAAATAATTCTAGTAAATATTTCTTCAACCATTTTTTTTTATAAATTTTTACAAAATATTTTTCCTCTCTTAACAGCGTTAATTTTATGGACGCTTGATGCTGTTTATCTCGAGCAAACAATATTACATAATAATAAAATTTATCAAAAATTGCTCGCAAGACAAGGCTGAGTTCAACTCGTAAAACTGAATCAATAAAGAATGCGCAATGAGGCTTGGTCGAATAATGACGAAAATGGCTTCGAAAAAAGCTTTCTAATCTCGATGTTTGTCTTTTTTCCTTCTTGTTGTTTTCCATCTTCCACTGAAAGCAAGCAAAAAACAAAACGTTTGTAAAAATTATACATTAAGATACGATTGTTTGAGCTTTTCGCTTGCGAAAGAAAAATATAAAAAAAACTTCTCCCTTTAGTCTTTAAAACTTTTCTTCTGTGCTGTGGAAAAACGAGAGAGAAAGAAAAAGTGATGAAGAAATTCGGAAAAAAAGAAAACAAACAAACATTTAAACACATTGAGTGAAAGAAAGGCAAGAACGTAGTGATTTTGCAATGTATCTTGATATCAAGGTCGATATGAGAGTTGAACATAAAAGAAACCAACCAACATTTCCCCTTTACGCGACCATCCAAGCATTAAAGCTCATTAGTCAATGATAAGTTTGTTCAACTTTTTCCCTTTCATAGACATTGCTTATTGATAGGAGAATGTGGTTGTTGTGCTTAACACTGATTCCGACAACTATGAATAAGATTTCTTATCTCTTTAATCTACTCATGGATCTCTTCGATGAACGAAAATGAAAGTTTCCTTCGTCCCGACCAATGTTATTTCATGATAAACAGAGTGGAAGAAGATTGTCATAATAACATGCATAAAATCATTACATATTCATACGACAGCCTCGACCTTTTTCTTCGTTTTCCTTTTAAATGTATGTAGATTGATGGTAGTCGCCGTCAACTTCTGATAAGACATCATTCATCCTTTGCTTTCCATTAATCTGTATAAATATTCAGCTTCAATAACTGGTTGAAAGGAAGTAAAAAAAATATTTTGAGTTAGCATTTATAGATGGGACAAAAATGAAAGACGAAAGAGTGAGAGAGAGAGAGAGAGAGAGACGGCATAAAAGAAGGAAAAGTGGAGGCAAAATGACTCGCAAAAATCATAAAAAAAATTACAAGGAAAGCAAAGCAAAGTAACGTATAGCCGAAAAAAGGAAATATCAAGTTTTCCGCTTCTTGTTTACTACTGAATATGTAGCGCAGGAACTTTCTTGCCTTTTTATTTTTATGTTTTTATTTTTGCTTTGTTTTTGCTGCTTTAAGACTTCTTCTTCATCTTCATCTTCTTATTTATTTTCCTTCATGTTGTCGACAAATGATTCCGAGACTTCATTGCTTAACAGCCTTACAAGTTTCTGAGCTGTGACGTTTGATAATTATTTCCTATGCCTCATGATACATTATGAAGAATTATTGCCGGCACATTTCGTGCTTGCTGAAAACTTTTTAATTAACACTTAATTTTCATGATGTGGTCGGTGAAGGATGTTGACAGCACTCAAAGCAACATTTTTATGAAGCGTTGAATAATGGAAATGATTTCGCAATCAAATCATTTCGTGCTCCAATTTTTTATTTATATTTGATGCCCTGAAGGGTTATGGAAGAAATTTATGATCATTTCCAACAATGTTGTCGTTGTTCAATGAACAAACTGAAGTGTAAGAAGAAGATAAAGAAAAGCTGTCGTAAAACTTTAGACAACTCTACGAACACAAGAATGTTGCGTTAAATAAACTTTTGTTTAAGATTTCATCACGGCTTAGAATCACATGAAAATCTTTCTATCGCTTCCTTGCAATACCAAAATTAATTGATTTAAGTGAAAAGAAGATAGAAAAATATGAAATGAGAAGAAGAAAATTTCGTACGAAATGAGTGCGCCAAAATAGATTTTGTAGGCGTCGATGTTATTACAGTCAAATCGTTTAGTGACGTCGAAATCACTTTTCTTTCGTATAAATGTAACTTTTTCTCTCTTTTTTTCTTTTTTTTTCATTCCACAAATGAGTGGAGAAAAACGAAATCTTTGATAAGCATAACATTGAAAGCAACACACGACAAGAGAACGTGAACAAAACTGTTATATGGACGGATATGAAGGCTACATTATCCGCTACATGAATGCTAAGAAATTGGTACTAAAGACAATACGGCGCGTTCTATTTACTAGATCAGTTGAAAAAATGTTGGGGTAAGACAAGCTTTCTATGTCATGTTTGTCAATTGACGGCGGGAAATGTACAAAAACAACACAAAACATCAACTTAGAAGCTTTTCCGTGATCGTGAGATGATTTCCGATAAATGCAAAAGCAAAAATTTAATCCTTCAGAGATGATAGTCTTTCATTATTACTTTCATTCAATTTGCTGCCGTCTTTCTGTCTTTCATTCTTACTTGACACATAATTTTATCCTTGACTTTCTTAAAACATAATCTCAGCATGTGAAACCAAGGGAAGGAAGTAAAACAATCAGAACATGATAATTAAGTAAATGGTTTTTGTAACCGTCGCTCTTTACAAATAACATAAACTGCTTGATTTCATTCTATTCAGTAAGTCACTCAGTATAAAAACCATAAGCTTTGAAGACAATTTTTTTTTTCTTGTAAATCTGTCATGAAGATTTCAGCTGACGTTGAGACGTGCGAAAAGTTTCTTGATACAAAACTTTTATCCTTGTGATCTAAGAAAGGAAAGTCATTGTCGAGATGTTCAAAAACTTCTTTAAAAATTGTCTCTCTAAGTTTTTTTGGTTGATTTTTAAAGCCATTTTTGTGGGGGGGAAATTACAGTTCATTGTAGTCTCCATTAATGAGTTTTTTCCTTCTTGATATTTACGATCTGTTGAATTAGATGTTCTAAAAAAAAAACTGAAATAGAAAAAATGTCATCAAAAAACGATTCAAAAAAGAAGAAATCTAAATTAATGAAGCCTCAATTTAGATAATCAGATTACGGAAGAAGGAAAAAGGCAATAAAGTTGTTAGTTTGACTATTTGGGAGAAGAACCAACGGCAGACGATGGAAAGCCTAATTATTTGATGTTATTTAAGAGAGTAAATTGTGATGAACATGTTCAAATATCTTCGGCACTAAAAACGAGGCAATTATCTTAACAGCAAATTGCATTTCTAAGGAAATAGAGATTTAAGTCTTTTATTCGCTACTAGAATTGTGAAAAAGATTTTTGTCAAAGTTCTTTCTTTTTTATGTTGTTTCTTTTCGGTCGTTAAAAAGGGTTTAACAGTGCTCTTGTTTCGCTTTTCACATCTCTGTAATGGCATGAAAATTCTATTGACATTTAAGACTTAAGCTTTATCTCAATGAGAAGAGCTGAAGGAAAAATTAATGAAACGTGCGAAATTTGCGGCGTTAAAGCGACAACAAATATAGTAAGTAAGCCTTTTTAATTAAGAACACTCGCACCCTACCCAACGTCGAAAACATTTGGAGCAAAAAAGGCATCAGCAGCAGCAACAACATAAAAACAAGAAAAATCTTTAGTGACAATATTTCATCCAGTGCGTTTAAAAAAATTAAATTTGCAAACACATAATCGCTTCTAGTGAAGAAATGGAGAAGAAAAATTAATTTTCTTTCATCGCTTGGTTTAAGAGAAAATCAAGAAGAAAAAACGAGGAAAGAAGGAAAAAGAAAAACAACATCAAAAGCAATTTATTACTTTCCCAGAGACGTTTTGCCTCCGATTCATGTTTGAAGAATCGCGTTCAATTTCCAACTGGAGCCAAGTGCCAGTGGCAGCAAGTTAAAGGTCCGTTTTTCTGGTCATCAACAAATGTAGAACAATTCACGGGGCTTAAGAAGCCACTGTATCGGGTAAATTATGCAAATCTTACTCTCTGACCTTACGATTTTTATCACGTCTGCTGCTGAATTAATTTTTCCATCGTCTTTTATTCCTTTTTAAGTTTTTTAAAGGGCTACACTCTTAAATAACGTCACTGCTGCGAAACTCTTAACTTTTACTTATCCCTTTTCGACTGTTAAACGTAACATTTCGGATTATAAATCAACGATGGAGAAGGAACGGTTGTTTTCTTAAATAAGCAAAGCATGATGAAAGCAGTTATTTGATTAGCAATAAACTTTTATGATTGGACTAAAGAGCATTAAATTTTTATTTAAAATTAAGTTCAAGGATAGCTGCTCTGCTATTGCTTATACGAGACTTGTTTTAAAATTACTTATTCAGCAGTTGCACTTGAGCAACCTCTTGTTTTATTTAGGAAAGTCTAAAAAAAGTAAATGGCAGTAAAAGACGATTTCCAGACTCTTGAGAGTTGTTCGTTCCATCAACATGTAATCAAATTATGGGCCCGGAATTCGAATGTGTCCGGATTCCGGAAGAATTGTAAAGCATCAAAATCTAAAATTTAATAAGACTACGAAATGAAGAGACGAAAATCCGATGAAAATCATTCGCTGAAAGCATTCCTGCCATTATTTTTCACTTTCAAACAATAAAGCTTCATTCCATTCATCTTCTGTGTCACTTCGCCTTCTCAATCTGATTCAATAAAAGTCAACGACCCATTTTCAATTACCAACCATGCCTTTTTTGCATTCACGCAGGAAAAGCGCGCGACAAATATAAAAACGTCGAGCGTAGCAGAGGGAAAAATAATTTCCCTAAAAACTCAAGTTTCGGTTCAATTCATTTACCATCCATCAAATAAAAGCCCGCAGCAGTAGCAACAACAGCAATAGCATTGCTAACAGTAGTTCGTCTTCTCCCCTTCCCTATAAAAAATTTTACTTGTTTTAACAAGTTCTTCTAAACCATTCCACAAACATTCTTGGGAAAAAGAAATCATAATCATAAAAACAGAATCCACAGAAGGAGAAGAGAAAAAAATGCTTCACGGGTTTGATTGTAATAAAAATGTCACAGAAAAAAAATTGGATCGTAAATTTCGAGACGGCCAAAATTAATATTTTTCTCCCCTCGATTTCTGATGCAATGAGTTCTCTCTTCCGGGGCTCCATTTATGGTTTACAATCAACAATCAAGATCGCTTTCATTAATGGGAAGAGCGTCGAAGAAAGCAACGATGAGAGAGATGAAAAAAGAATTGCTGGAATGATTTCAACGGAAATGCAAGAAGCGCGATGTTGGAATCATGAAAATATGACAGAAAATTAAGAGAATGTTTTATTACAAATTGTTGGAGTTGAACTCTAAAGATGGTAATCAACAATCCCATCCAACTACTCTACATTTATTCATTCGTTTTCATTCTTTAAATCTGAAATAAAAATCTCGTGTCATCAAATAATGTGGAAAGTTCTTTTGTTTTGTTTTGTATTCTCTCAACAACCATCATCCTTTCAGCTACACAATATTGTGGCAACCCAAAAGAGCTTTTGTTCTGATGAAATGTTTTCGTGTCAAACTAGCATTCAACGTTAAATCTCTCTGAATATTCCATGATACTTACTCACTTACAGTTTCACGAATAAAGAACAAGAAATTACGTTCGGTTGTGAGTTGTGTAGACATTTAATGCATTTGAATTGAAAATTGAAAGGCAGGAAAAGCGATTTAAATCACATTTAAATTAAAATATTACGATGCTTCTGGTCGGTTGTGTTTTACATACATTTGAAATTCCATCTTCAAAGCATGACAAAATTCTCTCGTATTTTCCAGTGTGACAACGAATTTCGGTTCCTAAGCCCATTTGCTTCAATGCATCTCTACATTCACCTCGAGAATGTTTAGAAAATATGTCCATTCACATGAAGTGCTTGCCTAAGAATTGGAATTATTTGTGGCGTTTTCACATCTCATTTTCCTTTATTTTTCAAAAAAAGAAAAGAAAAACTTTCAAACTCGACAATTGTTTCGCTTCGTTTCGTTTACAAAAACAACAACATGAACATTTGAAACGACAAATTGTTGTGAAAGTCTTTCTTCCTTCTTTCTTTAGCAGCCTTTATCGGTTGTTTGCTTTTCTCTACCCATGTGTTTAAGCATAAGGAAAATTTTAAGTCTTTCCTGTACTCGTGGGGGTTGGAAAATGTTTTTGTTTTTCAACTGCTTTCTTTGAACATTTGCAATACTCGAAGGATATTTACGACATGATTGAATATCGAAATGGAGCTATTTGTTGATCAAGTTGTCGACATAAGTCGAGACATTTGAGCGACTTAAAGTTAATAACATGATTTTCATTTAGCAATAAGTTATTTAATGATAGTCACGAGGAAAAGTTTTTTACGATAACATTTTCCATTTTCATTTTATCTAAGAACAATTAAACTATTGTCGACACATTTTTTTTTTGAAGCTGCATGAGCGTGTAATTAAATGATTCAATTGGACGATTTCTTTTGTCCATCATCCTCACTTTGAATGGATCCACTCCCGTCAATAGAATGACAACGAAATGAACATTTTTATTACATCTTTCTATTTGTTCCATCTCTCAACTTCCCCATTGAGAGCTCTTTTTTTTAATGCTGTCTCAGTCTCCTTCATTTTCTCGCATTTCAACAGTTCCAAATCAACAAAGAACGATGGAAATAAAAATTTAATTCCTACAATTGAATGCTGCCAAGAACATTTGAACTGAGGCAGTGAAAAGTAAATAAAAATATCTTGCTGAGGAAAAAAGCACAAGCGGAAGCTGTTAAGACAATGAAATGGACCGTTATAATTAATTTTCCACTTTTCATGACCTAAACATTTCCTTTAATTTTTTTTCCCTTTTTATTTACTCATTAAAATCGATGTAAATTGAATGTTAATTGATGCTGCTCTTTGACGGAATCCTTTTCTTACTCTTTCTTCATTTCCTTCTCTCTCTCTCACTTACCCTAACTTAAATTAAGGTTTAAATTTCTCGGAAAAAAGAAAAACTGTGAAAGAAGACACTTTGACTCATCTGTAAGGTAAAATAAAGCAATGAAAATAAAAACCTTTGTTTTATGATATGAAAAAAAGTGAACATTAAAAAGGTTTATTTTCACATTAACAACTTCTTTTAAAATTTTCATAATAAATGCACATTTTTTACCTCACCGCGAGTTATCTTGAACACCAACGAAAAGGCAGAAACAAAAATAAAAATAAAAAAGGGTTTCCCTAAAGTTTTTTTCTCTCGTTCATTTTATTGCTGTAGATACGGCAGAGAACTCATTAATTCACTTCGAATTGTTTTTAATGAAGTCATAGATGACGGCAAAGTCTTTATTTCCCAAACCTTTTGCGATCATCATCCGGTAGATGTGATGGGATAAAGCACCCAATGGAATGGGTGAGTTTGTTTCGGTGGCTGTGGAAAATTTCAATTTAAATATCTTCAACTTAAAGTTTTTCTTGAAGGAAACTTACCAACACTTGATGCAAGTCCCAAATCTTTTGTAATCAAAGCTGCAGAGAAGCCTCCATTATAGTTATCACTTGGTGGTGCTGTTGGATTCAACCCAGGCACTGGATTGTTAACTTCTGATGCCCATGAACGTCCTGTCGATGAATTAATAATTTCGTTAAATACTTTTGGATCAAGTCCCATGCGAATGGCAAGATTCATAGTCTCAGCTGTGCCAATCATAGAAATTGCCAACATCATGTTGTTGCAAATCTTTGCTGCTTCACCCATTCCGGTTGTCCCGCAGTGAGTGATCTTTCTGCCCATTCCTAAAATTAATGAAAAGTCGGTAAAAGGAATTTTTTCTTGTTTTTAACATTTATAAATTGAAACCTTCTAAGAAACCCTTCACTTTGTTATACTCGTCAGTTGTTCCTCCAACCATAAAAGTAAGTGTAGCATTTTGAGCGCCCATAACACCCCCTGAAACTGGAGCATCGACAAAACTTGCGCCTGCTGCCTTGACAATCTTTTGTACATATTTCGACACATTAGGATCAACAGTTGAGGAATCGACAAATAGTGTGTTGCTGTTGACACCATCTTTAATCATTTCTTCATAGGTTTGTGTCACAATATCATTATTTGGCAACATTGTGATGACAAATTCTGAACTTTTTGCCAATTCTCGTGTGTTACCAAAAACTTTCGCTCCTTTCGTCTTCATTGCGTCACAAGCATCTGATGATACATCATAAACATTTAATTTATATCCCTAAAATAAATGTTCATTGATATCAGTTTCATGTTATGAGAATCAATTAAACATGTTCATCGATAAATGTGTGGGAAAATTTTCAGAGGATTATGATAAAGTTAATGACATTTACACTGACGCTACTGTGTGTTCTCATTAAACATCAGAGAGGTGGGAAAAGCTTTTACGCTTTTAAATTCTTCCATTTCATTTCATTAGATTGAACTCAAATAACAGCGTCGAACGAGACAAGAAACAGCGGCAGGTGAAGCACGGTGGGATCATTACCGACACCCGCACACTCTTTACAAGATAAGAAGAGATAATGACAGCCGCTTTTGCGTTCAATTCCATAAACTGAATTATTATGATTATGTGGTAAATGAGATTAGGGAATTTGAGGATAAACGAAAAAAAATTATTGATAACAATCAAGAGATAAAGATCGAGAAAGTTCATTGTAACCATTCGAGGCTTTAGATTTAGGTAAATGTCTGATAAATGTTAAGAACGTCACGAGTGTAAATGTCCTATCAATTCACAAACAAAATTATTTTCTACTCTTTTTGATTCTCTTTTACTCACCTTATTGATCAAGTTTGTTGCCATCCGATTGCCCATTTGACCAAGGCCAACAAAGCCAACTGTTGTCGCATTTGTTGACATCATTCTTGCGAAGTTTGGAGTTAACTTAAGAATGCGAAAAGCCATTTTGAATCACAATTTTATGAGAAATGTATCAAATGAAAGTAAAAAAAGATGATTTAGAAAATACTACAAGGCCACTGTGGGAAGACAAAATAATCCACGTGTCTGTTCACGGTTTCAATAACGATTCAAGACTGAGGCAAATGAAAATTTGCTTACACTTTCGAATGAATTTTATATGAGGAGAAAAGAGAGAAAATATGTTGTTTTTGAAGATAACAAGAAATTAAAAAAAAACACGCACACTCATCGAAAGAAACTTTAAACTTTAATAAAAAAAAGAATTTTGTGTGTTTTTCTTTCTCCATATTATTACAGCCAACATCAGCTGAATTTGAATGTGAAGAGAGAAACAACACAAACGAAACTTTTTTTTCCCGGTTAAACATGTGAATGTGTTCAAGTCAAGAGAATATTTTATTAATGAAGGCAATCACTAGAGCCCGGATATATCGTAATTTCCAATTTAAAGAGTGCACTCAATTCGTTTTTTTTTATCAAATTTTATTCAATCAATGTTTGAGTTCATTTACCTAATCATATCTAGTGACATGAACGTAGATAAAAAAATGTTATGTTAATGCATTATTTAGAATCAAATTTTTCTGTAGACATAAAAATATGTGCATGCAATTTAACAGGAAGTGAGCTGAGATTTCGAATAAATATATTAATTAAAAACAGGAGGAGGAAAACAAATATATAATTAATTTCGTTTGCAATTAGCGCCGCGAAATAATAACAAACCACAATATTTATACTGCCGCACGATAGCGCCTAGTGTCGAGAGAAAGCTTTATAAATTTGAGCTTAGCTCTTGATATCTTTATTAATTATCATTCCCATAACATGACATGATTCTACGCTCAACATTCCTACTAAATGCGTTAGTTCTTGAAATTTTATTGAAATCGGTGCTGATGGTAGCATAAAAGTCAATAATTCCTTTGCTGCCATCACATAACACTGAGTACTACTTACAGCCACTTGAATTTTTTATACAATTTTTTCAACGAGCATTGTATTGCATGATATGTTTTTTAATATATGTTGCGAAACTTGAAAAGAAAATTTAAACATGAATAAATACAATTTTATACAATTCTGTTACCAAGAGAACCCGAATTTGCTGGTAGGTTAAAACACGATCTGATGCAATTTACGTTTTTTTTTGTTTGGGAATTTACGCCCGACGTGAGATGTTTGGCACTTAAAAATTCCTAAAAAAAAGTGAGCAAATATTCATTTTATGATGGGAACCGTGGAACACATGTTTAAACGAAATATAATATCGAACAATTTAAGCATCATGCCTGTTTCTGATCATGTAGTGTGCCTGTTTTCCACGTCTACAAGCATTCATAAACGAGGAAAAAATAATAATTGAATCATGATGGAAATTGATATGATACATTTTCACAGTTTTCCGTCAATTTATTCGAATATCTGATTTGAATGCTAATGTCGTCCAATCAACCATGAATAAATTGCTTCGAATGGAATTTACGTAAAACGATATGAGGATTATTTAAATATTTTCTCACTGTCCATAATGAGTTTTCATATCAAGTGATCAGAGATAGCATTTATCTTCGATTATATTAATGATCATTAATGTTTGTTTAGTCAAGTAAAATAGATTTTTAGACAATTATTTTCTCGACTTTCATCTGTCTGGAATCTCGTTTAATGATTAAAACTGCGCTTTATTTACAGTTGAATAAAATGTTTTTAAAATGAGTTTCATTGCAATTTATTTATGTAACTGAGAATTTCATTCATTCTGCTTTGCTTTCATCAACTTTTCGCGATGGAGAATGAAAACATCGCCTTAGCTGGATAAATGAATTTAATTCTCTGATATTTGCATAGATTTTCAATCCCTCCATGAAGTTTGTGAATGTTTTATGCTATGAAAGCTTCAACTAATTCAAATTAACTCACATTTCGTGTTTATTTTAAATTTATTTTTAATTGCAACACTTTCAATCCAAATTTTTTAAATTTTAAACAAAACAAGTCATATTTTGAAACATGATTTAAAAACCTTTTTAATTACATTCTTCGATATTCATCACGAAATAATAAACATTAAGTTTATTCAAAAAGCACTTGTGGAAATCAAATTATTAGCTCAACTTGCAACGGTTATTAAAAATTTATTTATTTTATTTTTATTAAAAATACTATAAGCTGGTTAATTTTACATTTTCAAAACATCCATGATGGAATAAAATATTTTGGATAATTTACTATGAAACTCATTACAAGTTTCTCATGAATAATTCAAAAGTGAGGAAAAAAGTAATAAAACCATCAGAGGTAAAAAATTGGAACCATAAAAGCTTTTCTTAGTTCATCGCGGTTGCATGGTAGGAAAAATTTAAACATGCAGATAAAATTTGCATTCAAAACTTTTGTTAAATTTACTTTGGAGACCACATATGAAAGGCTTTAAGTATGCTATTTTAATGGCAACATTCACATTTAAACTTTAACATTTTTACTATTCGACTGTTGACATTAAAACCGAAAAGTTTTATTTGGGAAAATATAAAAATTTGCAATTCAATTTGCGTTCAGAAAAATTTCTGTAATTGCTGTAAAACATATAATTTCCTGTTGGTTATTAAATTAAATTGATTTTTACAAATATCTATCGGAGTTCAATTCCTTTTTTCTCAATTTTATTTGTTAAAAATTCAATGAAGCAGAAATTTCAACTTCGAATGGTTAATTAAAATTTTATTTTCAATATTTAATGACGTGGTTGTTGATATTAATAATTGATATTAAAAATCAAAATTGATTTCCGGAAATGTGTTATTAAATACTTACTGACTTTGATGGAGAAAGTTCTTGTGATTCTTTTCAAATTTAATATTTGTTATCATAATCTTAACAGCCACTACTGCTACTGGCATTTATATTGAACTTTAATAAACCGAAAGTTATACAAATTAAAAGGGAATTTTAAAATGGTGTCTAAAATTGCTTTAAACTTATAAATTCAGAAGAATCTTAAAAAAGTTTTGAAAGCAAACCAAAGATTTGAAGCGCAAGATTGGATGGAAATAAAAATGTCGATAAAAATATAAAAATTGTTCAATTTTATCTATTTAGACAGCAATTATAGTCAATTTAATTGGAAATGAAAATTAATTTAACACGAGTTGACAAACAATATTTGCTAATTTATAAAACAATTGTTTCAAAATTTCATCATTAATGTTGATTCGTTAAGTTCTCATATGTTTGGATCAGATGTTCGACACAATTCGGAAAATATATTTGTTTTATCAAAGTTTCTCATTCGTGGCGACAGTTAAACAAACCACAAATATCTTGCAGCACAATAAAGAGAAGCTTTTATGCAATTACTTGATTATTACCAGCATAAATCAAAAGGTTCATGATATTATTAAATTTGAAATTTGATGGTCAGAGGAGTGAAACTTACAAAAGTGACAAAATTTCCGTTAGTAATAAATATGCATACTTGATATCTGAAGCATGGAACGATTAGCTCATGCTTATGCTTCTGTAGCTTATCTCTGTTTGTAACAATTGTGTCAACAATTAGATATCATACATATCGGAGAAATGCACTTTTCATAATAGTTCTCAAATAAATCACACAAAATTAAACTATGTGGAAAATGAAATTGTTTTTACATCCCACAACAAACGCCCATTGGAAATCGTGCTTCGTTCACAGAGGAATGCCCTAATGTATGTCAAAAGCATTTAACGACACTCGAACGTATTGTCCTCAATTGTTGTGCGTTTGATTTATGGCGTGATTTCAAAATACGGGCCATAATGAGTGGCTATAAATTCACAAATTTCCTCTCTTCCCCTCGTTAGACAATCAAGACTTTTCCCAGCTACCAGTTGTGACATATTCCTCGGTAATTGTGTATAATTCTATTACACATCCATAAACATTATTTCATTTCTCATAATTGTTTGCAAATTGCCTATCTACGAAAGCACATTCACGACTAATAGGGTTGGATTATTTTCGGAATCAAAGCTAACAGTCGGAAGGTTATTTAATCATTCTTGAGCTTATTCTTCTATTTATGTGGTGATGCTTTAAGAAATTTCCTTTTCTGTAATAATTTTCGATACACCAACATGCGATTTAGTAATTAATGAAACAAAACCATGATATGAGTAATTACTTTAGATTTCACAACTCAGTATCTAAATGGAAATTCAAATCTCAATCTTCCAAGTATGTAGCAACAAATAGCTTTAATGTTAGCTTCTTTCATAAAGCTCTCATATTCATATCTCGTGTATATGTATGTCGACATTTTATGAGTAATGAGAACTTTTCCAGATGTAAATCCATCTAAACTACCAATGTCGTAACCAAAGAAACAAAAACAAAGTCTGTTGCCAGATTAGCATACAGCAGCTTTTAATCCATTTTCTGTCTCATTTATCTCATGAATTATAAATGACTTTCAAAGTATTATAAACATTCGCTTTACATGTATATTAAGAAGAATTAAATGTAAATTTCCTCTCCCATTCGTTGAAAACAAAAGTAATTTTATCTCTTTCATTCGCGTAGAAAACTAATTAAATTTGCATAAATTTGGAAACATTTTAAGACGAGTAGTCATTTGTGTTGATATTGTGAAGGGAGGTGAGTGAGAGAGAGAGAGAGTGTGTGGAAAATCATTTGAAGTAACATACGTGAGAAAATTCCTTCTACTTTTCCAAGTCGTGGGAGATTCCTTTTAAGCTAGAACTGAATATTTATTTGCATTCTTCTTTCTAACTTCCATCGTCACTGACATACATTTGATTCACGTTCTTAATGTGCTTAACACTTTAATGTGTGTTGTTTCTCGCAAATGCAACACGAGATTTATGTCTCATTGAAGTTTAATTATTCATGCTCATGAATACTTTGAATTTCTTCATTCAAAAGCAATTCAAGAATTTTCATAATGTTCATTCCAAGATCTTGAAAGAAAATTTTCCCAAAGCACTATAAAAGCTTATTTCACTTTTCTGAGAATAAAATCTAGATATCTAATTATCATGTTATGTTGTGTTGTTTTTCTGCTATCTCAATTTCGAATGACATGTAACGAATAAAAATAAGCAGCATGAAAACGAGAAAATTCAAAAATTTTCCAAGAAGATTAGAAGGAATTTTCTCGTGTGATTGCAAACATTTTAAGAATTACATTTACGGAGTGAAAGAAGGAATTGTTTTCAATGCTTGACTTCTTTTAAGTTTATCCTCATAATTAGAGATTATTGTGAGAATGTAACATGTGCAAAGGTTTTTGTCGAGATGACAAAACCTTGTGAAAAACATCATCAGTTAATCATAAGTCGTCGTGAAATATAAATAGAAATGATGCTGTAAAATGTTGGGTAAAAGTTTTGACAGAAAACACGTTATAACAATAAAATGAATTATTTATTCGATCCAATGACTCAAAACGTTGTTACCGGATATTATTTCTTAGAAGAAATCCATGACTCTTGTGGCTTTGGCACTCTTCGATGTCATATCACTTAACGACGTTAACGCATTTATTGTCTGAACAAATGGGTTTGGAAAATAAGTGCTAACATGTGTAAGAACAATAAATAAAATCAACATGTACACGAGAATTCCATTTTTAATGGCGTTGGTTGTCACAACCTGAGTGTTTAATGTAGGTGGAAGTTGAATTAATTTCCACTTCCGAAGTGAAAACAAAAACTTCAATCTCGACAGAAGAACAAAAATAAAAATGCGAATTGGTAGAATAGCAATTATCAATGTTTGAGGGCCTAGAGTATCGTTCAATAGCAAATGGAATTAAAAAGATACACAAAAAGCTTTTCAAGCTTTTTCGGCCTCGTTGTCGGTTTTCGATACATAAAGCGAGGAAATTTTATCAGACACTGCGAAACAATGCTGAGCTGTTGGGTAAATATTTGTGAACAGAACACTCGCCTCTTCTTTTCTTTTCATTTCTTCTTTTTCTTGCCCATGCCTCCCCATCCCATTTGCTTTCTCACTTTCTTCCGGTTCGGATGAGAATGTCCTCGCTTTTTCATAAAACATCAACAAATATATACTTTGTCTTGACAAAACAAAACCGCAGATTTAAAAATAAGCGAAGAGCTTTACAAAAGCTGAATGAAAGGAGATTTAAAGAAATTTATCTCATCCCAATCATGGCGATGTTAAATTTAAAACCATAAGAGTGAAATTTATATTGTTACTGTTAAGCTTCGCTTGTTTAAAAAGCAACCACAATCGTTTTCGTATATTTAAGGTCTGCAACAATAGACGAAGATCTTAACTGCATTTTTGTGTCTTTATTTCTCCCCTCTTAACATTCTTCGGCTTATGAAATGATATAATTCCAACGAAATGAACTTAGAATAGTGTCGGTTAAAAACTTTTCTTCAAAAGGCATCGTCTTGTACTATAAAATTTATTTAATATTTTATTCCAAGAAGCGAAATGTCACAAAACCGCAACATGAAATGTTGGCATGTGCTTAAGTAAGAAATAAAAATATCTACTTCTCCGTTACGAAAATTTTCACATTAGAGTATTACAAACACAAGCCATTACAAGTCAACATCAAATATATCAAAAAAAAAAGGGAAAGAAACTTTATCGTTTCAAGGTTCATAAAAATGAACATGAAAATCAGAATGCTAAGAAGGAAGAAACTTTACTTCACTACTTTCTTAAACCTCTGCTACACTCTGCGCAATCTTATGAAAGTTTTATGGTTCTCGTTCGTTCCATTTCGTCCTACTTTTGGGAACTTGTCTGCTGAAAATGGTGAAATAAGTGTTTACTAAAATGCTGCAACACTTCTCATAAACAACCATTTTATGGTCATAAAAATGATAATTTACCCAATATTTGTATGCATTATTTATGGAACTTACAAAGATTTTTTGTACATACATGTGACTGAATGGATTAAGGATAAGGGACTGTGAAGCATTTGCCTTTATTTATGACTCACTTTCATTTCTTGGCGGATGCTCATAACAGGAAACATTTCCAAATATTTATTGAAAGAATCTCATGGGAAATCTGAAAGGGATTTATTTTCATCCGATACGAATCAATGTGATAGTTCCAAAAATTTAATGGATTTTTCTAGCTCGTTTTATGTTGCATTTCTTTTTTATTTTTTTTTATTATTGCGAGCATATTTTATGTAGAAGGAAATTACGTGAAATTTCAATTACAAACACCCGAGAGAAAATGTTTTGAAGACATTTGATTGAATAGGGAAATGCGAAACTTTGGTAATCCCATGTTCACTACTTTCAAGCATCGTTGGAACATCAATAACGGAATAAAGTTGACATCGTCATTCCACATTTGTTGTATGTATCACAAATCTACATTTTATTGAAACAGCTTTACGATGACGTCTTTCAAATGAGAGAGAACAAATTTTAATACATCTTTTTGTTTTCTTTTTATTTTATTTTTATTACAGTGCATTATTCTTATGTATGTTTTTCATTTTGTACCTACATTGGTACGCACAAAAATGAGAGAAAAAAAACGACAATTTCCATTCATACTCAAAGAAAGTTTATTTCTCCGAGATAAATTTCATGAAATTTTCCATTGTTATTTGAATTTTATGAAACTTTATGAGAAATAAGTTTAAAATTTGAAGTCAGAAAGTTTTAAAGCCACAAAGTTTGCATCAATGACTGATGTGTATTCCATTTAAACGATAGAAAATTAACCTTAATTGTTTAACAGTTAAGATTGAATATCTTTCGTATAGAGACATTAATTGAATCAAACTTCATGAAAACTTCTTCTATTCGATGTTTGAATGTTTGAATATAAACTCTTGCCAAATAGCAATAAGTTTTCATTGAAATGAACTTTATGCACAAACAATCGTTATTTCACGTCATGAAACTATAGTAAATCAAATTTATTTCTAACATTTTTCTTATGATATTTTTCAATTTCATTTCAATTTCCATCTATTTTTGTTGCTTCTTCTCTTTTTCAGAACATTCTTTATTGAACTTTCATTAAAATAAAGTAAAGAAGGAAAAATAACTAACTAATGCTCTTCATATTTCTTTTGTTACAAACACAATTGATATTCATTGGCTTCTAGATATTACATGAAGTTTTCTGTAGGTAAATATTTATGAATTTTATGCAATTTTTATGAAAAAATTCTGATATCTCTTAAAGGAATTTATTGTGTGGAGAAAATTTTTAAGTAAATATTCAATGAAAAAGAATTTTTTTAATTTTAATCTATCTTTATAGCTTCTCCGTATTCATTTCTTTAAATTTCTTTTTAATCCTACGTTGAAAACGATAGATATTTATTGTTTATTGACTAATTTCATTTATAGAGAAGGGAACATAAATTTCTTAAACTTCTAGCATAACTTTTGTACAACAACATTTTTTTGGAGATATTTACAGACAGCTTGTAATCTGTCAAAAAAGGTAATTGATGATTTTCTTCCTTTAATATCAGTTCGTAAAAGGTTATACAATCTTGAGTGATAATCACTTAGTAAAAGTAAATGCGAGAAATTTCATAATGCGTGATAATCGGATTTTATTTCTAATTATGTTGATTTGCTAATCTTGTAACCTTTTCACTCTTGATATAAAAATTAATGTTGTCACAATATAAAGTAAACTAATTATAGAGTTTCGTAAGCAAGATTAAATGAAAGTCAATGTAAACTGTGCATTAATTTAGATGAGAATTATAAAAAGTTTTACTGTTTAAAACTATTCTTTCAATGATTGCATTTCTCTTCTGTTGATAGACACAGAGAAATGTATTAACAGAATCATTCAAATAGTTTCTGGTAATGAATGCTGCGGTATTGCAGATTAAAATGAAAAAAATTCTTAATTAACCCGTCGCCTTAATTTCACCTAATTAAATTTAAAACTTTAACATTGTATAAACTATTATGTGAAACAATTATAAAATATAACAAAACTAAAACAAATAAAGTGCTCGTCGAGGTGATGCGGAGCGCGTTATTATGCTGCATCGCTGCGGGATGTTCGCCTGTAAAAGAAGAAAGAAAAAACATAGAAAATGAGAAAATGGTGGAATGAGTTCAATGCTATGAAGTTATTAATTAATTTCTCAAATGAATTTTAAAGGCTTGATTCAGTGCTACATTCAAGTCAAGACATTTTCCTTTCCTTTCTTTCGAAAAAGAATGAACAAAAACTTTTCCAAGCAAATGGGAAGAATAAAAAAGTTTCCTGAACGTATAAAAAAAGGAAGAAAATTCTTTTGCACTTTGAAATTTCATAAAACTTTTCCCAAGATGAAAATTTAACTTGTAATTTTTCCGCCTTACCACTTATGACATTGACGAAAACACTTGCTGATTTTGCTATCGTTGGAACACCTGAGAAGAAAGATTATGCGTGAGACATAAAAGTTGTCAACTTCAAAAAGAGAAAAAATTGTTAAATGTTCATTACATGTATAATTTCCGCTATCTGATTGCGCCGCACGTTGAATTCTTAATCTAAAGTCGAGACAACAACACGGTAGAAGTGAGTGAGATGTTAAAAAGAGAAAGATAAAAGTCACATTAAGGTTATTGATTTTGTAATTATGCGGGTTGATGTTCTTTAAATCGGATTAAATCAAGAGAGGTGGGAGCAGAGAAAAATCAAAATGAAACAGAGAAAGAAGGAGAAGCGAATATATTTTACCTCGATGTTAATCCGTCTGATGAATCAGTGTCAACACTGATCCGGTTCACATCGTCAGAATTTATGTCGTTCTCATGTAACCTAGTTTGAATCATATCGCTTCCTGTTGTCATTTGTTGTGAAATAATGCATGTTTAAGTATGATAAATGGTTAAGTTTGATAGAGCGAAACGGACATGCAACATATTGCATTTTACAACTCACCCTTGTACCAATATATTGTGCCCAAGTCGTGTGGTCCTTGCTGCAACATGCAGATTAATGTTATTTCACTCCCGGATTTTACATACAAGTCAGAAGGGCCAAGAACACGGGCTTTTAATTCTGCAACGAGTAGGATTAAAACTTGAAAAGCTTGCAAAAAATATTTCATTTTTTTATTTCACAACACGACAAAGAAAGTTGCTGAGTTTCGAATGAATTTTCCAGTTCAGTGGCTCTGACTAAATGCATTCCTGATGAAAATATAGCATGACATTCAGAGCTATCCCTTAGATCTTTTTTGTTCTTTTTTTATGGTCTTCACGTTCAAGCATTTCGGCGTAAAATTCAAGAAATTTTTTTGCTCTTCGTAGAGAGTCAGACTGGGGAAGTGTAAAGTGCCACCGTTTAAGGAATGCAGGAAAAAAATACCAACAGAAAAGAAAATTATAATGTCGAGAAATTTTCTGAGACATTAATCTTGATTTTTTTCTTGCTTCTAGAGTTGGTTTAAAGTCTTCCACTTCTTCTTCTTCAAGACGAGCTTTTCTTTTTTTTTCTCTTTAATAATTTATTGCAAAATGTAATGATGATAATGATGAGCTTACGATGGGTTTATGAATGAAAAATATTTTCACAGCAAACATTCCTTCCTTAAAATAAAAAAGGGCGCGAATGCTGCCGGCAATTTACAATAAGTTATTAAAAATCCTTTATTAAAGAAATGTCTTTCTTTTCCAAGAAGCTTCGTAGCTTGGTAGAGAGAGAAAAAGAATGTAAATAATTTAAATGTTTACCCTTGTACCAGTTTCAATATGAAATATAAATTTTTCAATCTCCAAAAGCAAGCAAAAAGAAAGAAAAAAAAGAATCAAATTCTGAGAAGTTTTACATCCGTTTGGTCTCAATTCTGAGTGAAGCATAAGTTGGATGTTTCTATAAATAATATTACAGTGAAACTTTGATAAGCCGATGGCTCAAGGTACATCGGCTTATCGATTCATCGGTTTATCGAAGTAATTTCCGATATAAACTTGATTCAAGGGGGACAAAAAATATCGGTTTATCGAGGAATATCGGCTTATCAAAGTTCCACTGTATTAAAAAAATTGAAAAGAAAATTTCTCTTGTCATTGGTAACCGCAAAAGTATAGTTGGAAAGCTTAAGTTGCCTTGACTAGGATAGCATAAAATTTCCTGTGACTTGATAATCGATAGTCGAGTTTTTCTCAAAAGCATTTCCCATGAAAAATCTCGATGTTTATCCGGCATAAAAATTACACATTTTCTTCTATTTATCCACTGTCATTGTTCGGATGAGAAAATTTTCCACACAATATTTCCAGCATGTCTTTTGTTTGTTGTCAGATAATCCTTCAATAACATTTTTGCCAGTTCTTTTTTTTCTAGTCGTTCAATATTTTCCTTTGTGCTTTTCATTTCGCAAAGGGGCTTTCAAAATATTATGTTTTAATGAAAATAATTTGTGATGGAATTTCAGGCCTCATTTCTGCCGATGCTTGGGAATTACAAGATTAAATTAGGCAGATCAAATGTGACCGGTCATGTTTATCTTTCTTCCTTCATCTTTACTTTCTTTTTCATCCTCCGTTATGTGGTTCATTTCAAGGAAAATACTTTGTAAGAAAAACACGAGAGAAGGATGAAGATGAAAACAGCGTTTGTTTTAGGAAATCAACAGAGATATACGAGGTAAATTGTTGGCATCACGTAATGATACAGCAGAGCTGATTAGAATTTTTAAACAACAACCAACCCATCAGAAAAGAATCTCAACTTTTTGCTCTTTTCTATTTTTCTATAAGCTGAAGAAAAGCTAAATGTTCATTTGCTGAAATTAAATTGCGCAAACAGAATATAAAGAGTTAGAAAGATCTTTTCCCATAAAGATCTCATCAGCTTCTTATTTTAATGCTATTAATTTAAAAGCTACGAAGAGAAAGTCAATTTATAGCAAAGCTAATTTTTATGTCCAATAGAAACTTCTGATTCTTTTCTGAAAACTTTTCCTTCGACTCTCCAAATCGATTTTGGATTTCTTGAGCGATAGAAGGAGTGAGAGAGTGGGAAAGAGTGAAAATAGATTAAAAAGAGATGATGACAACAATTCTCTGCTGTTGAATTTATGGTAAGATTTTCTTCTCTATCTCGATGCAGTTTTACAATTATTATAGTTTAGTTGTTCTTCTTTATCTCTTTCACTGTTTCGAAGCCATTAAAAACTTTCCAACGATGTTCTATGGCACCAGACATGAGATATTTCTACAATTAACTATATAAATATCTTACTCGAATTCTTCTCGAACACTTTCGCTACACCCAAATTTTGTGTAGAAAATTCATTCACTCAACATGAAGAGGATAAGTTTGCCAAGGCAATTATCACAATATGTCGTGGTATTGCTTTCTACTTACCTATAACATTCAGCACATACGACAAGGACATTTTAGGTTCGGTGTTTATTTGGCACTCGTAAACCCCATTATCTCTTAAGTGGGGATACTTTATTTGCAGCGTCCAATTACCAAAGTCATGGGATCTTATCACCTGCAAAAGATGATTATCACAGTTAGTAATATAAAAAAGGTTTGAAAAAAAAGAGTTTTGATAATAATACAAAAGCTTCAAAACAAACACCCGAATTTACTTGGAATGACATCAAAAAAATGTCAATCATTTAGTGCGTACGTACCTGAAATCGCTGGTCACTTGTATACGATGATGTTCCAGTCGTTAAAATATGTAAATCACGCTTTCTAATCCAAGATACCTGAGAGAACAAGAAAAAATTCAATTTTAAGTGAAAAATTGTCAACGTCAAAATTTTTTCTCATCGTCGTTCGTTTTCTTTTAAGTGGAAAATCTTTTTCTTAACTTTCTTTTTTCTTGGCGTGTGATTCCCCTTCATTTCGGTTACTTCCGTTCGTTTAACAAAAAAAAAAAGAAGTGAAATTTTTTCGTGTAAGATTGTCATAAAAACACTTAAACTTTTTTTTTGCTTTCGCGTTTGTTGGCAGTTGGCGTGGTTAATGAGTAAAACGATGATGGAAAATATGAAAGGAAATGTGACATCAACAAACGTTCAAGTATCGAACAATGGCGTCGTAACAACACAAGTGTCGACCGTAAATTCAAATGTTAATGCTGATTGCGATGGTAAGTCGTTGAATATCTTACTTTTCTATGTTGATGTCGTGGGTGCTATATGGCGGAACAAAAGGATGCTCGAGCATGTTCAAGCTGGTATTTTTCATTAAATTAAATTAATTCTGCGCTTTCCCTCATCTTATTCGTCTTTTACACTTGCCTTGGCTTCTCCGTAGATAAGTAAAAGATTTTCATAATTTAACAACGATAAATTGTTGGCAGATTTTTGTTTCATTCAATTTTCATCTTCATTTCATTTTATTTTTCAAGCATTTACTTCTTTTTCCGCATCCACTTGCTGTCTTTCTTCCATCAGTCACCGACAGAGACAACAGAAAAATGAATGAGGATTTTTAATTTAAGCCCTTTTTTTTTTAATTTTGTTAAAAAGATAAAACATCTTCAACAATTCTCATCTTGAATGTTGTGCTAGATTCACATCTTCCCGCATTATGTCTAATCATTAGGCAGCTCTGAATAATTTGTTCGAAGTGAATGAGTGATAATGACTCTTGTCGGAACATGACATAAATTTCTTTCTTAACAAGAAGCAGACAGAAGCCTTGGTAGAAGACAATGACTTTCAAATAGTTTTAATTAGGCAAATGACTCATTTTATGCTATACTTATGAAATATTTTTTATCCTTGTAAACATTTTCAAACGACTTTCGCAGACCTTGTTTAACCCTCTCGTTCCCTATCTTAAAAAGGAGTTAAAAAGTTTCACATGGTTTACAACTTAAATCCTTGAAACAAGTGGAAATTACTTTCTACTCATATTTACAACGGGTGCTGTTACATAGCCGAGATTAATTTATGAGATCCAGACAGAACACAATGAAGAACGAAACTTTTAAAGTTCAAAGATCTGCAATCATTTGGGGTTTCATTTCAAGTTTTGGTTGCATTTGATTCTTGAACTTTAAAGTAGATATTTATTTATAATGATTTTTAATGCGGAAGTCATGAAAGCAAAACTTTAAAAAAAAATCAATTATGTAGACATCCTGTCAGACATCGTTTCAGATGAAAATTTTTCAAACGACACAAACGTTAACGAGATGGAAAATCCGTCAATAACATCCGGCCTGTCGAAGCCATCTATTATATGTCGTATCTGTCACATGAGCGAAGAGTGTGAAAGGTAAGAAAATCTATTTCATTCACTCGTTGATCATTACTCAGCTTGAAATAATTGGAAAAGTTTTAACCCGTGCAAATGGTGAATCAACAATTTTGAAACCAAACACTTTTTAATTCATTTACTGAACTCCACTTTGAGAGGAAGTTTTTATCAAGAGTTAAAGCATCTTCTAATTACTTGCTTAAGTGAAAAAAGCTCGAGGAGAAGCTTTCACAACAAAAGCTTTCTTTAATTAATTAATCTATTTTCCAGCTTCTGCGTTAAAAGCTTTTTTGTTTTGCTTAACCGCAATAATGAAAAACTTTCTCTTAAGTGCCTTAAGCGATTAACATAATTTCTCTTTCACATCAATTTTCATCTAGATTACTGACACCGTGCATGTGTAAGGGAACTCACGCATTTGTTCACCAACAATGTCTCGAATATTGGCTCAGCCAGTCCGGACTTTCACATTGCGAACTTTGCTTATTTCATTTTGCAACCGCAGATCATTTAAGGTAAAATTTTGTATAATTTCTCCTTGGTCAATTATTAATCAAGTTGTGGCTTTCAAAAAGTCGTCCGCTCTCGGGTCGAATGCAAACCAGACCGTAAAATATCGTTCTGAATAAAAGACATGTAAGAAAGAAGCAAAAAATTGTTTCTTTTTTGTTTGTAAAGCTTTTATTTCTGGTTTATGTGAAAAGATACTTGAACGTGAATTGAATGAGTTTCTGTTTCAAATGAGTTCTCAATTGTATTCATTTTTATTTCATATTTTTTTCATAAACAATCCACATAAATTCAACGCTTAATTCCATTTAACATCAACATTGACCTTCATTTAGAACTCCATTTTACATTAATTTCCATTTTTGTAGTCGTTATCAGAGCAGCGGTTGAGTTTGCAAGCTGAGAGACAGGAAATGTGAAAAAAAAGCGATTTCCTTCTGCCTTGTCGTGACCATATCATATTAATTTCAATGATTATATTTAATAAATTATAGATACGGCTTGTGGGAATCCATGCGAATCTGGTTCAGTCATCCAAGCCATCGTACGCTACTTCAGGTAAGGAAAATTAATCACCGAGAAAAGACAGAATCGTTTGAAAATCAATTCCAGCTTTCTCTGTTTCTTCATTAACATCCATCGAGATATGAAATGTGTGTGCTTGTAACCTACATATCTGTACATGGAAAGCTTGCAAAATGTCATAATTTATGATCGATATTATAAAAGAAATCTGATTTTGTACATCCTTCAATCTTCCATCTTCCCAAGTTTGAAATTTCATTACCCGATGCTAGTCAGGATAACATTTAACGTTTTTTTTTCCAAACTCATCTTTCTCGAATAAAGTAAATTTTCAAAAACCATCCACAATTAAAAATCTTTTAACGATTTTATAATCCAATCCATCATCAATAAATTCTCCGAAAAGGGATAAAGGAAACCTTTGTGGATGAAACGATGCATTCAGTAAATGATACATGAAATGAAAGCTGTTTAAATGCTTGTTCATTGTCAATAACTTTACAAAGAGTTTCATAAGCAGCAAAACAGTTTCAAACATATTCTAGCTTCGGGTTCTTCATGTGATAAATAATGCAGTTATTTAGTTACATTATCAATGATTTAATTCCATGGAAGCTCTTTTCGTAAATAATTGTTTGTTTGTTAAATACAAAAATTAATTTCGTTCCATGTAAATGAAAATGCAGTCGGACATTCTCTTATGCTTGTTACTTTCTATCATTACTTTCGGACTGGTGGCTCTTTCCATGTTCTGCATGTATTATTTAACAGCAACCGCACATCATAGCATTGAAGTACCATCGCATTCAAGGTATTGGACCGAAGCATCCATTGGAGTGTTTTTGGGTATTGTGGTAAGTCACAATTTAATTTAGCTTTATGTTTGACATTTTCATTACGATTCAACTATTGACTGAACGGTGAAATGAGCTTTTTACTCGTCGTCGTAGTGTTCAGAGAACAGCAAAGAGTTGTATCCATTCATTTATGTAAATTTGTTTCAATGAAACGTTAAAATTTGTTCATGGAACAAGTAAAATATGAATAACAAGTGCAGTAAAATTTGGATGAAGAGAATCCTGTGTTGGGATTAACAGGATTTCATTTCTGTAACAAATACTTTCTCGAGCTATTCATATTAATTTCACAAATGCCAAAACTGCGCTTTCCCACAAATAACAAACATTTCATCTCGTGATAAAATGAAAGTTTATATTCGCTAGCGACAAATTATAAATGAAGATTTGCTTGGAATTGTTGCGATGGAATTTGAATTTAGTTAAGATGAAATAAAGGCCAGAAACTTCATCTAACTTTTCCATATTCAAAAAGTTGAATTCAGAACGAAAAACTTTTCATTTCCAATCAAATGTCAAAGAAGCAAATGAGTGAGAAAGTTTTATTCGGTTTAGGAAAGGGAAATGTGAAGATTACGAAGAAGCTTTTTATTGAGTTTCTAAATGAAAGTAATAACGATAGAAGTTTGTAAACCGACATGATAGGAAAAAGTTTTCAATCGAATATTCTGCAAAGAGATGTTGGGTAGTGGTGGGAGAAAGCAAGTCATTGAAATCACAATTGATTATTTTTAATTGATAATTTGCACAGTATACGTTTCAGATTTTTGCATTCATTCTAAATACGGTTGTGGTATTGAAGGCAAATATTGTACCGTGGTTTAGGTAAGATTTTAATTGATTTAACTTTTTGTTTCTAGTTCTAACAAATTTATCCACATCATAATCCAATTTTTCGTTCTAAATATTAATATGCAAAATTGTAATAATAGATGGTGGCGTCGTTCAAGAGAAATTCAATTGGTTTTACGGAACAACAACGCAGTTCGACAAGCTTGAAAATGGAAAATTTAAATAAACATGAATAAACTTACATCTTTATCACCAAGTCTTTCAACTCTACAATGTAAAAAGGCAGTTTGTCCTATGGTTACAGTTATATTTCTCTGTACATCAAAATCAAAATATGGCATTAAATAAGACGAGGCGGGTTCTATTGTTGACGTGAAGCTCCAAGATTCTGTAAAGAAAGAAAGGCGAATAAACTTACAAAATTAATCATTAACTCTAATTTTATATTTTGTCGAGATTAAATGAAAATTTGTCACTTTTGTTGATAATTAAATTAAGAAATTTCACGCCTACACTTTTTCGTTTGTTAAGCTAATGAATGCCTTTTGAAAGTAAACAAATTCTAAATTTAGAATTCAACTCTTCGAATTTAAAGTTGCCTTCGACTTCCAAACAATAACATAAAAGGAGAGCAATTTCAATTAGGAAACATTTTTAGATTTTGTGTTGGAGTCAATTATCTCATTCAAGTCTCATTGACTTTTTGGTAAATAAAAGATGAAATTAAAAATTTAAATCTTGTAAGTCAACAAGGGTTCGAGTTATTGTTTACTTGAAATTCAAACTGATGGTGGGTTGGGATGGAAAATTATTCCCTCGGACAAGGTCAAGGAAAATTATTTTAAACATTTCAAATTTTATATTTTTTCATGGTAAAGGAAAAAAAAATTAATTACAGCAGGAAAACATCATAAACAAACCAACATCATGAAATCGAGAACCTGTTAGTATTTCAATGAGACGATTTTCTTCAGAAACGTTTATGAAAGCTTGAAAAATCAAAGGAAAATGTTACGAGACATTAACATCAAAGCTTATACAATTTTTCTCCTTGTCTCATATCACTTTCACAAGCTTTTAATATAAAAATCCTTCATATTATTTCAATGCAAAGAGAAAATCTTGCCGACACAGACAGCGCGTCGCAAGCTATTTCCCGTCTTATTTCGTTTCACAATTTCTCTTTCTTTATATTCCCTTAAGAAAAAAATTCATTACTATGTTGATATTTCATTTTCATACGATTCGCGCTCTATGCTGTTTGTGTATGCTTACTTCCACCATGCTAAATGTCTACAGGCTTAAATCGATGCTTCGAAATGATTACACAAGCATTTTTTCCTTTCAAATTAATCTGAGAGATGTTTGACAACGATTGGAGGAAATTCTCCTTGTTTAACTTTGATGAATTACATGCAAAATGTTTATAAGTGGCGTCGAGTAGCTGATACTTTACGATGTTTTCCGTTGTCGCCAGATAACTTCTTCTTTTTGTCTTTTTTACGAGTTAAACTTTTATTTTTGAGCATTTGACAGACTCAAAGGCATGAGAGACCTTGAAAAATAATTTAGGAAATGAATTACTACCCAGCCAACGGCACTTCTTCTAATGTTCAAGATCAAGATCCAAGCTGTTTACTTTTCCTTCATCAAAATATTAGTCGTGTTCATCGTCTGTTGTTACTGACATAACTATTCCCGTCTCAAAGCAAAAAATGGTTGTGAAAGCTAAACAACAATCTGAAAAATTACTTTTTTCCTAAACATCATGGTGCGTCGTCATCTGACTAAAAGTTTTGTAAACAATTTTCACAATCTCATAAACTGGGATGAGGGGAAGAAAGAAAAAGGGAAACCAAATCGCCTGAAACTTTTTCATCGTTGTTTTCTTTTTATTTTACTATTTTTCTTTCTTTTTTTTTTAGGCCAGGATGGAAGAGTAAAGTTGAGAATCTATTTATAAAACTTTAAAGTAGCCCCAAGTGAAATGATTCGGTATCGTCTCACCATAAAATAATGAGAAGGACAAACATTCAGGTTAAGCGATTACTTCAAAGACAAAGGAATAAAATAAAAAGCGTTTGAAGATTAAAAAAGATGAAAAATTGTTTCACATATCATTTCTTCAGAAATGTCCCCATGGGCCATACGATAAGAGTGGATTTAGATGACATATCAGCAACGTTATGTACCGAAACAACAGAGAAGACGAACGAAGTTTAATTCAATTTTTCACGTCGGATTTCATTCAGCAACATTACTGTGAAAAGTTTCACAAATCATGTGTGTCTTTTCGGGGAAAGAAAAAGAATTTTGTGAGCCATTTATCGATTCTCTAACTTATTCGAACAAAATTGAACAGTTCCGCAAGTGAAAGGAAAGGGTTTTGTTGTTTTCAAACAAAAAAAAGCGTAGAAAAAGTTTATCTTTTAAGGCAAAAAAGAAACTTTCCTTTATTCTCAGGCAGTTTTCGTGGATATATGAAGCAAGTTGAATTTGTTATTGAACGATAAAGCCCATCAACAATTCTTTTTCAATCGTAGAAAGCACGCAAAGGAAATCAGGAACGTGTTTTTATTCGCCGTCGTTTACGCATCATAACGCAGACATTTCTTTTCCCTCAATTACCCTACATTCTCATTGTGAAACAAGAAAGAGATGAAACATCTTAAATGTCTCGGATCAAATCCAAAATTTTAACCGTTCACAGTGCTGTTCTAAAGCATTTAAGTATAAGATGAAAAGAAAACAAATAAAGGTTTGTTTGCCTCAATTTACCTTTCATTTTGCTGTGCAGGAGTATTAGGTATATTAATGCAATGTTGAGATGGTATCCAAAAATCATTTTTGACTAAATCGTTGTATAATCCAGTCAGTGTGAGTAAGCTTTCTTTAAATTACAAATTATGTTTGCTTCACTATAACGTTTAAGTAAAGTTTTCTTCTTTACTTCACTTTTTCAGATTACGGATGAGATTCTTGTTGCCTTTTTTCTTTCTTTCGTCTCTTTATTTATTTTAAAAAGGCGAAGGCTGAATTTAGTTTCTCACTTCGTGTTTATCCATCTCCGACACTTTATGTTATTACAATGCTTAGGATATTCGCCAGAAGCTCAACATCCCTGTTTCTTATCTCGAATAAATTCCACTTACTTATTTTCACTTATTAAAAATTACTTCTTGCTTTTCTTTAACATCCTCAAATTACACCCCCACCATCTTTCTACATCTTCATCGAAAAGCCGCGAGGGTTGCAAGCAGCATAATTTTTTTTTCTTTAAAATTTATGTTTATCTCAAATTTCAGATCATCGCAATTTTTCTTTTATTCTTTGTCGTCTGCCACTTGTTTGGTTTTTTCTTTTTTTTTTCTTTTGTATTCACTTTTTCAGCGATGAAATTTATTATTTTTTATAACATCGACGTTCACGTCGCGTTGGTGGAGAAAACGAAAAAAATCTCACAGCACAACTTTAAATGACGCAAAGCACATTTTCACACAATATTTACATGAAAGACGTAGCGTAAATTGCTTTTCTTTTTTTTCCATCGACTTCTCAACGACTTGCCATCATTTTGTGGATGATGTTACACAGGTTTGTATCACTTTAATATTTTATCAGAGATCTTCAAGTTGCTGCTTAGATAAATAAAGAAATGAGAAAGTAAAGAATGAGAAAAACAATAATTTTGATGTTCTCTTGACTAGAAGTAATCAAACACAAATATTCAAATTGTCACAACTTTTCCAACATTCATCATTCATTTTTATTTATTCTATGTTCAAGTCGTGTCTTGCTTTCACGTCCATAGAATTATAAGTATGTGTCTAACTCACTACGTGCTTCTCTTTTGTCAGTAATTTTTCATTTTCTTATAAGTCGAGTTGATTGAAAATATTAACGTAATTTTCCCAAAATTTTCTTTCTTTATTCAGTGAACAATTTATCTATTTGTTGTCTAAAACATTCACTTTACTCTTATCTATGTCACTCGTCATCGAAAGCATAAATATTTACAACAAAAGACGAGGCAAACAAAAAGAACTTTCACATATCACATGATGATAGCATGGTGCCTTGTCTATCTACCTTTGAATGTTCTTCACCTGTTTTTTGGTTGATTGTTGTAAAGCTTATTCGTGACTGATATGTTGAATGTTCAACTTTGTTTTGTTTCTTTTATCATCTGCGATTAAAGGAATTTTTTTCATATTATAAAAGAAGAGAAAGGAAAAAAGCTTTTCCATTATGTGTAGCGACAAAATTTTTATAACATAATCAAATTAAACTATGCGTAAGTGATTATCTGTTTATTGTATTGTTTGCCCTTGTTAGGGATTTGTTTGAACAATGCTATTCACAACAAGCAGTTACAATTTCTAAGCCCAACACAATTTCCCATCACTGATTTTAATTAACAAACATAAAAAGGGATTTAAAGAAGTGAATTGAAGAACACCAAGATACCTACAAAGTCACCGCAGTAAATTGCGTTCACCAAGGACTAAACATATTTTCCGATGTTCTAAATTATTTATAGAATTGTTCAATAGAAGCATTAATATTTCATATCATGTCTTTGCTGCAGACATTTGGTTGTTTAAGTAATAAATATTTCAACCACGACGAAACTATTCAGACATGGAAATATTATAATTTTTATTCTCAGTTGTGCAATTATGAAATATGTTGAAAGTTATCGACAATATTTTTATCTCTATGCTTGATATATTTATTTAAATGAATTACGTAAATCATGGCAATATTTATCATTTTCTTCTTTTTCACAACGTGAGATTAATAATCCTGTTTGTCTTGTACAACATAGACCGTTGGTCCTGAACTTTATTATAAATTATTTTTAGACCGACACTTTTCTGGCCGCAATCCAATTGAAAACTGAGAAAAAGAATTTTTTTGAACACGTAAGAGTGTCTGCGAAGTTTTTCTTTCCTTAAAGTAAATTAACACTGTTCTTTAATTAAAACCTTTTTTTTTTGTTCGTTTGTCCATGAAGATGAAAGTTTCATGGCTTAGAAGTTTCTATTTTTGCTATGTCGTTTAGCATAATGGGAAAACTTACGATAAACTTTTTAATCTCGTTTGAAGTTTTTATGGCTATTGTCACAAGGAATTTCAACAGAAATTTTCATGTTATTTATTACTAGTTTTATTAAGCAAGAAGAAAAATCACTTTGGAATTAATTGAATTATTTATCGAAAATTTAATCCAAGCATCACGAGTGACTGAATGACCCGAACTGCACAATGAAACTGATGCAAAGTGCGGCAAAAGTGGATTTTACTTAACATCCTTTTCGCAGTTTATCAGCATTTCCAGTGGAATTTGAATACTTCCATGATATCGTTGGAAGGATTGCCTGGAAAGCCATCGTAAAAATCAATCTTCAACGTGCAAATTGTTGAACATTTTCATTCTTTATTTTTTTTTGGGAAGTGAGAATCAAGTGAGAAGAGTTCTCCGCTTCAACATATTTTTCACGATTCTCATGCACATTTTATGGGAATGACATCAACCCCAATGATATTTTACATTACATCTCTTTGAAGGAGGAATTTTCATTTCTATTTCCGTAGAAAGTTTCTACTCAAGCTTTTTGAGTAGAATGAAAAGCTTTGGTGAAACACTTGTTCAACATAAATGTTTGAAAGGAAAACGACATTTGCATAATGAGCCGAAAAAGGTATTTCTAGGGAGGAAATCTTTTTTAATTTATTCATACACACAACAAACAGTAAAAAAAAGACTTTCCTTCATTTTGATAAATAAACAAAGTTTGGTAAACAAACAAAAGTTATTTTTAAAAAGTCATTCTCTTGAAATATTGGTAGAGAGTTGGCAAAGCGTGAGAATATGTTAAGATCGAGGATAGACATACATATTTATTTGATGAAAGGTTGCCTTTTTTAAGACCCTACTTCAGACACTCACTTCATGTATATGAAGTTATATGAATAAATATTGCAGATGATTGAGGAATTGTGAAAAATTAGTTTGCGAACTTTATCGATGAGAAAAGCTTTAAATGATTGATTGAGTTATTGAAAAAGTAGAAGAGAAGGAGAAAAGGATGTTGAAAAATTGCTAGAATCAATAAAGCTGTGAGCGATTATTATGTCGATGTTGGTGAACCATAGAAAACTTGAACAATGAGTTGAATTAAAATCGCAGGCTGTCAATATAAAATTCATGCCTGAGGATGTAAAATATATTTCGAAATAAATAAAAACGAAGCTCGCGAATAGCGAGTTTATTTATTTTCTTAATTCATATTTCTCTTTTCATATAATATTTAATTAATAAAAAAATATCTTACACCGAATATTGAAGTGTAAAACAATTGGAAATTCAATTAAAAGTCGTGTTATTAAATTTCGTTAGAAATCGAAAAACAGAGACGAAAAATCTCATTTCATGATGAGAAATGAAATTAATTTCACTACGTTGCTTTTTATTTATTTATTTGAAAGCTTTTCGCTAATATGGAACGTGACAAAACTAATTCTTTTGACAGAAAACCTTTTCATTTCATTTGTTTAGATCTTAAGCGTAATGAAATTCTTTCTTTACATCTTCTCCGCCGTCAAGAAACACCTTGAATTAATTACACGTCTTATGATAGCTGTTATGTGCTTACTGATGTTCACGTGTGTCAATATAAATTCTCTTCACTCGAAAGTGACGAGAGACGACAATAGGGAGAAGGCAAACGAGAGCTTGAATGAACTGTTATTGAGACGTTAAGCATCAATTTTGCTCTATCCCTTCTTTTTGTCGGCGCTTCTACAATCGTACAAATGATATGTAAAGAAAAGAAGCTTTGTGAAGCTTGTAATTTATGAAGAGCAACGTTCTGTTAAGTGTTGCTTTTTATATCGTAAAATGTGCTTAATATTCTTGGCTGACTACAATTTTGCTTCAAAACTTTCTTTTAACAAATTTCTTTTAAATGGTATGAAGAAATCTTCTTAAGTCTGGTCAAACTATTTCTTCGAAATCTTCGTGTGTGTTCTTCACAAAAATTCTCACAGCAGATTCAGAATTTCCGAATCAAAACAAAAGATTTCTTCACATTTTTTTTTGTCTTGAGACAATCATCTTGACTTTGTAATTACCCATTTTGATATCAAAGAGACATTGAATTGAGTTTGTCTGTTTGAACCTTTTTTTCCGTGTCTAATTAACTTTGTCTCTAAAGATCAGTTTATTTTTATACATTTTTTTGCCGTCTTGTCTGTTATTCGCATTCGAGAAACAAGTTCTTTTTAAATGATTTTTTTACAATTCAATGACTTCACACACCTCAAATGACGACGACACAACAAAGGGAAGTTTGTAACTTTAGTCTCATTTTTGTTTTCTCTGTAGTGTTAATCATTTCATCATTGAGATAAATGAGTTAAGCCTGTGACGTCTGAAAAAACAGTGTTGAAGAACCCAACGACATCAATAATGTGTATAAGCGTAAGAGAATAAGAAGAGAAGGAAAAAAGAATTGAATTTTATTCGTGATTATTAGTCTTTAGTTTGATGTGATCGGAAACAGAAGAGAAACGTTGTGTGTTGTCATTAACAAAGCTTTAACGTGTTGCGATTGATTGGCAGTTGAATATTGATCAGAAAGTTTTACTAAAGCGTTGAATAATGAAGAAACTAGAACTGATAACTTTGTTGCTTTCAACACTAGCTGAAATCTCCACTCCAGTTTCCTTATATGCGATAATTAATAATGCAGAACACGTAAAACACGATAATCGTTTACCGAAAAACCTTCAACCAGTTGAACAAATGGTCGATGCAACTAATCATCTGGGCTTTAAAATTCTCAGCTTGCATTCCAATTTCAACAAGAACAACATTGCTTTCTCACCATGTGGTTTGATGAGCGTGTTAGTAGCACTTTACGAGGGCAGCTCAGGAAGAAGTAGAATTGAATTAGAAGAAGCATTAGAATTCCCAAACGAACGTGATATCATTCGAGTCGGTGTGAGAGATATCCATCGGAGATTGCGGGTGAGTTAACAAGAGCCGAAAGGCCAGAAAGCTAAAAAAGCATAAAATAATTTACTGTTACTTAATTCATTTATTTTCTCATGATTCTCAAGATCATTGTGAATAATTGATTATGATGAGTATCAGAAGTGTTACGAGTACTTGTCATGTCGGAACACGAAACTCAATAATTTTTATGCCTTCAATCTTACTTAAAGATTATGAAAGATTGATTTGGGATTTTTTTTATCTTGTTTGTTTTCCGACATTTGAAGTGTTGTGTTTTGAACGTTTTACAATTTTACCTGATGTAAAAGGAAGTCAAAGATTTAAAGTCTTTTATGAAATTGACCTTTGCAATATCCAACGAAAAATGTCAAATACAATCAAATGGTAAAAGTGACAACCCTGGCTATTTGTGATTCTATTGTTCTATCAAATTTATACAAGATTTATATCTTCGCAAACATGAGAAACGAAAAAGAAGTCATTGGAAATGATTTAGGAACTTTCCGAGATTTTATTTATTTGAATTAAGTAGCAATCATGACACTCGACACCAATTCCATGTCTGTCTTGTATCATTTTTGTAATAAAAATTTGCTTTCGAATTTTACTCTTCTTGTGTCCCTTGTCGGTTGTCGCTTACATTGTCTTACTTTTGCCACTTTTCCAGAGTTACTTCTACAAGAAGGAAAATCTTTTAAGTGGTTTAATATTTAATAAAGAAAACATTACCATCCGCCCGGAATACGAAACTGTGTTGAGATTTTACGGTTATGATTTGGATGGTGCAATGAATATGTTGACTGAATCAAAAATAAATGAAACACTCAGTGACATGAGAGACACGATGGAGGCAACAGAAGCAACAGATCTCGTCGACACGACTACAATGGAAGATGAAATGAAGGTAGGTGATGAAGGGGTGACGAAAAATGAACAAGACAGAGAAACAACGACGGAAACAACAGAATATGACACGTCTACCTATGAGGTTAGCAGAACGGAAGAGAATACCAAAATCAGTGATGATGAAAATGAAGACACAACGACTGTTGCTCCAAGCCGTAAGCCCCGTGGTCGACTTGGACGTGGTCTCAAGACGGAAACACAACAACCGTATGCAAAAGCTTCTTTATCCAGACACTCACGATCCTACTACGTGCTTGTCGATGACGATAACGAAGACGAATTTAATTTCGATTCAACCTCGCCTTCGTCGTTCCTTCCTTTGGGAACGACGTCAACAGCTATTCCTGCTTTTTCACCAATATCGCCTTCAAATCCAATGCCACCACTTCCAAATTATCGGCATAACAATCAAAAGGACTTGTTTCAAAATGTAGATTCCGATACTGTCGAACATTTCTTCTATCTGAATAACTACGACACAGTTCGCGTACCATTCAAAATCTACGATACTGTAATGAAATTTGTTCGCATAGAAACGCTTCAAGCGTCGATTATTGAGATTGATCTCGACACAGAGTATTATAATTTAATTATAGTCATTCCTGACCATCCTGACGGATTAAATGATCTGACTAACAAATTGAGATTGCATGAGGCGAGCACATTACGTCGAATACGAAGTGAAATGGAATATTTTTGGGTGAAGACAATCATTCCGAAATTTAATTTGAAAGGCAACACGATACTAACGAACGATTTACAAGCTGTGAGTTAAGAAATTTCATCTTTGAATGTGATTAATTAATTTTCTGATTTTCAATCTGTTTATACAATTTAATTTAGATGGGAGTGAATGATATTTTCGAGCCAACAAAAGCGAACTTTAGTCGACTTGCTGATGATATCACATTGTACGTGAAAAATGTTGAACAGATGATCAACATCAATATTCGAACGCAAACAACACAACAATTAAAAAGTAATTTTCATTTAAGCTTTTAACTTAAACAAGTTGCAAATTTCAATCTGTAAACTTGAAGTTTTGCTTCAACAAACAACAAGCATATCAACCAGCAGCTATCTCATTACAAAATACTCAATTAAACATTTTCATTGTCTTCGTAGAAACATCAACGCTGTATAAGCATCCGATTGAAGTGCCAGTGAACATACCGTTCATCTATTGTGTTCTCGACAGGGAACTCGACTTGGCCATCATCATGGGAAGAGTCTTAAATCCATTAAATTCAAGGATTCAGTGAATGAATAACAAGCACTTTATCAAATTATTAGATTACAGGCTTCGCTTTCATTAACATTCGATGCGAAGCTGAGCAGAAAAACCATTCGATGGAGAGACTATTAATTAGATCTTCGACGATGAAACTTTTCTGTTCTTCCATAAATCTCATTTCTATGCTAATTAGCTTGTAAAATACGATAAGCCATCAGAATAAAATCAATCTTACTAAATACTTAAACGAGATGTCTTGTCTCGTCTTGCCGTATTTACATTAAGAATTGTTGTTATAAACTATTGAGCAATATTTCTTCAGACTTGCCATTTATTAAATTGATATAGCGATGTTAAAATATCAAATTCAAGTATCAATATTGTGTGATTGAGGAATGTTGGTTGAGCTGATGTTTCCAACTGATCCGACAACCATAAAAAAGGAAAAAGCTTTCCACAAGATCACTTGAGATAATTAGTATGGAAAAATACTCGTAAAATAGAAATCAATTAAAATTTAAGCTAATTATGACTTCCTGCTTCGATATTTAATTTCCCTCTACCATCACGTTGTGTTATAAATTTTCATTAAGTTGTAAATTTTCATCGTCATTTCGATAATCAAATTAGGTGAAGTAATGTAGCAAAATTTATCGATTTTCGTCTCCCTCATCGAATAGTCTAGTCTCGTATATCATCAGAGAGAAAAAAAAAATGAAAATATTGAATAGAAGAAAAGCAGAAAAACTTTTCCAAGCTAAAACTTTGCTTTTTCACTCTGCTGTAGTCTTAAAATTGACATTACGCGCCTCAACAAAATCGTTGTCTCATTGAGATTTCTCCTTCCGCAACACGTCTCTCATGCTGGTGGTTTTCTTTCTTCTATTTTCAGCTACTTCGTGTCAATGAATGAGGGCAGAGAAAGAAGTTGGTAAAGTTGTGAAATCAATAAATTTGTTGTTCGACAAAATACAAATTGTACTTCACTTCTCCATCTTACATCGATGTTCTCTATTGAAAAAGTTTTATTTTTATTTATATTGTGTAAGCGGAGAAAGTGGAATTTATGAGTTTTCTATGACTTTCCCAACAACTTACACGACTAAAATTGAATTGATTTTTCGTGCGAAACAAGTTACATTTATCCTCAATATGTGCCACGTAAAAGTAAATCATCAACATCATGAAATAAAGCGAATCGAAGAATTTCTGTTAATTCAAGTGAAGTTACATAAAACTTTGCTACTTTTAGCTTTTCTATCGTTTACGATCAACTCATTTCTGCTATTGGATCAGAGCGTAAATTTGTTACTTTATTTTCTTATGCTCTACTTTTAACGAGAAATCATAAAGTTTTCTGCTTTATCAAGTTGACGCTTTAATTGTTTTTCATTCTTACAAAAGCCCTTAAACGAATCTCATAAAGATTTATGGCAATGGATATTGGAAAAATAACTTTTATGTCGTAATTTCCTCTTCATCATTTTCAACTTTGAAAATACGTTTTGACATGAAGAAAATTTAGTTATAACTGTTGCTTGTGATCGTTGACAAACAAGTTTTAACTTTACTCAGTGATAACTTATTTAGGAGATATTTTTAATACTTTGATTCAAAATGAACAAACAGTCAGTAAGTCAATGTACTTTGTAGAGATAAAAACTTCATCATCTCTTCCAACACACAATAGGGTCACATTTTATATTAAAAAGTGATACACAAGGGATTGTCTCAGCTACAGTAAATTAGTGAACGAATTTCAAAGACAAACTCATCATTTCTTTATCCCCCCTTAAATCCTTCTTATGATTAACTTCAGTTTTCGTCGCCGCATAGCATATTTTGCAATGAAACATCCAAACGTAATAGCATTTTGTCATCTTAGTTCCCTTGTTGCAAAAATAAATTTATTAGTACAATTTTTCACTCTCTTTTTCAGCACTTTCATGGGATAATGTACCTGGATTAAGTTTTCTTTATCTTCCTTTCCCCCTTCTTCTCCAACATATTTACTTACAATACTGACTACCGCAAATACAAATTGGCCATCTGGCAATAATTTGATCCCATAGGAACTCTAAGCATTTGTGGTAGAATATAATGTTAGGCCATCAAGTTCAATGGTGGTGAGTTTGTGGACCGAGACATTGAATGGTTCTTTCGTATTTTGATGACGATTTACATGTAAGGAGATAATCGTTGTGATTATGAGCTTTCATCCTCGGCTAAATAGCAGAGAATATTCTGAAAGCTTAAAAAGATTTAAACATTTTTTTGTCTCGTAACAAACTCGGTTGAATTATTTACTGCACATAGCTCACGTTTGCTAATTTTGCTTTTATGAATCAACAACATAAATGCAGCAAATTCTTTCACAACATAAAATCTTTTTCTGTGAGATTTTTTTTCACCACTAAAGTTACAATTTATTTGATACGAATGAGGATTAAAGGATATCAAAATTTATTTACTATTTATTCCTGCAGCTGCTTTCATGCAACATAAATAGTATGTGAGATTCAACCATACATAAAAATATTATTGGAAGTCCATTGCATTGCAACATTTTATCAATGAAATTTATTTAATTTTACATTTTTTATGGCAAGATGGGAAAATGTTTCAGAATCGATTTTAATTTATGAATGCCGAGAATACTTGTGAGAAGAGTTATGAGTATTAACATGGACATGAAGATGGCTTGCTCGGAGTGCATATCTACATAGTTTCAAGCAGAACTAGTAAAATAAATGGGAAAAATTAAATGGTGATAAGAAAGTTTCTAAAGCTAACAATGTTCTGAACATTTAGTTAGAAATTGTTCCTTTATTAAACTTTTAGCATAACAAATTTTTAGGTGTTTTCATTAAATTCTATTGAACGAAATATATGAAATATTTATTCCCATTGAAATATGTAGATAGAGCAAAGTATTTTCTTTGGAAGATATTCATAATTTTCATGATGTGTTTGTATGTAGTTTGTACACAAACAAATTTAAAATGTAGATATTCATTCTCTAGGCAGGCTCATTGAGAGAAGAAAAGGGATTACCAAGATTTATGTTAATTAATTATTCAGCAGCTCCTTTCACATCATAAAACATAATTTGAAATATGTGTGTGTGTTTGTTTGTATATTAAAGTAGATAAAAATGTTAATGCTCAGGTCATTTCTTTCTAATAATTAATGTTCACAGATTGCATGAAACTTCAAAACTGTAAGGTTCGTATTAAAACAATGTAAATTAATTTGTCGAATTTTCAGTTGAAACTTGATTCATTTTTAGATTTATTTTGCATATTCAAATGCGGGTTTAATTGGAAAGTTTTAAATTTACATGATTTGAAACTAAAAGAAGTTTTTTAAGTACTTAGTCTGGGTCGAAGTGCTTTTAGCTTTCGATAATTTAATTTCACAAGCAAAAAAATAAGATTTATTCAATTTAATTAAAAAGTTCATACATTGAAAGCAGGCAAATGTTCTTCTTTCAGTTATCAGATATCTGCATGAACTAAAGACAACACACAGCCCAAAAGTCAATTCTTAAAGAAAATCGATATATTAAATATTTATGTATGCATATTGAAGCGGAAAATTCGAAAGTAAACTTCTCTCCATTCTCTCACAGATGTACCGTCATAAATCCTTTTCACTCGAAGATGCGGAAACAAATGACTCAACAGATTTGCTGGTAGGATCCAAATTCTTGTTCTTCATATGTACACTCACCCACATTGAAGAAAAAGGAGATGAAGAAAGAAAAAACAGTTTTCTCAAACTTATCTAACATGTCGTGATAAGTTAGAAGACGCAACACACTAAATCTTGTGTAGGAGCATTTATTTGGATTTTGTATACAAACCATTAAATCTTTAATGTAGTTCACAGCTAATCTCTTCTAAAAATCATACGGTTTATCATCATTTCTTTTCCGGATGCGGAGAGCATGAATGAAAAAAGGATGAACCGAAGAGATCATTTGAACGGGAAATGAACGACTTAATGACTAGAAAAGATGTCAACAGCAACTTGATTTTTCAACATGACTTAACACCCACTTTGCTCTCCACAGTCGTTTCAAAGCATTCATTGCCAGTGACTTATTAAGCTAATAAGAATTGTTTTCCTGCAGCTTATGTAGATTGCTCTGTAATTAATTGCCACACATTTAAGAGCGATTTTATTGCACTTTAAAAGTCTTTTACGACTTTAAGGCTATAAATAATCTACTCATTTGATGTTCAATGTTTATTCTTATCTCATTTGAAATTCACTCCGAATTTTTGTAGGAAGAAGTTGAAGCCGACCAAGAATTCGAAAACAGATTTTTTTTGATGAATTTTCTTTTGAGTTTCGTCCCAAAAGTGAACTGAACTACTGCAGATAGAACGAGTTTTAGAATTAGGTACAGCAGAACCCCACCAGCACTATCCACATTAAAAATTCAGGATGAAAAGCTCAAAGGCACACATACGAGTGTAAAGATGAAGAAATTTTTCATTAACTTGGGAGGTGGCAGTCGGTGGATTTGCTGTAGAAGAATGAGACTCGACTTTAGATAGAAAGCTTTGTGACCTTTTTCCCCCCATCACTGCTATCCTTGTACACACATAAATTATCCGAAGATATCCAGCAAACGGAGACTCTGCGACGACGACGACGTTCTTTGCTTTTGTAAAATGACTCAAGAGAAGCAAAAGAGTAAAAAAAAGCTTTTAATTTCCATGTTCCGCATACTATCGTTTTTACATGTGTCAGAAAGGCTTAAAAATATTTTTTAAAGCATTAAGGATTCAACCGATGTTGTTTGTCTTAAAGTGAAAAAATAAATAACTTTAAATCCTAAGAAAGTTTTCTCAATTCAATTGGCTCATTAAATATTTTAAAGACTAAGAACACAAAAGAATTTTTCAAATTTATGAGCTTCATCATTTTTCTCAGATATTTATCACAAACAATTATTCTGTAATTTCTTACTACATATTTCATCTGAAATTTATTTTCAGCACGATCAAAGAAATGAAATCTTATTGAAATTGTTCAGTTCTATGGAAACTGGAAGTAAAACGATACTTGAATCTTTTTGACACTTCTTTAAAGATACTTCTTGAAGATTTTTGTTTTGTTTTAAACAAGAAGATATTCTGAGAAGAGAGTGGAAGGTTTTTAATCCATTACACTTCAGTTTGAAGTTTTATTGGGGGAAAAGAATTGAAGTTTCAAATTGTTGCAACAAAATATCCTTTCTCAAAGCTTATTGTTGAGTGGAAATGTTTTGTTGTGTTGCTGAGAAGCTAATCGACTATCCAAATAGAAAGTAATTAAAATGCTTGTAGTTTAATAATTAGACTAACTTAGTTGAAATTTAATGGTTTGAATAATTGCTCAAAACTATTTATTCTCTTTCAATTATTAAATTAATGAACAATTCTTGCAGTTTATGTTAACATTGTGGGAAAATTAAATTAAATGTTTGAAGTTTAGACGCATTTCATTTGTCTCAATTCATAAAAATCACAAGCATGATTAACATATTCCTTGAATGAAACTTTTCAAAAACATAAACACGCACTAAAGATTCGTTGCTTGTTGACAACTTAATGAATACTTGACGTTGTTCTAAAAACCAAAACAGTAAACACGTGCTGATATTGTATCCTTAACTATAACAAGAAGATCAACAATAAAAGCATTTTCACACGAAGATGTTTTGATGTCATTACAACAAGCCTTAACAGAGCAAAGTGTGTCAAAAGCTTACAAGAGGGAATTAATCACGCAACGCATTAATGAAACGAGTCGCGTTGTGAAAGGTATGATAATAATAATAATTAAATTTAAGGTTGAATAATCCCGCATGTTGAAGTGTTATGTTTGTCACATTCGTTAAATATCTAATGAGAAGAACTTTCCAAGTTTTTCTTGATTATTCACGCAGTTAACTTCCAAGGCAGACATTCACTTTGCCTTCAAGAAAACTTTTCTCTTTAATATCAATCATCACTTTTATAATATTTTCTTTGAAAATCGTTTGATGGTGGGACGAATTAATATTTTAATTAATTTTTCAGGGCAATTCGCCACGTGATTTGGACTGTTTTCAATTAAAATTTCTTTTTCTATGAAAAACTCATCTTCGAACGGCAACATAAGAAAACACGATTCTTCCCAGCATCCGACGGTTATTAATGTTTTAATTACGCTCTCAGTTTACATCATCACATCAAATTTAATTACTTACAAATAATCGATATTGAAGTTATAGCATAATGATGAAAATTATGTTCAAATGTCATCAACAGAATAGGCGAAAAAAGTAGAAAAGTTTGCAGGTAAAAGAAGCAGATGAAAGCATAATCGAAAATAATTTATTTTATTCTACGAATAAGGGGAAGGTCAAAGAGAATGGAAGGTGCTTTCTGGCTTGATTCAATTCCAAATGAACGGTTGCTTTTGAATACCAAAGTCTAAAACGAAGGCAGAAAAAAACTTTTGTTCCTATAGAAACCTTTCATAAATCATAATGAAAATTAATGAAATTGCAGCTCATTACTTTCCATCTTAATAATTTGCCGGAATGAATTATTCATTAATTATTTCTCTTGTATTGTTGTTAGGCATGGGAAAATAAACTTTCTCAATAAAGCGGTGTGTTTGTTTTCTGGTAAATTTCATTCCACACCTTAAGTCTTGTTGATTCAGGAAAAACTTCAAAAGTTAAAGCTTCATCGATGTTTAAGCATTTGAAAGGTGGGTCAATCGTTTCCACGGGATTCCATTGGATATTTTCCATGTCTGCTTTAATTATGTTGTCGTTAGGGTTTCCTGTCGTAGCAAATGATGTAAAAATTGATACCTGAATATAAAGTTGAGAAGTTTAAAGATTCAATTTCTTAAATTAAGTCTCACAAATCTCTTAATTGTCTTAAACTCCATGGAGTCTTCTAAAGGAACGTCTAAACGAACACTTTTGAAAAGAAAACTGATTTCATCAGCATGACAAACGCCACGAACTTCAGGTCCCAATCGTGTAATGCGATAATAATTTTGCGTTGGCGAATCAACCGCAAAACGATACAAAAACGTTTTTCCCATATTATTGGAATGTTGACGACTCTGAACAAGACGCTGCATTCCATGCCATAAACTCTGATCACCTTTCAACTGAAATCATACAAAATTTTCATTCTTCCACTTCTTCTTGAAAACCTTTAAGCTACTTACTCGACAAAAGCCCATAACATCTTCTGTTGGATCCATATCAGGGGAGAAGTAAAGCGATTTCAATTTATCAGCAAACTCCTCTCGTATCGGGTCGTCGACATTCAGATCAATGTCAAAAGGAATTGCGTTAGTTAACTTTTGAGACTTCAAAAGCATCGGCATCTTTTGAACGTATTCGAGAAACATCAAACCTTCATCAGATGTGCCGCCGATTAGAACGTCGATGTCATTGCTCCAAGCTTTTCTCACAAGATTAATCGGAAATTCAGAATTAAAAGTTTGTTCGCTGATATAACGTTCCATGTGAGGGGCGAATGCTCCGGATATCTTATCTCTCTCTTCAGCAGTAACTAAAGATTCTTGAACTTTTACGATGTCAACAGCGTCAATTTGTCTTAGAAACTTCGCAACTTCTTTTTCTTCTTCATTTCCTTCATAGCCAAGTTTTCTTGCGAGACGAATTCCCCAACCTTTGTGAGGTGTCAAAGCAAATTTATTCAAAACACATCCACTCATGATAATTGCTCGATTGAATAACCCTTTTGATATTTCAGACACACAATGCCAGCTGACTGAACAGCCACCTGAACTATGTCCAAACAATGTTATGTTGTTAGGATTACCGCCAAAGTTTTCAATATTCTTCTTAACAAACTTCATTGCCATGACTTGGTCTTTCATTGCTGCATTCCCTGGGATCTTTAGGGTTTCATCTATGAAACTCATGAATCCCAAAGCACCAAGGCGATAGTTGATAGTAACAACAACAACGTTAGCCATAAGCAGATAATCAGGTCCAAGTACATCAATTTTGTTTGACCCTTCAACAAACCCACCACCATGAATGTAAACCATAACACCTTGAGGTTCCTTTGGTTTAAGATTCTTTGTGTAAATATTGAGATACAAACAATCTTCTGATCCATTAATTTCTTTGAGATGAAAATTGTAAGCAACACTCGAAGATTTTTCTTTTGTTCCATCGTAAATGTTTTTCCATTGTGATGGAGGGATTGGATCCTGAAAAGACGAATGTCGTGACTCAGCAATTAATAAATATTAAAGTAATTAAGCACTTTATCAGACCTTGAATCTTAAGTCATTGATTGGTGGAGTTGCGAATGGAATTCCAAGGAATGCAATGAACTCTGTGTCGAGCTTTGATAGCTTTTTGACTCCGCGAATTTTTCCATATTCAGTATCAGCTAGAACAAAGTCCATGATTGTTCACTACAACCGTGTTCAACGGAGTCAAATATTTAACTTAATTAAATTTCAAAGCTGATTATGTTATCAACAAGTTTATGAATGAATTTCGGTCACAGTTTTTTCAATAGATAAGATAAAGCGGATTTCATGAAAAGAGAATATTTTTACACTGATAATTAATGTGCAAAAGATTTGTAGACGTAAACTGATAAGATATTTAATGTAATGTTCAACTTACAGATCAATGAGTGCTTTTTGAATGAGAGCAATTTAAAAATTATTTTTAAAATTATTTTTATTACATTTTACGATTACTATGATCATTTAAAGTTTTTCTCTTCATATAAAACTTGAAACTAACATTTGTAACTCTCTTCGTTCTACTTACAGAAATAATTTAATCTCAAGACCGGATATAATAACGATTCCATTTAGAATTGAGCCAATAAATACTGAAACGGTAGAAATTGTTTTTTACGCTTCTCTTACGATTGATTATTGACCTTGAACGATTGTCAGATTTCATCTGATAAATAATCTGGTCAGTATTTATTTGAGAAGAAAATAGACAAAAAGAAAGGTTGAAGTGATTTATTATGATTAAGATGAGTAATGAATAGAAAAGACAAACTCAACCTTTAGTTGGGCTGTTGGCCATGGATAATAAATGTATTTCAAGTTTATGGCCGAACTGCTTTTAAAGTGCAAGAATATCGAAGAATTTTGTTTTAGATAAAATCTCAGTACATTTAACCTTTGTTGGAATTGCCTTCATTAAAAATACAAATCTAGTCTCTTGAAACATTTCCCCAAAAGAACTTTTGTAATTAATTACATTTGATCTGAATTTTTTATTTTGTGGTGCAGACAAAAAGTTCTCAACGTCAACTAAACAGATTCAAGTTAAATATTCATTTCAAAGTTTGAATGTCTCAGGAAAAGGTCTTTTCTGTATCTCCTTTCTAATTACGTCGAATGTAAAATGCTTTAAATGCATGGAATCATGATTTATTACCATGGATTGTACAATCTGATTTGCTAAACTGTGACCGAATATTCTGCAGTTGTTTAAATTTTCAACAAATTTTTGATTGCTTCTCTCAACAAACTGCTTCGCTAAATCTTTTAATCTGACATTGCCTGGTACGTTCATCTCTTAGCTTTCCATGAAAACAAATCTCAAAGCACCAAGTCGATACTTAATCGTAATGACAACGACATCAGCCATTAACAAATAAGCTTGTCCATATAGTTTCTTGAAGCTTGACCTTGTTTTGAACTTTTTATTGCAAATACGATGTGAGTAAAGTTTACTGTTGGAAAATACTCGGAGTTGAAAATTCTTCACAGAAAGTGCAAACAATGAAACTTCTTCATCGCAAGTGAATTCTTAACAAAGCATTTTAACTTCTTTTTTACTTTTGTCATAAATATTTTCTTCCATTACCATTTTACTGCTGAAATGGATCCTCGAAAGAATTTACATAATTGATTTATAAGCTTGGCTTGTCACCAGACATATAAAGTCAACAAAGCTTTTTCCATTTTCCGATTTTTAATGAGCTTTCTACTATTAAGTAGTCTACAAAGGCTAGGAGTGATGTTAACCTTGAAAGCTTTTTTGTTATTCAATGAATCACCTTGAACCTTGAATCAACGATAGGCGGTGTTATGTTGGGAATATCTAAGATAGCTTCTTATATAAATTGAACTTAAAGCTGATATCTTTTTCGCGCCTTTGACTTTCCTCTTAAATAATATATTTATCTACGAAAAACATCCGAAACATTTTCACAACAGCGGCTGCTAACAAGCTTCGCAGAAATAATTTTCTTTATTTTCCTTTCACATCAACACAGATATATAATGAGAACAAGATGATGATAAACACAAATAAGCATGAATTTTAAACTACGTTTAACTTCAAGAGATTTTCTTAAAAGTAATTTAATAAAAGTCATTCATGCAGAAAATATTTACGAGAATAATTTTCATTATCGTTTTATCTTTCATAATTTTATATTGTTATTCAACAGCAAACCCACTAATTCATTGCTAACTTCATTAATGTTATTGTTCTTTCGCTAAACTTCAAGAAATTTTAAATAGCCAGCATAAACTGCAGGTAAGAGCAAAAACTTTGTCTTATGAATGCAAGTGGAAAAGTAGCAAAACGCCAGGTGTAGAAATTTAAGAAAAATATTTAAAATTTATTTTACTTTTCGTTTCACACAACCTTGTGGAGAACAAACATCAAAATGATATTAATTTGAGACAGAAAAGTTTGTCAACCAACATGTAAAGCTCTCTTTCAGTTATCCAAAGTCCGCTCGTCAACCGCACAGCTAATTTAAAACCCCTTTTATGCAAACTGAAAAGCTTTTATCAATATTGAAGTTTTAGTTTACTCACGACGTTTGGTTATGAGTATGAGCATTAAGCAAGCAATTGCTGTTAGTTTTGAAATGTATGAAGTCGTATGAACAAAAGTTTTCTTTTCGAAAGCTTTTCCTTTTCTCATTTACCTCAAATTCATTACCTATGTAAATTTATGTTTTATGAGAAAATATATTACTTATTGCGTTGCGTTGTTCTATGACGTGAAACTTCATCTTCCTTTTGAGGAGTGTATTAATTTCCATTCTTGCTTTCATAAGAAGAAGAAAGGGTAAAAGTAAACAAACTTAATAAAAAGCTTTGAATATAACAGGAAAATGTACAGAGAAGTCCCATAAAAACAAATTCAAGGAAACGAAAGGAAATATACGTTATTTTCAAAATACAAAAGCTTGATACCCTTCGAAAATTTAAATTGATCGTTTCAATTCTAAAAATAATGTCTACTTTAGTAGATCTTTATGATTTCAATGTAGAATCAGTTTTTATCGAGATTTTCTGTTTTCAACAAAGTAAAAACGCACAAGCAAAGCGTTCAGCATCAGTTCATCTTATATCATTTGATTTGGTGTTGTCATAAAAGTTTTATCGACTCATGAATTTATTTATCTGGATAACCGTAACCCTCATGTTTCATTCATTCAAAGATCTTTAAAAAATTTCAAAGTAGCTTCCAGCAACTCGACACACTGCTGCTTCATTGAATTATATCATAAATAGCCATTGTCGTCGTTTGTGATCTGGAAACATCAAGAAACGAAAACAATGTAATAAATCCATAATGTGGAAATATTTCAGATGCTTGATGTGTTCTTTCTATAATCACTGACTGTGCTCGTTCAAAATTAGATCAAAGAGAAAAGAAGAAAAAGATTCGAATTTTTTGATATAAAAATGACATTTGACCGTTGTTAGTAAGGGAAACGGAAGAGATTCATTCTTTGACCTTATTGAAACGATATAAATATGTTCGAAAGCATGAATAACATTCAAACCTTCATCAGATAAATAAAATATGGATATGTAGGACATTCATGGTTACATCCCAGCTCTTTAATACAAACTCTTCTGGGAAATGCTTCAAGTGCGAATATTTCCGACTCTTAACATGCCTTCCATTGACGATAAGCTTTTTTTTCCTCGTTTGTCGGTCTAGAAACATAAAAAAATCAAAACATTCACATCACAGATTTGTCTTTAAAGCAGCTCTAAAAATATCCTCGTAGTAATATTGCCTACTCTGGTTTTCCCTTAAACGCTTTTACGAGTGATATGGAAATCTATGACAACTTCAAGCGTTAAAAGGAGAATCGCGTCGCCGTAGAGTCTGAATACTGTGAATTATTGAATAGTTTCAACGCTCTATGATAAGTTGAGGATAGTTTTTATGCTCTCGTGTTGGAAATAAATGATATTAGTTTTCTTTATTAACGTGAATGTGTGTAATAGATACCAAGATAGGCAGAAATGGTAATGTAGACGATATTGGGAGTGAGAAAAAATAAAAACGATTATAAATTTACATTCGAATGACAACGCAACGAAATGAAAGAACAATAACAAAGAAAAAGTAATTTGATGTAAGTTATGTTTCACAATGAGTCACATGCTGAGTTTTCTTTTGTAATTTGATAAAAATGCTTCACATAACTTTTGCTGTTTCAACTACTTCCTCGAAGATATAAACATTGATTCAAGACGTTCTCCTTGAATGTATGAGGAAGGAGGTTGAATTCAAAAATTCATATCTCGATCTCGTGCATTCCACTCATACCACAAATTACCATAATATTTTCTTTTCGCAAGAAAAAAAGATTCTCATAAATATGGAATGAAACTTCTAAACTTTTAACATTTCATTTTAAAGCGATGTAAAATCTCCATGAATGCTGAGCGACGTGAGAAATTTTATGCTTACTTGAATAATTTTCCGCACATGTTTATCACTGAGTTTATGCATGTCTTAAAATGTTTGATGAAAAACAAAAAAGAATTATCTGGAAATCAAAATAATTTAATTCCATCACATTTTAAAAATTTGTTTTACTAAATAATAAAGAAAGAAAATTTTGCAACAGATTTTAATCATTCTAAAAGTTTTGAAGAAAAATTGTGATTTACATTAAACATTGAAAGAAATTTAGAAATTTTCTTTTATGAAATTAAAATAAAAATTGTGAAAAGTTAGAATTTGATTGAAATGTTTAAGCTTCAGCTTCGAATTGTCACTGCAAGGAATTAAAAGTAAACTTAAATTCATGAAATATCTAATGGGACCAATGTCAACAACATTCTCAATAAAATAACTTCAAATCTCTTGACACAAATCACAAATCAAACAAATTCTAGTTTTTGTTCACAGTAAATGTTTGACTTTAAGTAAAAAATCTTTCCGTTTTTCACTTTCTAATTTGATTTAAAATTCAGAGACATTGGCAAAGTTTTTTGACCTAAATAAAGAACGATTTAAGAAATTTAAAGACAATTAAAAAGAAAAAGTTTTCAGACTTGGCTTAGCATGTGACAAAACAAGTTATTAACAAAGTTTGAGTTTATTTATTCAATATTCTTTAAATATGATGTCAACACTAACTTCAAGTTATTACTTTTTATTTTGCTGAATTCATTCTTAAGATATCGACGACAAAAAGAAACTCATGACGATTTCGGTCCCTTCAAATGATAAAACTTCTACTTCTTACGTTACAATCCCTTGTCATATCAGAGGACAGCAAAAAGAAACTGTTATGAATTTTTTTACTCCGCTATTGATGATTTATATCTTGATATTTTGTTTCTTTTAGCTTTTCATTTCACTAAAGCTAAACCATTGTGGATAATAAAACAAGGAGAAAGGAATGAAATTAATTATTCTGTTTCCCTTCTACGTGCAAATTTATGGAGTAAACAATTTTCATTTTCCTTCGTCTTCTTCTTATTCTTTGACATTTTTTGCGATCCCTTAGTGGACAGACAAATGATTTCAAATATTTTAATTTGATGAGAAACACCCACGAATTTATTTGTTCGCAACATCTCTTTACAGTCACAATTGTTTTAGTCCCTTTTAAACATCTCGCTTCGGTATTTTACGCCAATTATTTTCCTTGAGCTTCAGGGAGAAAAATTGTCATAATTATGTCGGGTCAAAGGTCCCAGATATCAGGTGAAGCGAAATTTAATGTTCGGGAATTGTGAAGCGAGATGAAAAGTTTTTATTTCTTAGCTTTGTTGGCAATTTTAAGGATGACTGGAATGAAATCTTAAATTCTAGTAGTAAAATTACTTCTATAATTTTACCGAAGTTAAAATATTCATTTCCTACTCTGTAATCATTCGCCACAGTTATATTTAGCATCTCAATGTCTTTTACCGACTTTTTAAGTCATTTGTACTGAGTCATCTAAATGGCGACGTTACATCTGTGTCAGCTATAAAAGTTATTCAGTAATTACAAACTGTAATTACGTGTAGTGGAAAAGGAGGAAGGAGTGCATGAAGCATTGTAATCAACCCATTAAAATAATCATTTCAAATGTTAGCAGCTTTTTAAGTTCCTCCATTCCCCTTTTGCATAACTCGACAATGACTTCATTTCCTTTACAATTTTTTAATTGAAGCAGATATCAACCACTGACTGGATTTACTGATTGTTTTTTCAAAGCTCAATAACAATGTTAAGTCATGATTTACTCGTTCGATTGACACCTTTTAATTGCGACCTCAATGATTATAAACAAACGAACAATTAAATGCAATCAACATTTTAAAGTAAAATAGGAAACAACATTTTTACTTTAAAACTTATTTTCTGATAATTAAAAACCGAACGGCAATTAAAAAGAATTCTTGTTATTAAAATTAAATGATTTTAGTCGAGCAGAAGGGTAAACACAGAAGATAATCAGGGAATCAATTTTTTGAGCATTATTCTGAAAGGTTTCGTAATAAAAAAAAGGGCTTAATTACAAAATTAATCATTGAATTCTTATCACGATCCGTTGAAGAGATAAAAGCTTTTATAAACGAGCAGCCAGCATAGCTTGTATATTT